GACATGTTTTTAACTCACTCGTCAACACTGGAGGGCTGTTTGTCATAGATGCGTTCCTTCTCCCATAGAATATTGGATTTGTTGCAGCGGTCCATCTTTGTTGGAGCTTTCACAGCAAATAAAATTATTAAAGCAAAAGCCACAAGAATCAATAGTACAATGGCAATGGCCTCCAGGGGATCCACCACACAGTAGTGCTACAAATATTGATCCACGTAGAGACTTGAAACTCCAGGCGCATAGAACTGGTTGCAGAGAGCATATGTTTGTGAGCTGTACATAGATCTGGATGCTTGGGCCGTTGGGTTGACCCCCATCATGCAGACAGTGGCGGCAACAGACATCAGGATGCCCATGATGACACTCACTATGATTACAGTCAAGAAATATCTTCTTGGGCCCGGCGGCATGGCCTAGCGGCTGAAGTCCCCACCTTGAACGCTCCAGGATGCCATATGGGCGCCAGTTCTAATCCCGGCAGCTCTACTTCCCATCCAGCTCCCAGCTTGTGGCCTGGGAAAGCAGTCGAGGACGGCCCAAAGCCTTGGGACCCTGCACCCGTGTGGGAGACCTGGAAGAAGTTCCTGGCTCCTGGCTTCGGATCGGCATAGCATCGGCCATTGCGTTTACTTGGGGAGTGAATCATTGGATGGAAGATCTTCCTCCCTGTCTCTCCTCCTCTCTGTATATCTTCCTTTCCAATAAATAAAATAAATCTTTTTTTTTTAAAGAAATATCTTCTCATTCTGGCAATTTCCAATCTGATCACACTGGTAATGAATACCACCCAGAGCAAAAATGAAGCAGAAGGCAGCCATGGCCAACAGAAAACCCTTGGCTGCTTGCTGATCAGTGTAAGTGCTGTAATTGTAGCTGTCACCATAGCCATGCCCACTTTCATTGCTCCCAAAACTGCTTCCATAGGAGTAGCCTATGCAACTTCTCAGCAGGCCAGTGCTGTAGGTTCTGCCCAAGACAAGAATGGAGGCAACACAGGCAAATACGGCAATGCACATCACGATGATGAACATGGACAGGATACGAATCACTGCTGCTGGGGAGGTCCATCTGTAGAAGTGAAGAAGCTCATTTTCTGGGTAAAAAGAATATGCCCGGCTGGGACAGCATTCAGTCGCACATGCGCCTCGCCTCTGTACATGTCATTGCTCGGTGTGTAATGATTCGGCTTGATTTCATCATCTCTGTAAGGAGGCAGGCTCTCAAACAGCCAGGAGGACATGGCTGCTGATGGAGGTCAGTGCTCTTCAGGTCCAGCGGGGATGCACCATGGGAAGTTTACCTACTGTGCCATGGACCAGTGTCTGGTGCTCCCGTTTGTTCTGCTGGGACATCTGCCACCTGTGTGCGCCTAGGGAGGCAAAGGGCAGGTGGGTGCTTGCGAGGGGTGTGGTGCAGTGGCCTCCTCCCTAGGTGACCCTAACCCTAACTGTTATGGTTGCCAATCAGATCATTTTTTTCCCTATTACTTAGAATTAGAAATGAACAATACTGAAAGTCTTAAGTGAAACAGCTGTAGGATGCAAATTTGTGATCTAAGGGCTATGGAACTTGTTCTTCCAGAAAGGAAAAACAGATTGAAGACACATAGAATCCTGTAGTTCCAATATGTTTCTGAAGGCTGGCTATATTGATTCTCCCTCTTTCCATGAGAAACCATGTACATTTTTTTATTCTTTTAATGATTTTATTTGAAAGGAAAAAATGGCCAGAGTGGGAGAGAAAGATGGAGAGTGCTTCCACTTGCTGGTTCACTCCCCAGATGGCTGCAGGGGCTAGAAGTAGTCAGGTCAGGAGCTTCCTCAGGGTCTCTTGGTCTCCCAGTGGATACAGGGGCCCAAGGACTCAGATCATGCAATGATGTTTTCCCAGGCACATTACCAGGGAGCTAAATGGGAGGTGGAGCATCACAGATGCTGAACATATGCTCACATGGACTGCCAGCACCGTAGGTGGAGGCTTTACTCACTGTGCCACAGCACCAGCCCCTCACTTTATGCTTTTTGCCTAAGCTAGTTTTGATGGATTGATTTTATGTATAAATCGCCCTTAATCAATAAAACTAATTATCTACATATGCTTTTATGCTTTTGGCTAATCCATATTGAGTATATTTGGGGTTTTGAGTATATTAATAATTGCTCATAGGGCCAGCATATTGACTCAGCTGGCAAGTGCTCTGTCTCCAGGTGTGGCATCTTCTGAGTGCCAGTTCATGTACCAGTTGTTCTGCTTCCTATCCAGTCCCCTGTTTGTGGCCTGGGAAGCAGCGGAAGCTGGTTTCATGCCTTAGGATCCTGCACCCACATAGCAGACCTGAAAGAATCTGCTGGCTTCTGGCTTCAGATTAGCTCAGCTCTAGCCACTGCAGCCATTTGGCGAGTAGACCAGTGGATGTTCTCTTTGTCTCCTCTCTGTAAATCTGCCTTTCCAATAATTTTTTTTTTCTTTTTTAAAGAATCGCTTATGGGTCCAGCACAGTGGCCTAGTCGCTAAAGTCCTTGCCTTAAAATCACCAGGATCCCATATGGGTGCCGGTTCTAATCCCGGCAGCTCCACTTCCCATCCAGCTCCCAGCTTGTGGCCTGAGAAAGCAGTCAAGGATGGCCCAATGCCTTGGGACCCTGCACCTGTGTAGGAGACCTGGAAGAGGTTCTTGGTTCCTGTCTTCGTATCAACGCACCATTGGCCGTTGTGGTCACTTGGGGAGTGAATCATTGGATGGAAGATCTTCCTCTTGGTCTCTCCTCCTCCCTGTATATCTGACTTTCCAATAAAAATAAAATAAATCTTTTAAAAAAGAATTGCTTATGAAACTAATGAATTAAACTCAAGATATTGTTCCAATTGTCACCCAGACAGCTTGCCTAACTTAATATTTCTAATTCCTTGTCCTTGTCTATCGTATCTTGTTATTATTTTCAGGGTATGTGACTTTGCTGATATGTGGTGTTGTCTGCCTAGGCGTACAACTATCCACTTGTTTCTCTCCATTGACTGATGTTTTAGACTTAATTCTTGTCAGGCTCTGCTTCTCCCCAGCATGATAGAAACTCTCAACAAAGGCCTAGTTTTATAATTTTCTATATTTTGCTTCTTACATCATGAAGAAATACCCATCAATAAACATTTCAGCAAAATTCAGATTGCAGAATCTCTTCTTCCTTAATACCTTAATTATCCAGAGATAATCACTGTCAGAAATATGTGCTTCCAGAGTTCTCTCTAGGTATATGTGTGTTTGCATTTAGTAGAAGCAGATACGGTAAATTCTGTGGCTTATTTTTCTTCACTTACATATTTTAAATGTCAACGCAGGCTAATTAACACACTTGGTATTTAATAATCTCATTGTATGTATATACTATAATTTATTTAGGCAACCATACATTGCTAAACATTTAGATTATTCTCTTTCCTTACTTTGTCATAATAAGACACAGTGACATGTACATAGTTCTACAAAATGTTTCCGCCTTTATCAAGATCTTTAATTGATGCTATCAAGATCATTACAACAGTGGATTTTCTCAGTCACGATGCATGCATGATAGTAAAGGTTTTTATTTATTCATTTATTGGATTGCCTTCCAGAAATTCTGTGCCGGTTTATATTCCCACAATCAATTAACAAATTCTTCTACGGACAAGTAAAATTGATTTGAAATTAATAGTCTCAGGAGTTGAGTGAGATTCAGTTTTTTGAAAAAAAAAAAAAGATTTATTTGAAAGAGCAAGTGACAAAAGAAATGAGGGGCAAACACATAAAGAACGCGAGCTCTTCTATCCCTTGGGTCCTCCCCAAATGTCCACAATATCTAGGACCCCTGGAACTCCATCCAAGTAACCGAAATGTGTGGCGGAGGCCCAGGCACTTAGGCCATTTTCCTCTATGCTTCCTGGCACATTAGCAGGGAGCTTGGATCAGAAACAGAGCAGTCAGGACTTGAACTGCTGCTCCAGGATCGGATCCCAGAGATGCAAGCCGTAACCCCCAGATCAATTATTTCTAAATCATCATTGACTGTGTTTTCTTTTTCTATGTAACTTGCTTGATCATAACCATTGGAGATTTTTCTACTAAAACATTCATAATTTTACACTTGGTTGCAACTATTCTTGAAGTATATTTATCCTGTTTCTCATCTATGTTTCAAAGCAGCAAAGCATAACAATGAAGTTCAGAACTCTGATGTCAGAATATGTAGATGGGCTTGAATACAAATTCCGTTACCTATTTACTGCTGTGACTTTGTATAAATTTTTTATTTCTCATATTTCAATTTTCCCATGTGTCAAATGTAAGATGTGCAAATTAGTCCTCCATATCTATTAATTCTATATTCGTGGATTCAAACAACTGTGGATCCGAAATGTATAGATCTGTGGTTGGCAGAATTCACTAACATAAAAACCATAGATACTGAAGCATGACTCTGTGTGTGTGTGTGTGTGTGTGTGTGTGTCTATAATTTAAAAGTGTTGACCACATAGAAAGTACTCTATACATGTTTGCCAATGTTGATGCTGTATTTATTTACTTACTATTGTCTTTATCCTTATTTATATTGATTTCTTGTGGACTTTCAGGATGAGTATGAATTTTATTTTTAAAATACATCTGGCCTCACTTTTTCTGACTTCATCTGAATATCAATAAACTGAAGTAGTTTAAAGCAATTATTTTTAATTTTTGTTGCCCTTTAGAATTAAAGCGTTTACCAACACCTGAACTATTTAAAGAAAGATGATCATACTTTATTGTGCATTCTTTACCACAGACTGAAATTAAGGAATCATTTCATACAAATAACCAGTCACATAAGTCGTGATAATGTGCTTCTACACACCCAGTGTTTTCTTAGGTGTGTGTCCTTTATCAAATGGGGTGGAACTAACACCATTTTTAAGACTCCATGCTTGTTCCTTAGGGCAATTAATTAACACTCCTTGTTGCCTTACAAATGAATATATTACATAGCTGAGGATGGTAAAATTTTATTGACTTACTGATGTTGAGTTTGGATGTTGTGTCTTGGGTTGAGTAGCTGCTTTAACTGAGCAGGTGGCATACTTTTCGTGCTTTGCATGACAGGAAGCAGATCCTGTATTGTTTCTTGAGTTTGAGCTATTCTTTTATCCCTGTAGGATTCTTTCTCATCATCAGTCCAATTTGTGTCAGTCTTCTTGCTTGGGAAAGTTGCGCATTCTTTCATTCTGTTCTTTAAGTTGTGATGTAGATCTGAGGAGCAATCACGAAAATATGTGTAGACTACACGTGGGGCTTTCATTCAACAATTATTTATCAAGAATTATTGTGGGGCAAGGGTTTTACCTAGAATTTGTTGTCCATTTTAGTCTTCTATTTTAATGAAAATAAATACATATAAAGCTCGTTAGATGATGTGAAGTTTACAATGCAAAATAAAGCTGGGGAACAGATGCCTTTGTTTTTAAAAAGGCATCAAGAGGAGACTTCTTTGTGAAGCTGACCTGTCATAGGAGTTAAAGAGTGTGTCAAGCAGGTATATGGACAGATCATCTGCGGCAGAAGGAAGTATAAGGGCAAGGAAGCTTGTTGAAGTGTGCCTATAAGAAGGTGGCATTAGTGGCTGAAGCAGAATGAACTATAGAGAAAGTTAAAACCCAAGTTCAGTCAGATAACTTTGAATCAGCTCTTCTAGGGCCCACTGGGTATAGCAAGGACTCCAATTTTTACTAAGTGCAAAACAGGAAATTGCTGGAACATCAGTGGGTTTATTACTTAATTTTGACCCTTTTATTCACATTTGAAAATGTTCACAAGAGGTTTGTGCTTATTTGTCATAAAGGACTTGCCCACTCTTAAAAGGAAAGTAAACAGATGGCTAAAGCACTTACTGAATTAACTGAATTAACGAAGCCTGGAAGATAATGAAGTGAAGAACATGGATGATTATAACATGTAGAAATTCATGTAAATGAAGTGAGTTTATCCACAATTTCTCGATAAGCTATTCCTAGGCCATACTGCAGATACTAACTACATATGTATTATGCCTTTGGCATTAGATCAGCACTGATTAATATGAAAAATCAAATCCTTGACAACAGTGTTCTTACAGTCAACCCTAAAGAAAAAAAAAGTAAAGATTGAATCCAAAAAGACCCTCACCCAGACACATTGTTGTCAAGCTCCCCACAACTGAACGTAAACAAAGAATACTGAAACAGGCACAAAAAAAGGATAAGAAAATGTATAGAGAAAAACCAATTAGAATTACTGCAACTTCTCAGAAGAAATCCTTCAAGCAAGAAGAGAATGGAGTAAGATTTTCCAGATCCTAAAACAGAAAAGACTCAACCTAAGACACCATATCCAACAAAGCTCTCATTTGTATTTGAAAACAAAATACAATACTTCCGTAATAAAGAGAAATAAGAACCCACAAACACTAAACCAGCACTAGAAATGCTGCTCAGAAATGTGCTGAAGTCAGAAAGGTATTTAATCGCAATCAGCAATTATAGGAAGAGTCTTCCATCTGCTGGTCAGTATTAAATGTTGCTGTGACCCTGAACTCTTGGTCTTCCATGAGACTGGCAGAAACCCAATCACCTCAATCATTGTGCCTTCTCAGGCACATTAAAAGGAAGGTAGAACTGAAATACAGCAGCCAAGGCTCTAACTGACCCTCTTGTATGGAATGTGGATATCTCAAGGACCTTAACACACTGTGCCAAAACATCTGTCTCCAAATTTTTAAATATAAACATTTTAAGAAGATGAGATAAATTATTACAGGTATGAGAGTATTGGAGAACAAAAAGGTCACAAAAGAGACCAAAATAAGTAAAGATGGCTAAAGAAATATTACATGTAAAAAATATAAAAAAGATAAAGTATGAAAGAAAAGAATAACTATAAAAGAATAGCTATAAAATTTTATGGCAGAGAAAGAACTAAGAGTTTAAATATATCATCAAGATAGAGACTTTAATAGAAAGGTGAAAAAAAAAGTGGTCACTCAGAGAACTTTCAGATGACTAGTAAGATCCTAAAAAGCTTCAACACTAAAAATACATCTAGATATTTCTAACATGAAGTTCCGTAACAATCAGAGCAATCTCCTCTGGGTAAAATTTAAACTTTCACAAAATAGTCTATCACCTTGGTATAACTGTATAAAATTGAGAGCCAAAGTGAATGTGGTAGTAACACACATCTCAAAATGTCAATCAAATTTTATTTGGTCAATTACTCCAAATATTAATCTTTGAAATAATTCTATTTTCAAGAATTAATGAACACTGGAGAGTGTGAGTTGGAATAGGGGCAGGCCAAACCAGGCAGGGCTACAGCATCTGTGGGCCTCATGTTAGCCAGATCAAGGAAAAGCCAGGCTTGGTTGACTGTCCCAACTGGTGCAAGCAAAAGTTAGAGTGGGTGAGAGTTGCTTGGGCTTTGCTACAGCATCAGATAGCAGATGCTGGCACTGTCGGCTATATCTGTCAAGTTAAACTCCAGAACCACCTGGAGAGTACATAATCTGGGAGAGGGAGTGGCCTAGTAGGGAAATAATGGGCATCTCCCTCTTGGCTTACCACTCCCACTGGAAAGCATGAAAACCAGGACTGGGGCGGGGGGAATGGACAGAATGGCACCCACCAGCACAGGTGTAGGCTGGATAGTGGAGCTGGTTGGGTTGAACTAGGCTTCAATGCCCATTGACATGTATGAGAGTTGAATGGAATGTGGGACTGACTAGAGTTAGTCTGCGGTATATACTGGCAAGCACGGGAACTAGGGCAAGCAGAGGGCCTGGTCAGGGTTGTTGTGGGTTGCTCTGACTAGGCTGCAGCTCCCACTGGTTTATGTGAGGGCCGAGTGTGTGCTGGGCAGGATCAGGCTAGACTGCAACACCTATTGTGGAAGACAGGGCTGGAAACAATTGACCCGGCAGTTGCAATGACCAGCATGTGCATAAGCTGATTGGGGCGATGGACTGAGCCAGACCCTGTGCTTACAAGCACACACAAGAATCAGGTCTGGAATCACCTCAGACAAAGTTTCTTTGGAGGTCTCTCCAACTGAACCGCTGATCTCAAAACCCCAACCATGAAGAGACTATGTCAGCCAGTGGATTCTGAATAGATTTCATCATGCTTGCAATGGCGAAATTGGCAGCAATTCAGAACTGTTGAACTATCCAAACTGCTTGAACAGGACCCTAGGAGCATGGCCCACATCGGGGACCTGGGACGGGTGGGAGGTTGGCTGGGCTTCTCCCTTTGTTTCTCCCCTGGGTCCCCTGTAGCCCTTGACCTTTTGTACTCTAATCAACTATGTAAGATTATAAAAAAGAAAATCCCTTTACTTAATGGGAATATATAAAGGGTCTTCAAAGAGTTAAAAAAAAAAAACAAATGAAAAGAGTAATTCTATTTCTAAAACTAAACACTATTCAAAAGATAAGTAAAAATACTAATTTCATGCAGAAACAAAAGAAAATGTAAGTTCCATGGAAGTTGAGTTTTTATGATTTAATGAAGATTTGGTTTGGTTTAATTTAAACACACTAATTATCATGAAGGAATCATGGTGGACCAATCTTTTCTTTTCTTTTCTTTCTTTTTTTTTTTTTTTTTTTTTTGGTGGGCCAATCTTATCTGCTTCTTAAATAACACTTGACAGACACGCTCCAAGGTAGAAGCCATGAACTATAATGGTCTATCATTTAGGACCAATGCTAAAAGGGAAGAAGTCAAAGCTTGTTTTCAACTGAAAATCTCAAGTATTGGAAGCAGAACCTGCTAGAATATAGCGATGGCATGTCTTTTTATTTCTCTAGGAGGTAGTGATAAGAATGAAATGCATGAAAAATAGGAAGATACTGCCAATAAGGCAATTCACTTTTTTACAAGCCTATATTTAAGTGACACAATTTTCTTTCATACTCAACTCACAGATTAAACAAGGCAAGTATTTTTTAAGAGACAGAGCTAAAGAGGCCATCAGTTCCCATTGTTCACAAAGACAGTTCCTAGAACCAAGATTTTGTAGGGGATCTTTGTTGGGGCACATGTTAAGCAGCCTCTTATCATGCCAACATCCCAAATTGAAGGGTTAGTTGGATTCCCTGGTCCTCAGCTTCTGATTCAGTGTCCTGCTAATGTGCTTGGAAGGAGAGCAGAGGCTCCCAAGTGGTTTGGATCCTGCCACTCATGTGGAAAGCAGGATATTGTTCCTGGCTTCTGCTTAGCTTTGATCTGGCCCAGCCCTGGCTGTTTTGGTCATGTGGGGAGCAAGCCAGCAAACTGAAGATCTCTCTCTCTCTCTCCCAACCCCCTTTCTATACTCTTTCACACTAAATAAAAAAAAAATTGTTTAAAATATGTCATAGGATTTGCTCTTGATAATATGATTTAAAACATCTTTGTATGTGCTGAAATCCCAGGCAATTAAAAAGCCCACCTGTTGATATCTTTGTCTTCTCAGTCCAATTGGAAGTCCGTTTGCTCATGGGACACTTGAAGGATGTTACCTTGAGGCAGTTTTCATACAAATCAGTTCCCTCAGGTTGAATTGATCCATGGATTGGCCTCTCATTGATTTCTAAAAAATGCCTCTGTTGGTCTTTAAGACTTAGAATGTTACTTCCAGAGCTGAAAGAAATTGAGTACTTTGATTTCAATGGTAACAGTGACCTATCCTTGCAGGAATAGTGTCATATCATGTTGCATTTGCATATAATACCTGGGATTATGCAACTTTTTAAAAATAAATGTTATCTTACTCGTGGATCTCACCAGTCAGGTGATGAAGGCAAGATGGCCACTGTCATCCTCATCTTTCCAAACGGAGACCAGAGAGGGTACATTAGTTGCTCAGGATCACAAAGCTCACAGGGCAGTGACTGGTCTAGGCTTTGCATCCAGTACTTTTTCTATTATCTTCTCCTGTCTTGGGATATCATTTGATTCCCATCCATGTAGTATAAATAATGTTTTAAAAAATTAAGTCTCAGTTTAAAATAATTGAAATATGGATCAGACCCAAATGCCTCACATTGGCACCAAAATTTCTGGGTTTCTGGGGTAAGAGAGTCAATACTCATTGCAATGTACTTTATTTAGCAAAAACCAAGACCTCAGAAGAGAAGCCAATGGTTGAACGAATGAATGTGTTCATGAGAGTTTCATTACACTAGAATAATTCTTTACCATGAGGTCATCTAGAAAGTCTGAATAGGTCAATCAGAATAGTCTTTGCCATGAGAAAGTGGTAACTATTGCTAAATCATGGCTTATTGATTCTCTTATTTTATGCCCCCGTTGTTTGTTACTCTTCAGTCACGTGGCGTGGCACCAGTGTAGACAATAAGAACATAGTATCAAGATAGCTATCTCTCTAGTGACTCCGTGTGATGAAATTAAGAAACATTTGTGGTTTTTGAGAAAATTGGCAAGCATCTTAATATTATCAGTAATATTCAAAAACAACTTAATTCCCCCTTTCCCACCAAATTCTGTGGCATTCGTAAGAAGGTGGAGTTGGAAAAGGGGCTGAGGTTTGAATCCAGGCACTGTGATCTAAGATACATCTCAAGCAGCTTCCTAGTTGCTGAACCTGCCCCGTAAGTGGAAAAATCACCAACTGGCAATTAACCATGGGTATTAAAAGGTCACTTCTGTTGCTTTATACAATGACCAAAACCTTACAAGACAGAGGAAAAGGAATTGTGAGGTTAAACAATCAAATTCTCCTACCTGAAATATTTTTTTAGAAGCCAGGATGCTCCTTTTCCAGGTATTTTAACTAAAAAAAGTAATGCAATATATGAGCTTGAGTTTCCAGATAAATGAAACTTAAGTTTTTACTTTGTTGGTAGATACTTCATTGCGTATCCAGTAGTCGACTTAATTAAGCCTATCTTAACTTTCCTTTCATCCAGACACATGACATAGAAGTATATATTTACTGGAAGTCTTTTAACTAGACAGCTTCAAGAAAACAGCAACCAGTATAAATATCTAATAATTATCAAGCAATTTAACTGATAACAAGAACATTAGAATCTATAGAAGTTCCCTATACATAGCCTATGCAACCAGCTTTTTTAGAGCAACAAACTATGCTACAGATAAACCAGAAGAAAAATAGCTTAATGAGTAATAAATAATTTTAAATACATGTTTAAAACTCTGTATTATTCTCTATTATTTGCTTTTCTATAATGCCCATGGTACTGTTTAAGCAGCACACACACACACACAAAGAGGACCAGTTAACAATGGCCATTAAGAGTAATACGTAGTAGAAAAAATAAAGCATATATTATGCATAAAATGTATGTTTAATTCTATCTTTTTGGTAATACCGATTATAATCCTCTAACGGATATTTAAACTGTATAGACCACGCTATGTTTTTCTGTTCTATGATGAAGTGGGATGTTTTGCTGTTTTTCCTTGCCCAATAATATTTCTCTGGACTACCTGCAACCGTTAGGCTGTCTTTTCTTAGTGTAGGGGGGAAATGGAATACACCGAAATGTCAAGTTCGTTTGAACTTTCAGCCCTCCTCTAACTAAACACACATTACACTGAGTTCTGGTCTTGGTCACCTCGATGGCCTCAAGTCAATCCTCTGTCAATCAAAATCTTTTGAACATGAAAGACTTAAGTGCCTCACTTATTAACAATGGCTGGTGTCTAGATGTGTAGGGACTGTTTGTAGAACATATTTCCTAGTTCTTTAAAAATATCCACCCACTGCAGACTTGTTTTGGTAAACTCGTTTCTCATCCAGGTGTTTTGCATACATAGACTGAGGATGTGGATCTCCATATGAGAAATGCCCGTTGTTTTTAAAGAATCTTTTTTTAAAAGATTTATTTATTTTTATTGGAAAGTCAGATGTACAGAGAGGAGGAAAGACAGAGAGGAAGATCTTCCATCCAATGATTCACTCCCTAAGTGGCCGCAATGGCCGTTGCTATGCTGATCTGAAGCCAGGAACCAGGAGCCTCCTCCAGGTCTCCCATGTAGGTGCAGGATCCCAAGGCTCTGAGCCGTCCTTGACTGCTTTCCCAGGCCACAGGCAGGGAGCTGGATGGGGAGTGGAGCGGCCGGGATTAGAACTGGCGCCCATATGGGATCCCAGTGCGTTCAAGACGAGGACCTTAACCTCTACACTATAGTGCCGGGCCCTGTTTTTAAAGATTCTTACACCCATTGAGTGTTATCATAAGATAAACCTCTTTTCTGAGTGTAGACATACAGATCAATGAAACAAACATAAACATGTACATTCATTGCCAAGTGCGTTTTCAACAAGGGTGCATGATGCCAGAAGAGGAGCATTGCTGTCGTGCCAGAGCCCTGATAAAATTTGTTTGTCAAGTTTTTCAGGTCCAGAATGCCCCCAGAAACCACTAATTCATCCTTTAAAATTGCCTATACTCCCCACATCTCTCCCTGTGAAGAAGCAATACATGCTTCTAAACCTCACTGGGTTGTTGGACACTCCTTTCCAGTGACACCCTCACACACAAAGTAAATTTGTATGATTCTTCTCCATACTGATATAGTGTCAAGCATTGGAAATGCCTAGTTGATACATTGTCAGTTTATTTCAGCAGATTCAACTATAACACCTCTCCAAGGGAAAAAAAAAAGGTGCTTTATTTCCACTAAAATTAAAATATATATGTATTCATTTAAACAGCTAACTCATCATCTTTAAAACTTTATGCATTATAAATGACAATGATCAAAGTGATGTTCAAAACCAACAGACAACAAATGAATATAACATGTAAATGTAATTCATGAGTTTGAATTAAAATGTTAATCAGGGGAAAATTTTGCTCCAGAGGTGCTAGGCTATCTGGCAAAATTCAATTACTGTAGTCCCCTTTAGCTATAGAGGTAGGTTTTAAGACCCCAGTAGATGCCCAGGTATGAATGGTACTGAAATTTATGTATACTCTGTTTTTAGTATACATATTTAAGTATTACAAAGCTTAATTTGTAAATAAGGCATAATGAAAGATTAACAATGACAACTAGCAATAAAGCAGAATCATTATAATAATGTAGTATAAAAATTACTTGACATTTTTTCACTAATATTTTCACCTCTTTTTAAAATAAATATTTTTTTTAGAAAGGCAGATTTAGAGAGAGAAGGAGAGACAGAGAGATAGATTTTCCATCCACTGAGTTACTCCCCAAATGGCCACAATGGCCAGAGCTGAGATGGGGCTGAGCTGATCCAGAGCCAAGAGCCAGGAGCCAGGAGCTTCTTCCGGGTTTCCCATGTAGGTGCAAGGTCCTAAGGCTTTGGGACCCCCTCTGCTGCTTTCCCAGATCATAATCAGGGAGTGGGATGGGAAGTGGAGCAGCCAGGACACAAGCCATTGCCGGTGCTTGCATGTGGCGAATTAGCCTATTTCAGCCCATTGGACTGACTCCTTCTCTTTTCTCTTATAGGAAACATTTTACAGTCTCTATTTGACATATCCATATAGGCAACACATACAGCATGCATAAGCTGGACAAAGTGGTAATTCAATTCCTAGGTATGACAGAACAGGAGAATACAAGACTCTATCATGCTATCAGCCTTGTGCAATTAAAAAATTATACACTATTTAGTTCTAGAATGTTCCATTTATTTTCTTCAGACCATGGGTGAGTGAAACCATGGGGAAAAAAAAACCTGCAGATGATTGTTGTACATACGGTACTAAAGATTATTGATTTAAAAGTTGAACTTTCTGATTTTAATGTTAGAGAATGTTAATTTTCTTCAAAAAATATGCTGAAGGTTCTTGGAAGCAAATAGTATGAAGTTTACAACTTGTATTCAAATGAGGTCATAAAAAAAGCAGATACATAGATACAATGACACATCCTAGAAAACGGGAAGAAAGGGTAAGTGCTTGAAATCTATGCAGATTTCTTTTTGGAATGCACATTTTCAGGAAGTTTTTGAAAAGGTATATGTTCATTTCAAAATTCAAAACATTTTTGCCCCAAAATATACATATCCTTCAAAGAAGTTTTCCATGAGCTTTTTGAACATGCTCATGAATAGATACACTGATAGATGTAGATACATCTTTGCATGATTCTTGAAATGATTTCAAAATTAAAAGCTAAAAAGACTTGGGAATGGTAATGTGGTATAGCAAGTGGAACTATCACCTGTAACACCATGGGCACCTATCTGAGTTCTAGCTCCACTTCCAGTTCAGCTCCCTGCTAAGGCAGCTGGAAAGGCAACAGAAGATGGTCCCAATGCTTGGGCTCCTGATAACCAGGTGGGAGATTCAAATGAAACTCCTGGTCCCTGGTTTCAGCCTGGCTCAATCCTTGTTTTTGTAACCTCTTGAGAAGTGAACCAGCAGATGAAGGCTATCTCTCTATGTGTCCCCCTCTGTTGATAACTCTGCCCTTACAGTCTATAAGAATACATTTTTTAAAAAAAGTTTTGAAAAGTGGAAAGCATAAAACAATAGAAGTGCTATGATTAAGACAATGTAATGTCAGCCTGTAATTACGGGAGTCACTGGAAGGCTTTCAGAAGAGGTGTGTTTTTGATAGGTCACTTGGATAGTAGACTGAAGGGTGAGATTAAGATGACAATATTGGCAGTAGGGAGATCAATCAATACTTCTGGTAAATGGATAACAATGTGAAAAGAATAATGGTAGCTAAAAATGCAGAAAAGGGAACTATAAGATAAAATCAGCTGGAATCAGTGGCTGAAAGGAGATGGCACATACAAGTAAAAAGGAAAGGCAGATATTTACCTTAGCAGTTAAAATTCTAAGATTCCCCTGTCCCATATCTGGCTCCTGACTCCACCTTCCTGCTAATACAAACCCTGAAAGGCTCATATACTTGGGTTCCTGTCACCATGAGAAAGACCTTGATTGAGTTCCTGGCTTTTACCTTGCCCCATCATTGCTGTTGTAGGCATTTGGTGGATAAGCCAGTGAATAAGAGCTTTGTCTCTTTGTCTTTCCTTTCTCACTGTTACTATGCCTTTACTTTTCAAACAAATATAAAAAAAGGAAAAAGAAAAAAAAAGGATCTTAGTAGGTTTCTAGCCTGAGAGGGTATAGAGATCAGAATGTTGCTAATGCTACAGTGAATGCAGGGGGATGAACCTTTAGTGTGAAATTAGAATTTTCATTGGGTATATAGGACATCTGTAGATATATGGAATCTGCAGCACATAATTAAATGTAAATCTCTGTACTTTATACAAGTGATTAAATGTATGTACATGCATGTGTATCTTCCTATAAAAGTATACAACATCTTCCTATGTTGTATCACTCTTGTACATATGAATGTCACATAACATAAAATCGTGATCACGAGTTCATCAGGAGCCAGAGTTGTGGCAAGGCCTGTCAACAGTCCACATGAGTGGCGGTTTGAGTGTTGGCTGTTCCACTTCCAAGCAAGCTCTCTGTCAATGTGCCTAGGAAAGCAGCAGAACACATGGCCAAGTGTTTGGACTTCTGCCACCCTCGTGAGGGACTGGGATGGAGTTCCAGGTTCCTGGATTCAGCCTGGTCCAGCCCCAGGTGTTGTAGGTATTTGGGGAGTGAAGCAGCAGATAGAAGAATTCTTTCTGCCAAATAAATAAATAAATAAACCTTTTTTTTAGAAGTTCACAGAAGGCTGAATCCAATAAAAAAAATCAACTTGAATAAACTGAATACATTTAATAAACTGAAAACATTGTACCGAAATAGCAGCTGAAGGAAGTCACAACGTAAGGACCAATAAAATTTAAACTTTTCAAGTTTGAATAGGTAGAAATGTTAATAGTGCAAGATAATTTTTAAGAGAACAAAATGGGTTGTAATAATGAAACTAATACATAGAGTAAAAACGTATTGTTCACTCATTTGGCAACATCTGTAATTTTGTGTTTGGTTTCACTCAAACTTTAACAGTGACAGAAGGGGATAAAACAGCCTGACAAGGTATGTAAGTAGTGGTGCACTAGCCATTACTTATACAGAAGACTGGTTAAGAAAGCTATGGTTCATCTATTCCATGGAATACTACTCAGCTATTAAAAAAAACAAAATTCAGTTCTTTGTGGCCAAATGGGTCCAACTGGAAACCATCATGCTAAGGGAAATGAGCCAACCCCAAAAGGTTAGATACCACATGTTTGCCTTAATTCAAGATGACATGATGTCACTCCAAAAAACAGTACCTGCAAACTATAATATTATTCCAACCCCAAACAGACTGCTTATGATCTACATCAAAGAATTGTAAAAACCTAATATACTTTTAAGACCCTAAGCTACTCGTAAAGGGGGCAGGAGAGCAGAGAAATCTTCCATCTCCTTTGAATGTGTGAGGAACACATGAGGTACAACCTAGCAGGAACATAACAGGTAACTCATAGACAACAGACTCAAATCAGTGTTAGCCAATAGTAAAACTACAAAGTCATATAGGGGGAATCAAGAGCAATTCTGACAACCTCTTAACAGGAGGTCATATGCATAGAGCAGGGGGGGGGACCCCAGAGCAAAACAGGGGAACAGGAGGACTATATCCCAACTGCCAAGGAGACCACGGGGACCTGGGATGCCTTTGGAGGCTGAGAACTCTGAGGTCCGGAGTACCACCCCCTCCAAAAAAAAATGAACAAACACAAAAAATTCAAATAGATAGAGAACAAGGAAAGCTTAGAACCAGACAGGAAACAGTCAGCATGGATCCACATATACCTTGCTAGGTAGGACACAAAGATTAGTTACTCCTCGCTAAGGTATTGAGGATTTCTCTGCACACCCCTCCTAAAACTGTACTGCACCTCAACTGTTGACATATGCCTTCTTAGAATTATAAGCCAGCTTAGACTAGCCTAAAATCTGCCAAGTTCAGCAAAATTATGCTTCAACACTATAAACTGCTAAATACTAAAATGAAAATAGACACAAGACAGCTGAATAGTACCCTATAGCCATTTTAAGGTGTATAGCAGCAGGTTGTGTGTATGAACTAAAATTGAAATGTCAATGAAGTAGTCACAGGATGTGGTTAAGAACTTGCATTTTTTAACATATTGGTTACTCAACACCATGTCAATTAATTCCATAATGTTATAAATTGTTGTTGATATTGTATTGGGACTTTTAATTGATCAGGATGATATTCTGCCAGCTCTACCTTTAGACCAGAGATGGTCTCCCCAAGAAACTGTCGGATATATCTGGACAATAAGATGTTGGACTCTATGCTTGATATATGTATGCAAAGAAAGAATCTTGACTGAATTTGAACTGTAACACTGCAACAACGTTGAGGAATCCACCTTGGGGGGAGGGCACGGGGAGGGGATGGGGAATCCCAGAGCCTATGAAACTGTGTCACATAATGCAAAGTAATTAATAAAAATGAAATGAAATAAAATAAAATAATGGTATGCTAAGGGTGTTCAGAGAAATCAGAGGAAATTTTAAGGAATAAGTGATAGCCTTTTCTCCTTAATGATTATTTGTTTATTATTTTGAAATACAGAGTTATAGAGCAGGAGAAGAGAGAGAGAGAGAAAGAATTTCTCATGTGCTACCTGGCTCCCCAGTAGCCACAATGGCCAGGGCTGGAGCAAGCTGAGGCCTGAACCTCCATGGGAACTCCACCTGGGGCTCCCACATAGAACAGCAGGGGCCAAAATACTTGTACCCTCTTGCACTGCATTCATAGGTGCAGTACCAGGAGTTGAACTGGAAGTGGATTAGCCGGGACTTGAACTGGTGCCCAGATGGGATATCAGCATTACAGGTGGCATATTATCTCACTGCCTCACAATGCCAGTTCTCAAGTGATAGCCTTTTAAAAAAAATATTCATGACTTTAGCTAGAGGAAGTTCTATGACTGTTATTATTTCAAGGTGAATTAAGGAAAAATGAGTCACAATTATGTTTCTTCAAGAGAAAGATTAAAGGAGGGAGGTACCATTTATAAAGACACAGGTTTTTAACTAAAAGACCAACGCCTTTTTCAGTAGCGTAGACCTTTAGTAATGGATTGAACTGTTTTTGCCATTTAGTGAACTTTTCGTAGAAGCTTGGATGAGCCCGAAAATATTAAGAATGAAAGAAGCAATATTTGTTTTTGTCCCACTAGGTAAAATTATAGTAAGTTAACATATAATAAACTTTTGCTGGTTTTTCATAACACATTTTTAGGGAGAAAAGTAAAATTTTGAGTTTCACAGCTTGGGAAACATGAGTCATGCCTTGGTTAGCTGTTCTTATGATATTCTCTTAGGTTTTTTAAGTGTAGACCCTAAATATTCCAATTACTTTAGTTCTCACGGTCAAATGATTTGTTACTACTTATTTCTACGTTCTTGTTCTCACCCAAACCTTGACTTGGCAGCTGTCTTCTTAAATAACCAACCATATAATCATCTGATATATTTGGTTTTGCATCTATAGGGAAAATGGTAAAAAAAAAAAAGTAATTGCATGAATATTTTCTAAGGTTTATTTACATTCCCAATTTACATTTTTTTTTCAAAATAAGAAAATACAACAGTAGCATAGTTTAATGAAATTAGCATAGACAATCTTTAGATCTTACAAACTCTTATTGCATTTAAAAATGCTCATATCTTTTGGGCAGCAATTCTTTTTCTAAGAATCTATTAAAAATTACTAATTTACAATATCCACAGAGAGTTGTAAACTTTTCCTTGTGTACATTAGCAAAAACAAAAGTTTAACAAGGAAGGGGGTTAAATAAATCCAGGTTCATTAATGGAATGCTTTCATCCGTGTAAAGAGGCTTTTAATACGGTATAATTTTAATCCAAAGCAATTTGTAAAATAACATGATTATGGGATTCATCAAGGAGTATATATGTAGATACATGGCAACCTTCAGGTTGTAGAGTTTTAAATGCATGGGCTGCTTCAGAAAGGAGAGCATTACCTTTCACTTCTGAATTTGATTCTTTCTGCATTTTCAGTAAATATTCTGAATCATACACCTAATTGAAGTGGAACACAGCAAGAAAATAACAATGTTAGAAACATGAAAATAAGGTAGATTTTTCCATGTGCTTTCTGATATTGTGGGTTTTCAACAAATATCTCTCAGTTTATTTTTATTAAAATGGGAAAAATTCATACATTAGGCCCTTTAATATCTTACACAGTACTGTTCCTGTGCATTAATAAATGTAAGGGGCACTAAAGGGAAATTAAACATTTTTCACTTCACATTAAATTTCATTCCATTGATTAAAGAGATAAAAATATGCTTATAATTTCCCTTGTTACAGAATTGAGATATCCAAATGTGAAAGTATAAAATGGGCGAAAATATTTAAAATTATATAAAAATCTATAAACAGATTGCAAAATTATGTTTACATGCAAAAGATGAAAATATTTTCTGGAAGCTCACACAGATTTTCAGAGCAAGGAAGAGCATAAATACATGACATTTATTTTCCATTTGAAAATGTCCAAAAGTAAATCGAGATTCAGATTTCATAAGTTTTTAAAGATTTAATCTAAAGGATATAAATACATAAGTCTTCAAAACATTTATTTAACATAAAATACAGTATATATATATACATATATACATATATATACATATATATATATAAAACTTCTTGAAGTTAATCATGCAATTCTGTATATTCTGGGATTCCTCCTCCCTCTACTTGCTGCCCCCCCCATTGATTTTTCCCATAATGTCACACTCTTCATAAGGAGTTACAATTCCATCAGCCTGCTATTTAAATGTGCCCTTGCAATACTGCTACAGACAATGTCAGACAGTCCATCATCCCATTGTCTAGATAGATCCAACACTTTCATTGATAGTCCATCTTTTGTTTGGAAGCAGAGATGCATATTGCATTGTGTCTTCACTTCTGCATATGGTAGTTTTCATTGCTCCAGCACTACATGTTCCAACTTGCATGATGGATTTTTTACAGTAGAGAAAACATATGATGTTTCTCATTTTGTGACTGACTGATTTCACTGAGCATGATGGTCTCTAGTTGGGGCCATCTAGTTGCAAATTGTATAATTTCTTTCTTTTTAATGACTGAATAATATTTCGTGGAGTAGATGTACCACAGTTTCTCTAGCCACTCTTCTTTGGATGGGCATCTGGGTTGTTTCCATGTCTTTGCTATTGTAGATTGTGCTGCTGTAAATATAGGATTATAGATCCCCTTCTTGTGATTTGTTAGTACATCAGACTAAAAAGCTTCTGTACAGCAAAGGAAACAATTAACAAAGTGAAGAAGCAACCAACAGAATGGGTGAAAATTTTGGCACACTACACAAATGATAAGGGACTAATATCTAGGATTTAAAAAGAGCTTCAGAAACCCAGGGACAGCAAAAAACCAACCCTGTGAAAAAACGGGCAACAGAAATGAACAGATATGTTTTGAAAAGAACAGATTCAAATGGCTAACAGACATATGAAAAGATGCCCAGGCTCCCTAAGCATCAGGGAGATATAAATTAAAACCACGCTGAGGTACCACCTAACTCCAGTGAGACTGGCCTACACTCAGAACTCAACTTACAACACCTGCTTGCATGGAAGTGGGGAGAAAGGCACCCTGCTTCACTACTGGTGGGAGTGTAGGCTAGTACAACCACTGTGGAAGTCAGTATGGAGAATGCTTAGAGAATTGCAAATCAACCTGCCATACGATCCAGCTACCCCCCTTCTAGAAATGCAACCCAAAAGAAACTAATTCTACTATATGCTTTTAAGACCCTATCAGTTAGAGGTTAATTATTTTTTCTTAATTAAAAAAAATTTAGTGAGAGAGACACAGAACAAAACAGAGACATATGTGCTAGTTACCTCCTCAAATGTCTGCAAGAGTCAGGGCTGGGCCGGCCTGAAGCCAGGATTTAGAGATCAGCCTATGTAGCTCCCATGAGTAGCGGGACTCCAAGTGCTAGGTCATCACCTGCTATCCTTTCTACACCCAAGCTGTGCATTAGCAGGAAGCTAGAATTGGAAGCGGAGCTCAGACTACCCCATGCACACGGGATGGAATTCTGTGTACCAAGAGTCAAGTACTTTTCAGCAGTCTTGCTTGTGGCTGGTTTGCCAAGCTCCTCAGCCTGCCATGGGAAAAGTGTATCTTTCAGTACCATCTATTTTTATACTCTTACAGTCTCATTTGTTTTTCTTAGTTTTAATTTCTTTCTTTCTTGCTACTCTGGATACATTTGATACCACTTTCCATCTGTGTCAAGGATATTTTGCAGTTTTAGTAATAGTAAATAATACGAGTAGCCCTTAATTAGGGAATAAGAAATTGAAGAGAAAATAATTTGCCATTTTTTGCATTGTTTTTTTTTTCAAAAGCCATTACCAGAGCAATTAAGATTCATCTCTTCTCTGATATTTTTGTGGCTTGCTATCTCCTTCTTTGTTTTTATATTTTTTTCTTATTTTTTACCTAGGTAAACAACCATTTAAAATCAAGATATAGCGCCCGGCACGGTGGCGCAGTGGTTAAGGTCCTTGCCTTGCACGCCCAGGATCCCATATGGGCGCCGGTTCTATCCCGGCAGCCCCACTTCCCTTCCAGCTCCCTGCCTGTGGCCCGGGAAAGCAGTCGGGGATGGCCCAAAGCTTTGGGACCCTGCACCCGCGTGGGAGACCCGGAAGAGGCTCCTGGCTTCAGATCGGCATAGTATCAGCCGTTGCACTCACTTGGGGAGTGAATCATCGGACGGAAGATCTTCCTCTCTGTCTCTCCTCTCTGTATATCCGCCTTTCCAATAAAAAAATAATAAAAATAAATCTTTAAAATAAAACAAGATATAATCAACATATCCAAAGAAATATGTGTGTGTGTGTGTGTGTGTGTGTGTGTGTGTGTGTTTGTGTGTGTAAATAGACTCACAGTTCAAAGAAGCTGGAGAGGTAATTGTCCATTCCTTTAAGTACAGCTAAAAGCTCTAGATAATGTATACAACGCAAATGTAAGAAGCTCAAAAGGGGGAAAAAGAAAGTAGACTAGCTAGGAACTTCAGCACAAGAGGTAAGATGCTCAGTTGTCTGACTTTTCTTTTTGACTCCTTTTATGTCCTTGATTCTAAGCTGAAGAAATCAATAACCCCCAAATGCCAATGAGTGCAAATCTAAGAGATTACACAAGAAAGACCAAGCACTTTCAGATGACAACTGCTTTGAGAGATAGCACAAGCCTAGCACCACAGGAAGAAAACTGACCCCTTCACGCTCCATGCCAATGAAGCCCTAGTGGGACCTTGAACCCTTTCCCTAAATTTTTCCTAAGAGTAGTATAGTTTCAGGCCCTACATTTAAGTCTCCAATTCATTTTGAGTTGACTTTTGGGTATGGTGTAAGTTAATAATTCAATTTTTATGTGTGTCCATGCATATGAATATCTAGCTTCTTTTTTTTTTCTGCCCAATTGCTGATCCAAAACCATCCTTTTTTTATTTCATTTTAGTTTTTACAATCTTTACATGTTTAATTAGGGCACAAAGGTTCAAGGGCTAAAGGAAAGTAAGACTATCATTTCCACATGCTCTTTTTTTTCCTGTATCTGGGGTAAATGGGGAGATAAAGGGAGAAGTCCCACCTGGCATCCCACTCATCCCAGGCTCCCAATGTAGGGTATGCTCCTAGGGTCTTGCTCAAGTGGTTTTGATAGTTCAACAGTTAAGAATTGCTGCCAATCTCACCATTCCAAGCACAATTAAGTCATTGCAGAATCCACTGATTGACATAGTCCATCTTAGAGTCTCCGTTTGCCCAGTTTTTCAAAGCCAACACATGGCTGGGGTAGTTGGTTGGTTTGTTCTGTCCTCTGTTGTGGTGTCAGGTATTCTCTGCAGGTTCTGATAGACTGCCTTATCCTCCATGTGCCCGGATTGTGCTGTCCACTGCTCCATCTGAGCTTCGGAGGAGGCTCTGCTCTGGCATTTGCACTCCATGGCATACCATGGAATCTGTACTTCTCTTCTGAGTCCAGCAGGAAATTTGGGGAGGTTCCCAAAGAAACTTTGTCTGAAATGATCCCAGACCTGATTCTTGTGTGTGTTTGCAAGTACAAGGACCGGCACAGTCCATCGCCCCAATCAGCTGGTGGTTGCAGTTGCTGTTGCTTGGTCAGTTCTGTTCCCAGCCCTGTCTTCCACTGGGACCAATGGGTGTTGCAGTCTAGCCTGATCCTGCCCAGTACACTCTTTGCCCTCACATAAACCAGTGGGAGCTGCAGCCTAGTCAGAGCTACACCAACAACCCTGACCGGGCTCTCTGCATGCCCTAGTTCCCATGCTTGCCAGTATGTATAGCACACTAGTCCAGTCAGTCCCACATTCCATTCAGCTCTCACACATGTCAATGGGCACTGAAGCTTAGTTCAATCCAACCAGCTCCACTATCCAGCTCACGCACCTGTGCTGGTAGGTGCCATTCTGTCCATTCCCCCCGCCCCAGTCCTGGTTTTCATGCTCTCCAGTGGGAGTGGTAAGCCAAGAGGGAGATGCCCATTATTTCCCTACTAGGCCACTCCCAGATCTTGCACTTTCCAGATGGTTCTGGAATTTAACTTAGATTAGCCACAAGTGCCAGCATCTGCTATCTGATGTTGCAGCACAGCCCAACCAACCCTCACCCATTTTGTTTTATGTTTGCACCAGTCAACCAAGTCTGGCTCTTCCCTGATCTGGCTCGCATGAGGCCCACAGATGTTGTAGCCTTGCCTGGTCTGGTCTGCTCCCATCCCAACTCGTCCATCCAGTGGGTGAGCTGTTCCAGCAGGGGGGCCCTCCACATTCCCCCTACCAGCTTTACTCCCTCCCTGCCTGGTTCCTATAGAGCTGTGTCCCAGCTTCTGTAGCACCATTATTGAAGAGACTCTCCTTTCCTCCATTGTGTATTCTTGGCATCCTTGTCAAAGATAAATTGTTAATATGAAATACCACATTAGCAGAATGAAGGACAAAAACCATATGATCATCTGAATAGATACATAAAGAGCATGTAAAAAATTCGACATAGTTCCATGATAAAAATTCTCAGCAAGTAGGAGTACAAGAACTGAACATAACAAAAGTCAAAAACGAATATCTCACAGCTATCAGCATACTTATTAGTGAAACAATAAGCATTTTTTTCCTCTAAGAAACAAGATCTGTGCTATATTCTTCCAAGAGCAATTAGGTAAGAAAAATAATCAAAAGGTATCTAAATTGGGAAGGATGAAGCTAAACTTTCATGAGGATACTTTAAAAGTTATACAAAATGGAATTAAAAAAATAATTCAGGGAGAGCATTTGATGTAGCACTTAAAATATCACTTGTACCAGGCCCGGCATGGTAGCCTAGTGGCTAAAGTCCTCACCTTCATGTGCCGGGATCCCATATGGGAGCCATTTCTAATCCCAGTGGCCCGCTTCCCATCCAGCTCCCTGCTTGTTTCCTGAGAATGCAGTTAAGGAAAGCCCAAAGCCTTGGGACTCTGCACCTTCTTGGGAGACCCAAAAGAAGCTCCTGGCTCCTGGCTCCTGGCTTCGGATTGGCTCAGCTCTGGCCGTTGCAGCCACTTTTGGGAGTGAAGCAACAGATGAAGATGTTCTTCTATGCCTCTCCTCCTGCCGATTTACATGACTTTCCAATAGAAATAAATGAAATCTTAAAGAAGAAAAAGTAACTGGGGATATCCTCATATTAGAGTGACTGAGTTCAAGTCCCAGCTCCACACCTGATTCTAACTTCCTGCAAATGTGTACACTTGGAAGCAGCAAGAAATGGCTCAAGCGGTTGGATTTCTGCCACTGCCTACGAGATCATGACGGAGTGACTGGTTCCTCACTTTGGTATAGCCTGTTCCAGGTTGTGAGCATCTGGAGAGTGAACTAACAAATACAAGATTCCTGTTTGTAGCTCACTTTCTACGCCATTGAAAAAGATGAAGATAAACAGATGCATTTTTTTTTCAAAAGATAATGCAGATTTTCCATAAGCATTTTTAAAAGATTATTATTTGAAAGGGAGAGTTAGAGAGAGAGAGATGAGTCAGAGACAGAGATGGAGGGAGGGAGTGAGGAAGACAGAGGGAAAGGAGATAGAAATCTTTCATCGGTTGGTTCACTCTCCAGATAGTTTCACTGGCCAAGGTTTGGCTAAGTTTAAGCCAGGAGCCTGGAACTCTATCTTGGTTTGCCATACAAGTTCAGTGGCCCAAGTATTTGGGCTATCGTAAGTTGCTTTCTTTGGCACATTAGCAGGCAGTGGGATTGGAAGTGGAGCCAGCGTTTGAAACAGTGCCTATTTGGGATGCCAGTGTCATAGGCAGTGGTTTAACCTGATATGCTACAATGCCAGGCCTTCTTATAAGCATTTTGAATACTCTGTTATCTATAGCCAGAAAGGAACTAAAAGGCCCAACAGCCTCTGAGGAACCGAATTCTGTAAACAGTGAAGGCAATGAGGCTAAAAGTGCATCCTTTGCTTGATTGGTCTTCACATCAGACCATAGCTTGGCTAACATTTTCATTACAGCCATGAGAATCTTCACATAGACAGCTAAGCCACTCCCGAATTCATGACTCACAGAGCATATGTGGTATTAAATGTTTGTGGTTTTAAGCTGTGAAAGTTTGGAGTACTCGGTAACAGAAAACTGACATACCTCTTTTTGTTGAAATATTGGCAGTTGAACAAATGGCTTTTAGAAATGTGGTCATATGGAAGTATGCATAAAGATATTTTAAAATATTTATAGCAAAAGGGAATGAAAAGAAGCTGATTTTTGTTCAAAAGCATTGAAATCACGTAGTTTTTTCAAAGTACACATGTTTTTTTTGGTGAACTTTCTTAAGATTCCACATATGCATGGATTTCAACGTGTTTGTACTAAAACAAACTTACTTTTTCATTCATTCCATTTTATTGTGACTGTGTAAGTATTATCTGTCCATACATGCGAAAAATTAACTCAAACTCCAGACTGAAGCTAAGACTAATTAACCCCTCCGTCCAGGTCTATTAGTGCTAACCCTAAAGATCCGTGAGAGAGAGAGGTTTGTTGTATACTACGGAGCTGTTGAAGTTGTTTGTAATGGGGCTAAAGCAACTAATGTACTTACAAAATGATGAGCTTGTTTCTTTTACCTCTTAAAGCACAGTTTCATTTTTAAAATTTTGTGAGGATACTTCAGAATGTTCACAATAAAATGGAATGAAAAGGTAAGCTTATTCAATACAAAATTTTGAAAGGTAGAACAGGAGTTAAGCCAACGTTGAGAGGAAGAGAGAATCTCTGTCTGCCATCTCCCCTAATTTCTGGAACAGCTGGTGTTCAGCCAAGCTGAAGCCAGGAGCCGGGAGCATCAGTTTGATCCCTTATATGGGTGACCGTACATACAACCTCAAGCCTGCCACAATTTACCTTAGGGGGAAGTTAGGTGCCAAGTGCAATGATTACGATTCAAATAGCCACTCTGCATTGGGATATGCGCACCACAATGCCTGCCCTTTCTCTTTTTAAAATTCTTAATTCCTTGTCACTTGCTTGATTTGGTAACCCAAACTACAACCTCCATCGAAAACTTATTTTTCTACTGCTTAAATTTTCTCCAGAGGCCCTTATCTCCATCACATCATGTATTTTATTTATTTACCTAATTTCTTACGTATCTCCACAAGTAACTGTCAACTAACAAAGTGAAAGCTTTTGTCCCATTTTATTTAGAGTGTATCCCCAACTCTCAGTCACTATCTGATAGAGAGTTGCTTAATACAAATAACAGATGAATAATGATAGAATAAATGATACATGACTAACGAATATGTAAGAGAATGTTGAGTTAGCACTCAAGTGTTATGTGTTAAATAACCATCTCCGTTACTGACAAGTTGTATTACTGTTGAGAAATAACCTTTTCGAATTGTAAATGCCCTTTTCTATAAAGTAAGGGTAGCAGAACAAAAAAAAAGTTAAAGTTAGAATATTCTGTGGCTGAAAGGTACTAACGTGATCAGAGTAACAATCGCTATACAATAATTACACAACTGGAAACTTTTTTCTTTGCCTTATTTGTTGATCACCGTAAGAGACACACCTCAGTGTCTCAATAGTATAAGCAAAAATTTTCAATCATACCTGAGGAGTTAACTTGAGAAGATAATTCTGTGAGTCGGATTCTGAACTATCAGAGCCTTGACTGCTACAAAAACAAGCACATGAACAAAAAAACAGTTTAAGTTTCAGAATGTTTCAGTGAAAGTTCATGATTTTCATGGTTGCATTTATCTTACAGGCTCTAATAACAAGAGTGCTGATAAAAGTTGTTTAGGTGTTTGGTAATTTCAGAAAGCTTAGCAGTAGAGATGCTTTTACTTGAAGATATCTTTTTTAAGATTTAATTAAAATTCTAAGAATGTGTTACTAGAATATAAGCTCCAGAAAAGAATATATATATATATATATATATAGAGAGAGAGAGAGAGAGAGAGAGAGATGATAGATAGATAGACAAAACCACCATGAATATGTAGTAGACACCCAAAAATATTTGTTAATAAGAGAATGCATAAATGCTATCTGAGTAGATTCCCAAGTTTCATAGGTATCATTAGCTATTAAATTATTTTTACATCACTACATTTGCACTCCGCTTCGAGAAAATGCAAGACCACATGTAACATGGGACCTAGGAAAACTAAGTCAAATAGCAGTCTGTCTCTAATGGCAATTATTTATTTTTGACAAAGTGATAAAGTTTCACATTGATACGTAAACTTCTGCTTGAGATGCAATTCAAGAAATGAACATTTCTGGCTTGTATTTATTATGATTCTTATTATTTAAAGCTTGATTTATTTTTTACTAAAAAGACAGATATACAGAGAGGAAGAACTTCTGTCTGCCGATTCATTCCTCAAGTGGCCGCAACGGCAGGAGCTGAGCCCATCAGAGGCCAGCAGCCTGTCCTCCACTGCTTTCCCAGGCCACAAGCAAGGAGCTGGCTGTCAAGCAGGGCTGCCAGATTAGAACCAGTGCCCATATAGGATGCTGGTGTGTGCCAGGTAAGTACTTTCAGTCACTAGGCTACCACGCAGAGCCATTCTTATTTTTTTAATGAACAGATTTCGTTTCCTAGAACAGTTTTAGGTTTAGAGAAAACTGAACAGGAGGATTTCATGTGTACACTTTGCTGCCTGCAGGGTTTCATTTCTTATTGACATCTTACAGCTCTATGGTATAAATGCTACAACTGATTGAACCCATACTGAATCATTGCTACTAATAAAGTTTATAGTGATATTAAGCTTCACCTTTTGTTTAAAAAAAAAAAAACAAACATTTACTACCTGGTACCACAACAGAGGATGGAGGACAGAACAAATCAATCCACTAACGCAGCCAAGTGTTGTCAGTGAAAACCTGGGCAAACGGAGACTCTAAGGTGGACTATGTCAGTTAACGGATTCTGGAGAGACTTCATCGTGTTTGGAATGGCAAAACTGGCAGTGATTCAGACCTGTTGAGCTACAAAACCACTTGAGCAGTGCTCTCAGAGCATGCCTCACATCAGGGACCCTGGGATGGATGGGAGGCTGTGTGGGACTTCTCTTTTTATCTCCTCCTTTCACCCAAATACAGGGAAAAAAAAGGTGGAAACAACGGTCTTATCCACTTTCCTGTAGCCCTTGACTTTATGCCCTAATCAACTATGTAAAGATCATCAACATAAAATGATATTGATAAAAATAAAAGATTTGTTCTTATTGGAAAGGCAGATATAGAAAGAGAAGGAGAGAGAGAGAGAGAGAGAAAGATTTTCCATCTGCTGGTTCATTCTTCAACTGACCATAATGGCCTGAGCTAAGCTGATCTGAAGCCATGAGCCAGGAGCTTCTTCCGGGTTTCCCATGCAGGTGCAGGTGGCCTGCTTTCTTAGGCCACAAGCAGGGAGCAGGATGGGAAGTGGAGCAGCCAGGATCGAACTGGTGTTCATACAGGATCCTAGAGCATGCAAGGTGTGGACTTAGCCACTAAGCAATTGCACCAGGCCCAGGGTTGACGTTTGTGCTGTGCATTCTAGCTGGTTTCACAAATCTTTACTGACATATCCACATTATCGTATATTTCAGTTTCACTGTCCTTAAAATCCACTTCTTTCCATTATCCTTCCTTTCCAAGGTACTCCTGGTAACCACTGACATTTTTTCTGTCTGAATGCTTTTGTATTTTCCAGCATGTCATATAGTTGGATTCATATTGTATGAAGCCTTTTCAGACTTGCTTTATTTCACTTAGCAATATGCATGTGGGATATCAGCATATCTCTTCTGGACTTGATGGCTCATTTATTTTCATCATTGAATAATATCCCATTGTATGGATGAAAAGGTTTGTTCATCCATTCCTCTATTGAAGAACATTTGATTACTTAAGCTGCTTTAAACATTTATGGCAGATACTTGTGGACATGTTTTCAACCTAATTGAGTATGCAACTATGAATATGACTGCTGGACTACGTGGGGTTATTAAGTCAGATTTGTAAGCAATTTTGCCAAGGGTTGGTGTTGGGACATAGTAGGTGAAGCTTCCCTGCAATGCCAGCATGGCCAAAAGGTGCAGATTTGTGCCCCTGCTGTTCTACTTTTATCCAGCTACCTGCTAATGGCCTGCAAAAAGTAGCAGATGATGGTCCAATAACTTGGTCCCCTGACTCATGTGGGAGACTCAAATGAAGCTCCTGGCTCTTGGCCTCAGCCTGGCTCAGCCTGGCTCAGCCCTGCAATTGTGGCCATCTCAGGGACTGAACCACTAGGAGAGCTCTGCCTATGCCTCTCCCTCTGTAACGTTTTCAAATAAAGGAAAAATCTTAAAAATCTTTAAAAGACAAACTGCCAAATAATCTTCCAATATAGCTGAATAGTTTTGCACTTTAACCAACAAAGTAGCAGAATTCATGCTGGTCTACATCCTGCTCAGTGCTTGATGTTGTCAGCACTTTGCATTTTGGTCATTCTAAATATGGTATTTCATTATTGAACTTGAAAAGCAACAGGGAGACAGTAGTAGTTACCATCGTTGGGTTCATTCCCCAGATGTCCAGGTCTGGGCCAAGGCCAAAACCAGTATCCAGGAACCCAGCTGAGGTCTCCCACTGGAATGGTAAGAACTTAGTTGCTTGATCCATCACTGCTGCCTCTGAAGGCCTGTATTAGCAGGAAATTGGAACCCGGAACTGCAGGCAGTGGTATCAAATACATACATTCCAAAATGGGAAATGGACATCCTAACCAGTATCTTAACTGTCAAACAAAATGTTTATTCCTTCGTCATTGATTTTCACTTGTAAATTAATGTCAAACATGTATCAGTGTACTTGTTAATCATTTGGGTATTTTCTTTGATGAAATTCCAGGACACTTTGCCCATTTGTAATTTGGCTTGTGTGTTTTCTAACGGTCAAAATTTAATTCTCTGTATATTTTAGATTTGAGTGCTTTATCAGATATGCATTTTGCAATTATTTTTTAGTCCATGGCTTGTCTCAATATTCCGACACTGTTGGCTCACAGCGTATGTTGTCAATTTAATTGAGTCTAACATCAATCTTTTTAAATAGATAATGCTTTTGTGTTGCATCTAAGAATTCATTACCAAAACCAAGATAACAGATTTGATCTTATATTATCCTTCAGGACTTACAGTGTTACATTTTTCATTTGGCCTGTGATCCACTTTTTGTTTAATTTTGGTGAAAAAGTGTAAGTCTATTTCTACATTTAAGTTTTTGCATGTGGATATTCAGATGTTTCAGTGCCATGCGTTCAAAAGAGTGCTCTTTTTCCATGGAAATACAGTTGCTCCTTTTTCGGTTGTCCATGCCTGTATAATTCTATTTTTGGATTTCCTATTATTCTGTCTTGTGAATCTATTTGTCTATTCTTTCACTAGTATGAGACTCTTGATTTTGGAGCTTTTTGGCAAGAAACTTAAGATCAAGTGGTCAGAACCTGCAAACTCAGTACAGGTCTCTCATGTGGATGACGGGAACCCAACTCCTTGAACTATCACTTTGTTGCTTCCTTGAACGTGTATTAACAGGAAGCTGGAATCAGAAGTGGAACCTGGACTTGAACCCAGACACTTTCATATGACATGTGAGTGCCTCAAGCACTGTGACAAATGGTTGCCCCAGAATTTGAACAACATTACATTTTTTTGTTTCTATGATCATGGACTATCTCTCCACTTATTTAATTGTCCTTGAATTTATTTCACTGGAGGTTTTGCAGTTTTCCATTTATAATTTTGCAATTATTTTATTAGATTTTATTAGATTTAACCCAGGTATTTTTATTTTTGCGCTGACATTAAGTGGTAAAGTGTTAATTTTTTTTCATTCTGATTGCTCATGATTTATACTTTAGGAAGCAATTCCATGTTAACCCTGTATCCTGACATCTTACTATAATTATTAGTTGCAAGAGTTTTTCACTCTTCAAAAAAACATTTTTAGCAAGTAATTTCAGGGTCATAAGTTTTCACATTAATTGGGAAGATCACACAGGAAAGCTGGAAGATGCAGAGCACGCTAATCCAAATTACAGCCACTTTTTTCAACAGATGCATTCCTTTCAACATCAAAGAACTAATCCACATCAAGCACTTCACTAACTGTCACCCTAGAATGTTACCACCCTAGAATGTGACATCTGTGCAGTACAAATTAAGCTGTTAAAGACAGAGAGACCTATTTTCCTGAAGTTTCATAAGTACACAGCAAGACAAAATTTGAAGAATTTATACACCAGCTTGGAAGCTAGATTAAAAAAAAAAACAGCAGTATTTGAGTAAGTTGTGCAACATAAATACAACTATTTTTAAGAGTAATTTCTTCTCTAAGGTATTGGTCTGAAGCAAATCTAATTAAAACATGCACACACATTTTAAAATCTTAACCATTTGCTTCACAAGAATAGAAAGAAACTGGAGCCTAAATCTATACAGAATTACAAAGTAGTCCAAAATAACAATCAGAGCACAGAACAAGCCTGGAAGGGTCACCCTCCCTGGTTTTGTCTCTCCTTCTACCTATAAATCTGCCTTTCCAAAATAAATAAATAAATAAATAAATAAATCAGTCTTAAAAAGGAGTGGGGGTGGTGCTCTGTGGTACAGGAAAACTGGATGACCCATGAGGTCATTATGCTAATTTAGTTGCAAATATTACACATTCACGTTTGTATAAAGTATCCAAAAATTAAAAAATCAAATGCAGAGAATCAAAGAGTGGAATGGTGGTTTCCAGGGGCTGGGATCTGAGGAACCCAAGTTACTAATTAGTAAACATAAATATGCTATTGGAGAACTTTTGTGCATTATGCCAACAGTCAACAACAAAAGATTATACACTTTAAAACTTAATAAGAGGGTTTGAATTTGCTGTATGCCATGAGTGGATATGGAGAAAACAAAAGCAAGTATTACTAACATTCCATGTACTAGAAATACACTGTGCCTAGCGATGCTCATACTATTTGAATACAAAGAAAAAGTGTTAAGGAAGTCCAGACAAGATGCATTGAAAAGATTTCCTCTGCTCAGACCTGAGATGCTCAGGCAACAATATCCAACAATATTTTAGTATTATCATAAAGAACAGAGTAGGACAGCACAAAAAAAAAATGTATTACTCCTTTAGTCTTGACCTACCTCGATTCTGGGTCCACTGTAATTTCTATCAGGGAAGTAGTATAGGACCCTTCAAAGACTTTTTCAAAGTTTGTAGGAACACGTTTTGTCATTTCTTCTAATTCTTTCAGGCACTGATAGTACTAGGGTAAATTATAAATTAATTACAAAATAATGTGATTTCAACTGAAGTAATTTAACATTTAAAGACATCAGGACAATAGTTGTGACATTAAGTACCCCGTGTCCCAGTTCCTGTTAGGAAAGTAATAAAGGAAAAGAACTGCTGTAGGGCTCAGGCAGGCTGCCTGATAGGCTGGAGTCTGATATATTGCCAAATAGATTGTTTACCTTGGTCCGGTCAGGATCGCAATAGTCCAAGAGAGAATCACAAAAATGGTATCCCATTGACTCCAGGTCTTTTGTGTTGAAATGAGTGCCTTGTTTCTTACCTATAAATCAAAAGTTTATCTATCCTGGAGGATGCGTTAATCTCTTTTTTTTTTCTTAGCAGGTAAGCCTAAGTTCCAGACAGAGAGTATAAAATAATAAAATATTGGTAGGTTCCTTATCCCACCCTTGAATTTTCTACTTTAGAACATTCAAAATTCTCTCTCTTGCTCTCGCTCTCTCTCAGACTTATTTATTCAGTTGAAAGGCAGTATCAGAGAGAGAGTGAGAGAGCAAGCTTCCCTCTGTTGGTTCACTCCCCAGCTGATCACCAGGACTGAAGCTGGATCAGGTACTTGGATCAGGTACTGCTCCTTTCCTAGGCCATTGGGAATGAGCTGGTCAAGAAGGAAGCAGCTGGGACTTGAGCCAGTATCCACAGGGATGCCTGTTGCATCCTAACGGGGGTTTCTTTACCCACTATGCCACAACACTGACCCCCTGGGGCAGGTCATTGAACAGTTTAATGCTTTCTCTGCTCCTTTCCCACCTTCCAGGCCAAGGCTTCTTTGGCATAGCCTGGTCTATGTTGCAAGGCAGAAGAAAATTCACTATGACAGGGACTATTTGGTGATAGTTACAGTGTATCAACTACTGAAAACACCCTCAAGCAGTGACTTTATGAGAAAAATGCTTTCAAGGTACATTAAAAATTAGCTGAATATTTTACATGTGTTTTTTTAGCACTTTAAGTTAATACTTAAAAGAAACTGCCTTAACATAATGTATCCCTTTACATTAGAATACATATGACTAAATATATAGATTTAATATTATACTTAATATGACAATATTTTAATAGTATTTCTAATATTATTATATGTAACAATATGCAATAGAATATATTTAATTTTATTACTATAATAATATATAATATATTTATAATATTTTCATATACCATATATTTTAAATATATCAAAACATGTATATTTTCATTTAAAATATATTTATGATTTATATGATACATAATTATGCTTGATATTAATACAATAATAGATTTAACATTATATTTAAATATAATAATAACATATATTCTTAAAATAGATATATATACTAAAAATATATATTTATAATTTGTTTTTATTGGAAAAGCAGATTTACAAAGAGAAGGGGAGACACAGCTAAAGAACTTCCCATCCACTGTTTCACTCCCCAAATGGCTTCAAGGCCAGAGCTGGGCTGGTCTGAAGCCAGGAGCCAGGAGCCAGAAACTTTTTCCAGGTCTCCCAAGTGGGTGCAGGTCCCTAGGCTTTGCAGTCCACAAGCAATGAGCTGGATGGGAAGTAGAGCAGCTGGGACATGAAATGACATTCATATGGAATCTTTGTATGTGCTGGGTGAGGATTTAGCCACTAGGCCATCATGCCAGGCCCTAAATAGCATTACAGATCATACTTATATTTTTAGTTCAGGGAACCAGTACCTCCACATCTAAATGTAATTTGGCCAATTCCTCCTCCCCTTCAGATTTTTTTTTTTTTTGTAAATAGCAAACTTAGCAAAAATATTTTTGTAGTGACATTTGAAGGATGTGAACTGCCCTTTTCTTTAAATTATCAGGAACATTTGTTTTGGGCTGGTGTTGTGGCACAGCAAGGCCAGCCACCACCTGTGATGCCAATGTCTCATGTGGGTACTGGCTATTCCACTTCTAATCCATGTCCCAGTGGCCAAAGCGCTAAGGGCCCTTGCACTCACATGTGAGATCCAGCTGGAGCTCTTGGTTCCCAGCTTCATGCCAGCTAAGCCTTGCTGTTGGTAGCCACTTGGGAAGTGAACCAAAGATTCTCTCTCACCCTCTCTTTCTGTAAGTCTGCCTTAAGAATAAATCCACGGAAACCCTCTAAAAAAAAACACAAAACAAATATTAACTTTGAAGATTAGTTTGTGAAGTGGGCTGGTGTGGTGGCTCAACGAGCTAATCCTCTGTCTTATGGTGCTGACATCTCATAGGGGGGTGATTCTAGTTGTGGCTTCTCCACTTTCAATCTAGTTCCATTCTCCAGATTGGCTCAGGCTTGGCCATTGCGCCCATTTGGGGAGTGAACGGCAAGATGGAAGACCTCTCTCACTGTCTCTCCTCTGTAAATCTGCCATTCAAATAAAAATAATTTTTAAAAGATTAGTTTATGAAAAATAAATTGCTCTAACCACACCTAAAATAACTCTAGAAGTGATGATGAAACAGAAAAAAAATGGAGAGTTTATCTGTATACCGAATCGATTAAATATAAGTATATATTTACATGGGAAGAAAGTACTATCAAATACTCTACATTATAGATTTAACATTAAAATACATTTTTCTCTAAAAGCTTTGATGAGAACATCTGGTCCTACCCAGAGTAGATCCACAGAAGGTGGCCTCCATAGTAAAGCTGTTCCTGATTCCCATTTTCCACATCACCACTCTTCCTGTTCCTTCTTTGCTCTTTTGAATATTAAACTTGCAAGCTGAAAATGAAAACTGAAAGGAAGAAATAAAAATGAGACCCATTATTATTTATTTCTAGATTTTTCTTAGGAAGTGGGGTTGAAAACGAAGCTAGTCATGCAATATCTGTTAATTCTCTTTAGAGCTTTAGGAGTCATGTTTATTTCCTGACCAGTAGTAGTAACTCATTTTAAGGGTGATACATTTACTTTCTTTTTCTTTTTTTAAAAGATTCATTTCTTTTCATTGGAAAAGCAGATCAGATAGAGAGAGAGGAAGAGAAACAGAAAGAAAGATGTCTCATCTGCTGGTTCTCCTCAAATGGTTGCAATGGCCAGAGCAGAGCCAACGTGAAGCCAGGTACCAGGAGCTTCTTCCAGGTCTCCCATGTGGATACAGGGTCCTAAGGCATTAGCCTCTCCCCAACTGCCTTCTGAGGCCACAGGCAGGGAGCTGGATGGGAAGTGGAGCAGCTGAGCAGGATCCTGGAGGCTGTAGAATGAAGATTTAGCCATGACACTGGATCCAACACGTTTATTTTTCTGAGAGCCATAGATTATAATTTCTACAATACAACTTTTACTTGTATATAGTATATACATCCAAAAGCTATTGATTACTTTTGGTACTGTTAAGATCCTAGATAGGAGTTTAAGTATATTTAGGAATCACAATTAATGTTGAAGATTTCCAGTAACAAGAGTCTTTGTTTTAATCGGAGAGACATTTGAAAGATGTCATGAAAGGTGTATCCTTAGTGTTATTGGAAGGGGTGTAATTTTGGTTAATTAGCATAGCATAAAACTGACTTTTATGCATTTCATTCTATGCATATTAACGGTTTGATTTCATGTAACTGTCATCATAATGATTAATACTAAACAGTTTTATTATCCCTAAAATACTCATATTGTCCCTTAGCAATCACAATCCCTTAACGTCCCAAATTTCTAGCAAGGAGTAATCTGAAATTATTGCAGTTTTTTTCTTAAGATTGTACATTTTAAAGATAAAGATTTATAAATGTTGTTGAGACTGGCTTCCTTCACTTAATACCTTTGAGATTTTCCCTGCTTGATGCATGTTAATACTTGTTTCTTTGTATTGACGAATAGTAGGCCATTGTATGAATATATCTGTTTATCTGTTCACTAGCTTAGAACATTTAGTGTTGCTTCTAGCTTTTGGCAATTATGATGGAACAGCTATGAGTGTCTACTCATCAGTTTTAAGTTTTCATTCCTCTAGGAAAAATATCTAGGAAAGGATAGCAGAATCATGTAGAAGTCTATATTTAACTTTATAAGGTACTTCCAAATTATTTTCCAAAATGTTCCATGGGCATTTGAATATAATGTGTACATCTCTGTTCAGCAGAGTGTTCTGTAGTGTCAACTAACTTCAGTCAGTTGATGATGTTCAGTGCTTATATATCCTTGCCTGTTGTCTGTCTTCCAGATCTAGATTGCAGAGGGAAGAATTGTAATTGTAATTATGGAATTAGAATCTAATTGTAATCATGGGTGCTCACGAATAGATTTAATAAGAAAAATTTAGAAATGGAAACCCATTATTTCCAGCAATTTTTATATGACCTATTTTAACTATAGACTGGTTGGTTATAGCATTTAAGAATTTGGTACATTCAGGCCCGGCGGCGTGGCCTAGTGGTAAAGTCCTCTCCTTGAACACGCCGGGATTCCATATGGGCGCCGGTTCTAATCCCAACAGCTCCACTTCCCATCCAGCTCCCTGCTTGTGGCCTGGGAAAGCAGTCAAGGATGGCCCAAAGCCTTGGGACCCTCACCCATGTGGGAGACCTGGAAGAAGTTCCTGGATCCTGGCTTCGGATCAGCACAGCACCGGCCATTGCGCTCACTTGGGGAGTGAATCATTGGACGGAAGATCTTCCTCTCTGTCTCTCCTCCTCTCTGTATATCTGACTTTCCAATAAATAAATAAATCTTTAAAAAAATAAGAATTTGGTACATTCAATCTAATACACAACAGGCTTAATATTCATGACACTTAGCATGTTAATAAACAAGTATTAAAATATCACAGCAATTATTTTACACAGGGATATTTTCAGTTTTGCGGGATATTATTCCAGTCTGGAATTACTTTCCCCAATGTTTTTCATTGTGAAGAAATGTATTCCATTTGGGAAATAAACCTATGTTCTCTGTCAACAGCACTTCTTACCAGATCATCATTTCTTGTTAATGCTTGGGATTTAATTACCTACAGAAGACAATAGTGATGTTTCAACGAGTCCTTTACAATTTGGCTGGTTGAAAATTTGGGTGAAAGCTTATATAATGTTTTTGCTATATTAAAATGTTTACTAAAGGATAATTAATATAACATGAATACTTCCATAGATGAGTGCCTCAAACAGGTGCATACTCTATGAAATTACATATACTTTATTTGTTTTTCATTTAATTTCTACATATTTGTAAATTTGGAGTATTTGCTTATTTCCTGGGAAAACCTAATAAATACTTCACATCTTTAGCCCGTATAAGTGAGAGATTGAATAAATAGTAAAACAATGAAAACTTAAGGCATCAAAACTGGTGAAATTGAAAGAAAGTTTTCAAAAGGTAAAATCTTGGAGATGTTATGGGTATTTTGTCTTTTTCATATTTTCAAATAATTGGTCAGTCGCATGCAATTTATTAAGTAGACAATTCTATAAACCAGTAAACAATAAGTAAAAAAAGTAGCTTATTGAAAAGAATTGCTCAATCTATTGGCCCTCGAGGGCAACAGTTAGTAAAAGAAAAAGTAAAATCTTGATAAGAACTCACTTTATCTGGACAATTTTTGCTCAGCATAAGAGGAAAGATTCGTTGTTGTAAGTATAAAACTTTGGATCTGTCACTACCATCACAGCCATACATGAAGATATTCTCTTTCCTACTATGACCATGAATATCACAATATAAAATAACCTCTCGTTTCTCCATCAATCTATCAGGAAGAGAAACAATAGTTACTATATCTTACCTCCGCACTTTACTTATGCAGATGCAACTATGGATTTGCAAAAATAATGGGCCAATACAATTTTGTATAAACTGGCTTTCAGTTTTAGCTTCTCGTTTATATGTGTATTATTAATAATATATTTTCTAGAAATATATAGTAATTTCCTGTTAATTACATATAATATATGAGTGTGGTAATCTATTACATGGACTTTAGTCTCAATACTTTCTCCAATAAGATCTCTCTTCCGCTCTAGTCAAGCCTAAAGCATTTCTCTCAACTCCAGTAACAATTAATCCGGACAACATTTATTTGGCACTCTTTTGGGAAGTTTTCATAGTTTTAACATCTAAGCTTGTTAAGGATGGACAATGCTTCCAGTTATCTTGAACAGCGCTATGCAAATAATAAGCCCTCAAATATTTGTTAAAAAAACGTAGTGTCTGGTGACTTGGTGCTGAAACCAGTTAACATCTGACTCCTGATTAGTATAATGAATAAATGGTATTTTGTCAAAAATGATAAAGTTTGATTTGACTTTACAGGTAAATTTATAACAAATATTTCCAAGAAATTATTGCAATTCATTAAGAGCTCTGTTCTTCGTATGGTTTAGCACTGAATGATTACTTAGACAATGGAAAATTGCCCTCCCAAACGACTGATGAAAATAAGAGAAAAAGCTTTCAAAAGGTAATGAAGGGATAATATTGAGATGGTAAAGTTATGAGAAATTTTCTTTTTTTACATTTTAAACCAGCACTATTATATCAATCAAAAATCATTTCTATATTTCTATATCCAGAAGCATAAATATCAAAATGTAAGCAGTGTCATATGTAACAAGAACAATATGTTCCAAATCAAAATTCTAAAACCTGAATCCCTCAACACATTACTTCCAGTCATAATAATATTCTTTATAAAATGAAATCTGCATACATGTATTAATTTTTTGAGTTTTTCTCATATGTGTCCAATATGTTCTAACTGATAACAGGACTTACATAAAGCTGTTGAGCACTGTATATTTTTAGAATATGAACTAGATTGTAAAGAACGAATACCAAGTCCTTAAACAAGAGTCAAGCTGCCATTTCAAACTTCCCCAAATCAAATATTCTGCTTTTTACACATAACTCAGAAAAAACTTCTTACAAATAATTAATTCCCCCAATATTATTTTTTTCTGAAATAAAATATTCTGTTATTTTAAGTAACATTAGAAACAGTTGAAATTTTCTTCTTACCCACAGGTAACTAAGATATTCTGTTTTTTTTTTTTTTATCCTGAGTATCTTAAGATTTACTCTCTTATTTTACCATGCTTTAAATGTAATTTCACATATGTGTTTAGCTGTTCACCTTTGTATTCTGCTTCCCTGCCTAAGATTAACTGCAATAAGATTATTGTTCTTTCCTGCAAGTCTTTATCACACTTCTTAGGTAGACTCCTGTTTTAACCTTGTCACCAGGCAATCTGAAGAATTGAGACTATGTAAGACAGTTCCCACAGACCCAAACCCCGGGGCTTCGATCTGTAATACGTTATGTATGAGACCAGGAACCCTTACTGTCAAAGAACAGTAAGGAGTCATTACGGATGACTCTTGGGCTTCCCGCAGCTTCCTTTATACAACTTTTAAATATTTCTATTTCAGAATAATTTTAGATTTATACTGAGGCTGAACGCGGAGTTCTCCTAGTTTGGGATAATGTTGATATTACATGGAACACACTGTTAGAAAAAGCGAAAACAACACTGGCAGCTTATGGTTACCTAAGCTCTCAACTTCATTTGGATTTTATTAGTTTTCCCACTAACATCCTTTTTTCAACCGAGACTCCAACCCAGAGTGCCATGCTACGTTAATTTAGCTCTCTCTTTATTGCCTGTCATGCTCAGGAAAATTAGAAGAAAAAAAAAATCACAGATTGTTCTTGCATCACTTAACTAGCTCTTTTGGAATCCGTATTTGTGACAGGCATTAAACCAGGAATTTCTCTGTATTTTCTGTGGATCTCAGTACTTCCCTCTCTAAGGAGATAGCGGGCTAAAGTGAGAGGGAACATGGAAGCGCAACAGTGTAAAGCAACAGAATCAATGGGTGCTTGTAAACTTGCAAGCTCCTCTGAGAGACTGGAGGTAACCCCAGGGAAAATGCCTGGTCTACCACCAGCTGTGATAAGACACCCACCGTATTTGAAATACGCAAATTTACGTATTCCTTTCAAAGAGTTAGCAAACAGCAGTCCGTTCAACAAGGGGGGGGGGGGCTATTGTATCCGGTTGCATGATACCAGATGGGAAAGAAAGAGACATTAAACTATCCAAAGAGAATGAAGAAGACTATGAGAACAAGATATTACCAAATTCACTCCATAAGCAAAGAGGCGTTCTGAGTCTTACTTTACCTACGGATCATGTTTCGGGTATACCAAACAGAAGGAAATGATTCTTTCAGGAGAGATGCATAATTACGGTTCAAGTCCTGTCCCGCTAAGGAGCACCGATAATTTCCCACAATCACGCCATCTGGATTCAGCATGGGTACCACCTTGAAGACAAAGGTGTCCCGCAGCAAATGCGCATCACTTGAGTTTCCTAAAATAAAATCAAGGAAGCCTTTCATGATCCAAGAGCTGTTGGTCTCTCCCGGGTGGACTCGGGCAGTCAGAATGACAGCCTTCCGCTTTCTTGATTCGGCATTCTTCAAAGGGGTGGTGATTGTTAAAATATACACCATGTTCCTAGCAAGCGTGTGACACAAGACACGTATTTTACAAAACTTGGAGCGTACTGGGTCGTTATTGATGCTGGAAAGGTATTCTTGTAGCTTTGTGTAGGTGTACGGATAGCAGTGAGCGAAGTAGCAGGTATCTTTGTTGTGTGGAAATTGAAACGTCCAGGTAAGGGAAAAATAATGGTGCCCATTTTGGGCCACATTGTTCCTATAGTACTTGATTTGGTCTCCTATTCTCTGCCAGCCAATATGATGAGCCTTGGCCTCTTTCTCAGAGTAGAACAGTGGACGCATACCCCGGTTGTAAAGACTAGCAGGCTTGATGAAGTTGACGATGGTAAATCTGTAGGGTATTCCTGCTTGGGTATTAGAAACTTGGAAATAGTACCACTGGGTGTGTTTATTTGTGAAGAGGTCAGGGCGCACAGTCAACTGGTACTCGTATTCTCCCCTAACACAGAAGGAAAAAAGGGGAAAAAAAAGTATATAAGAATCTTAAAACGTGGCACTTAAATTAAATGAGAAAGTTAATTTTATTTTTGTTTATTCATGGAGGTTTTTTTGTGGTTTCGTTTTAAATTGTTGTTAAGGAAATTGATAGAAATTATGTACTATTATAGTTTTAATAATTTGGAGACTATTTTAAAATGTGTCCGAGTAAGGCTGAACTATCTTATCATTTGATTGTGTTATGGCACTTGCTAATTTTTGGCTGGACTGTGAAATTTTTGTTTTTATTTTACTAGAGCCATTATTACTTTGGCTATAATATAAATTAAAAATGTTATCTCAAAACTATTAAAGTTTTGGAGGGCATCAATGTGTATTTAATCAACATCCAATAGCAAGTAACTTGAAAAGAAAAATTGTTGACCATCAGACTCTTAATGGATGGTAAGTTGCTTCTGTGCCAATTCTAATGTCTAATGTCTTTATATTACTTTTTAAGTAAAAATAACAGTAAAAACACAGATACTTAATATAAATTTTATATATTTTAAACCAAGTATGTTTGGTATAAAAGAAATGATTGAAGGGCTATTACAACCGAAGAAAAGGCCAATCTTAAGAGAATGAAATGACTATCATTAAATTTCAAAACATACATAAAATGATCACACAGATTATAAAATTTAAACTGAGGACAGCGAATATGCTCGATAACTATTTGTTTCCTTATACTGATTCATTGAAGCTGCTTACAAGTAAAAATAATAATTTCAATGGGAAACTTTTTCCAAATAACAATCTACCTGGATAGCTAGAACTTTTTTCTTCTTTACCAAATAATTAATTCCACATTCAGCATTACTTACTTTATGTGTGTGTTTGTGTGTAATTACAAATAATGACACATGAATAGGTGATAGAAGTATTGCAAAACCTTGACAACTGTTGAATCTAGGTGACAAATATATATAATAGTTATTGTAGAATCATATTATTATCTGCATTTGAGTGTATACTTAAAATTTTACATAATAAACACCTTCATTTAAAAGATTGCCCTTGGGATATTTCAAGGAGCAACCTTTTCCAGTTAAATTTTGAGAAACACTGTGGCGATTAATATTGTCATATTAAAAATATAAAGAATTTGTTTAAACTTAATTCATAGTCCCCCAAACTGACATCAGAACCTTTATATTCTGTCCATTCCATAATTTCTAAGAAGCACCTGAATTTCAAGAAATCACAGTTCAAGAATGGATACAATGAATGCTAACATACCTAATACGGAAAATAACTGTTGATGCTCTAACTTCACAAATGAAAACAACTACACCTACACTTTGACTACCTTCTGTAGATTACCACTCTCAAACCTTGCTTCAAACACCAAAGTGTTGTCACAGTCAACCACAGGCTGTTTTAAGGGTGTTCGGTTGCCTCCAACTCGGGAATATATAAAACAGGGCTCTTTGTAAGCTGTTGGAAGGAGGGGCACAGAGACATCAAGACAAGTCTAAAGTAATCTGTACAGTGTGTAGTTACGATTCAAGCATAAGGATTATACATTTTAAAATAACTGTCCTTACCTAATTTACATAGGTTGATATTGAAATAGGTCTAAGAATAGACTAGAGAAATAATGCTTTAAAGTAAGTGTATATAGGTCTCACATTAAAATATTTATTCTATTTCTGTTCATGATAAAGTAATTGGCACCAAATGGGATGATTGCATTGCAGATGGTAGTTTTACACCACTACACCACAGAAAAGGTTTGAGCCCTTGGCTTGCCTTTATATTCTTTGCCTTTACATTCTTTGCCTGCCTGCTTTCCTTCCTTCCTTCCTTCCATGCATCGTTTGTTTGTTCGTTCCTTCCTTCCCATAGTTACGGGGGCGGGGGGTGGCAGAGGAGAAGGGACAGAGAGGAGGGGAGAGAAAGTGAGAGAAACCTTCCATCTATTGGTGCACTCCCCAGATGGTTGCACTACCTAGGGCTTGAGCCAGGTGAAAATCAGGAGCTAGGAACTTCATCTGGGTCTCTGTTGGCTCAAGGACTGTAATACCTGGGCTATCCCCCACTGCTTTCTCACATCCATTAGCAGGCAACTGGATGGGAAGTGCAAGAGCAGGGATGCGATCTGGTGCCCATATTGAATGCTGGTGTCACAGCATGACTACAAGGCTGGCACTAGTCTTGGTCTTCTGTGTTGGGTATCTTCTCAACCACACTTCAGGCAGGTATGACTTAGAATATCATAACTCTAGAAGTTGAGCTGAGGAAGCGAAACTGTTTCTTAGGATGGCTGACATTCAGAAGGCAAGGCATTGGACAAAAAGGGTTCTCCGGAGTTACCTGTTAGAATAAATATACAGTCCTAGAGGTAACATTTTAAATAAACATCAGGCATAAAAAGACAAGAAATTCTGATGGAGTCATATGATGGAGTACTATTTGGCAATATGCAAGAACCAATAGGAGCTGGCATTGTGAAGTGGTTGGTTAAGCTATCACTTGTGGTAGTAGCTTTCCATTGAAGTGTCAGTTTCAAGTACTGGCTGCTCTACTTTTGACCCAGTTCCTTTCTGATGCATGCAGTACGAAGCTGAAGATGGTTCAAATACTTGGATCCCTGCCACCCCCATGTGAGAGACCCAGGTGGAGTTCCAGGCCCCTGGCTTTGGGCTTGCCCAGCTCCAGTCATTGCGGCCATTTAGGAGTAAACCAGTAAACCAAAGACTGCTCTCTGTCTCTCCCTCTTTCTCTGCAACTCTGCCTTTCCAAATCAATAAATATTTTCTTAAAAATCAACTAACAGGTATAAACTTCAAAACATAATTCTGAATTTAAAATTCAGACACAAAAGTGTCCTCATTAAATGATGTTATTTAAATGAAGCTTAAGATAAGGCATAGCTAATCTTCACGAACAAAAGAGTAGTTGCCTGGGGTTGGAGATGCTGATGAACAAAAAGGAGTTGGAAACTTTCGGGTGTGATGGAACTACTATATTTCTTAGAATGCTCATAACATAGATGTAAATATGTTTCAAAACTCCCACTTATGTTCTCTCTATATATGAGTTAGATACTTTACTATGCACTTATGTTCTCTCTATATATGAGTTAGATACTTTACTATGTATACGTTTTATCCCAATTTAACCCAAATAAAACTAATCATGTCAAACAATATGCCTCAGGAAACGCATTGAACAGTCAAAAGTTACACTATTTAAAAACTATATAAATGGGAGCTATAGATGGAAAGGAAGCAGCAGTTGCAGACCATTTACTGAATTTATCTTTGCAAATGAATAGAAGCATAATTCTGTCGAAATATATCTATTCTGATGAACAACATGCTGTCTTATTTTAAAGAAATTTTGATAAGTTGCATTATATATTCAAAAATATAATGAACACCAAGTCAGCATTTGATCAACATGTAAGGAAATGTCTTCATAAGTATATGGAATTTCTGGAATGTCTTCCTAGTATCTGTAATTTCCACCATAAATAATAAAAGAAATGTAAGTAAGAGATGAGTTTAAGTTTCAAATTATGTTTTAGAGCAGCACTTTTCAATATGCACCTACCATCTTCAGCTAGATAAACCACAGTATTTTCCTTGGAATCTGGATAAAGGGGTTCCATTTCTAGACCTGTTGCAATATATACCGGCTCAGGATTAACAGGAGTCCAGTCTAGAAAAAGAAAAAAAGAAAACACCATTGAAATATTACTTCAAAATGCAATAATTTATTGTATATTTTCAAATATTCATCCAGGCTGAAAGGTAGAGTTTAATCTCTTTCTAAGGGTTCATAGGAAATGGCAATGAACACTGTCACACTATAACAAAACTAATGAAATTTAATTTTCACATTTTTCTTAGCTCTTATATTGAGTAACTAATAACTGCTTTGTGTTCACTGGAGATTTCCTACATAATTTCTATTTCTACTAATCCCTTGATGCCATTCTATTCCCTCTGGGACTCTTGCTCCATCCCTCACTTTCTTCTTGTGGGATCTTCAATGTCTTGCTTTCAGTAACTGTCCTTGAAGATTATACACATGATCAGGTTTCTTCTGTTTTCTAAAAGACATTTCCATCTTTTTCTTTAACTACCAGGGTACTTCCTTTTCTTCTTTTTTTTAGGCTCAATGTTCTTAAAAATTGTCTTACCATTCTCAAATCTCTGTCTTACCCATTTGATGGGGAAGAAAAAAAAATTGACTTAATAGCCTAAGTATTTAAGTGGTTGGCATTCTTAATGGAACAAGAATTTAGTAATGGGGATCAAGCATTACTGGACAAACATTTTAGGGGCTAGATGCACATCTGCTTTAGTAACAGAAGTATATTTGACACAGTGAACAGGAAACAACTCAGTTACAGAAAATAGATTGACTATCACATGCGCAAACATGCACTCTATGTATTGTAACCTTAATAGAACAATAATCAAATAAACTGATAAGCAATAAAGCTAGTAACACGGAATCAAGCGTACTGATAAACAACAAAGCTAATTAAAAAGTGAGACTGTGAAAAACCTGAAAGCCTTAGACAAGTCAAGGCCAAGTTATGAACTGAGACCATATCACCCATCTGAAAATCCTGTGAATTCAGCTATACGCAAAATTGATTCTCAAAAATTGCGTTAAGACTTCTCAATTAAAGAGATAAGTAAGGATTTCCTTCATTTTTTTATTTATTAATAAATGATCCCTATTTTTAAGGACGATGCAACTTATATATGAGTATTAAGTTTACTATGAAAATAGCTTTAAAACATTTATTTATTTGAAAAGCACTTTGAGAGAGAGAGAGAAAGAGAGACAAATCTTCCATTCATTAGTTCACTGCCCAAATGTTTGCAAAAGCTGAAGCTGTGCCAGGCCCAAATCAAAAGCATTGAGCTTTAACTGGATCTCCCATTTTTGCAGAAGTCTACGCACTTGAGCCATGCTCTGTTGGCTTCCCAGGCCCATTAGCAGGGAGCTGGATCAGAAGCAGAGCAGTCAGGACTCAAAGTAGAATAGAGGACCAAATTGATGCCCAAACTAGGCACCAGCCGTTCAGGCAATGGCCTGACCCACTATGCCACCAGGCCAGCCCCACAAAATATTTTGAGGACCAGATTTAACTTACTTCAGATCAGCTTTTGTTCCAGTGAGTCCCACACGTGTTGTAGCACTACAACTGGCCTTTACATTGTACATGAAACAAAACAGGAACTCACTTAGTTGCCTACAAAAGGATGCGTAGTCAAAGACTTCTCAGCCTGTCTTACTATGTCTTTCAAATAAATAAAAAAAAAAGAATGTTTATGTATTTTTTAAAGATTATGTGTGTGAAAGAGTTACATAGAAACACACACGCACACACATCTTCTATCTGCCTGTGTTGCGGGCTGTGGCTTTACCCGCTAAATAACAATTTTGGCTCCACAATAAACATTTTAAAAAGAATTTTTCTTTAATATCCATAGACCTCTATTACTCTCTAACAGCTTCTACATGGTATCCTCCCATACAGAGTGCTACAATTTGATCAACTGATGGATATGACAGATATGTCTATGACGAACACTACAATGAGCATCCTTACACTATATATGCCTAAATTCATACATGAAAACATCTTTGGGTTACTTAGAAGCAGAAATACTAAATTAAAAAACCATGGAGGGGGCTCAGTATGATAGCACAGTGGTTAAGGCCCTCGACTTGAATGTGCCAGGATCCCATATGGGCTCTGGTTCTACTCCCAGCAGCTCCACTTCCCATCCAGCTCCCTGCTTGTGACCTGGGAAAGCAGTTAAGGATGGTCCAGACCACTGAGACCCTGTACCTGCTTGGGAGACCTGGAAAGAAGTTCCTGGATCCTGGCTTCGGATCGGTGCAGCACCGGCCGTTGTGCTCACTTGGGGAGTGAATCATCGGACGGAAGATCTTCCTCTCTGTCTCTCCTCCTCTCTGTACATCTGCCTTTCCAATAAAAAATCAATAAATCTTTAAAAAAAAATAGAAGTTTTATATTTAATCATCTACACACACTTGGGTACTTCAAAACACTCATGGACAGATAACATAAAAAAATACACATGCTTTAAAAATACATATAGCTTTTTCATAATACTCATTATACATAAGATATAAACAGAAAAGTTATATCCTTTAAAAAGGTATAGCAATACCATTTATACCTTCATGCAATTTGTTTGGGAATACATTTATGTATTTATTTATTTATTTTACAATTGGTTTGATTTTACAAATGTTTGATTTTCAAGACAGGTTTATACAGAGAACAGATGGAATCACCAGTAGTTAGTGATTCCAGAGAACCTGGGAAAGTTGTACTGAGAAAGGCTGCATCTGTGTGTTCACCTACTGGCTGCAACATCTTCACCCAGGGTGAGGCTGGCTTAATGGCCCAAAGTCCATTTAACATGTAAGAAATCTGAAATATGGCACCATAGAATCAAACAATCCTTAAAACAGCATTTTGGTAAGAATATATTTGGAATTTCAACAGAAATACACCAACCCACATTGCAAAGAGTCTCAAAAGAAGTGTCTTAACCAAACAATCAAGGAGAAGGAACAGAAATTTTCTCAGCTCTGAACTGCTGATGGTTACTCCTGTGGCTGAGGACAAAACACTGAACATGAGGACTAGGGGAGACAAGGATCATAAAAGTGCACTAAGGATGTGGCAGTGGAATTCTCTAGTGAGATGGAGAGAAAATGAATATTGACTTAAGCGCAGGGGTTAGAGTGATGGTAAGAGGCAGAGGGCTTTGCCTCTCTCTTTGGGTCTCTTCGGTTCTCATTCTCTCACTACTGGGAAAGGAGAGAAACTAGCCCAAATCACAGTAAAGACAGAAGTTTCCTTTTCCTCCTTGTTTGTTTCCAATGCCATAGATGCATCTACCGTGGTACAGCTGTGAAACAGAAGTGAGGTGCAAAAAGAAGGGCTTGGATAAAGTTCAAATTCCTTTGCATGGCAATGTTTCCTGTGCCCGACTTCTGAATTTCTCTCCCTGATGAGAAGAATGAGCTAGAACAGAGCTAGGGACAAAGGTACAAGGTCTAACAGGAGAAAAAGGAAAAGAGTTACCGCAGGAGGAAACTCTACATCTAGCTACATCTAGCAGAATGGATCATTGTAACTAAGTGACGCTTGCAAGTACTACTATGCATGCATTCTTTAACCTTACTGATTTGGAATTCTTGGTGAAAATTAACTTCAGCCTTCATGAATAAAAAGTAAGACCTCTTTCTTTTCTCTCTTCTGTCATCTATCTGTAACTAGCAGTTTAGGTCGAAAATTGAGTTTTTAAGCACTTCTAAATTTAATTTAGATATGCAGTATAATAGGTACAGATAGTTATAATAAATGTAGGCAATTTTAAACTTTACTCATCCATACTGGTTATAACTATCTGGCAATAAGTCTACGGATATACCTTAATCAACAAAATGTAAAAAGCAGTAGCAGTGAGACGGTAACAATGGAAAGGTTTCTAGCCTGCCTGTATATAGACTGTGGAGCTTTAGTTAGGATCTTAAGCTGGGAGAATGATGAAACATATTTGGGAAAAGCACACACACAGAAACATAAAATATACTCTTTCAGTTCTGTAACCATCCATTGAAGGAAAGATCAAGAAAGTAGGAAAAGACAAAGGGGCATTGAAACTACAGGACATAGGAGGGGAACAGAAAGGAAAAGGAGGCAGTAAGGGACAAAAGAAGAGAAAGACACACAAGAAGACACACATACGGAGGGAGGGGAAAAAAGGACAAATAAACAGAAGCAAAAAGAAGAGGCCCAATTCAGAGTGTAGCACGGTTTGTGATCTCACTTAGGAAACTGATTGTGACTAGAACTGTTAGGAATCAAAAACTTCAGGGAATTCAACACGTGACATTTTCATAGAGGTATTAATCAAACTTGGTGATAGTCAATTTCACCATAGCTCAAACTGGTTGTTTATCTTATATACTGTCAATTTACGCAGATTTTTCATTATTTCTCAGCTTTAGGCATCTCTGTTGAAGCGGCTGAACATTTGAAATGTGGCTGTTTTGAAATAAGGTAACGATAGGTATAATTACATAATGGATTCTGAAGAATTTGTACAGAAAAGAATGCAAAATATTTTGGATAAATCTGTGCTAACAAGATATATTTTTTAAATTAATTTTACTTTTCTCCTCTTACCTTTTAAATGTGGCTATTTGGGAAAAAAAGCACTAATTTTTCTTGAAGGTATATTTATTTTGATTGGAAAGACAGATATATGGAGAGAAGGACAGGGAGAAAGATCTTACACTGCTGGAGCTGAGCCAATCCAAAGCCAAGAGTCAGGAACTTCCTCTGGGTCTCCCACATGGGTACAGGGTCGCAAGACTTTGGGCCATACTCTGCTGCTTACCTGGGCCACAAGCCAGGAGCTGGGTGGGAAGTGGAACAGCTGAAACATGAACCAAAGCCCTTATGGGATCCTGGTGTTTACAAGGCAAAGATTTAGCCTCTGAGGCATCATTCCAGGGGCCAAAAATACATTAATTTAACATCATTCGTTTCCTTGTTAAAATCAAGGTTTGCAAAGTAACATTGTTAATGCCTGAATTCGCCCAGTTACTAAAAACATACCAATGTGATGGACTTTTTCATCAATGACCTCACAGTGGTATGGCCATCTTGTTGGGCTCAGCGGACCAGAAGAAGAGACTCCATATAAATCCCGTGGTTTACGAAGACGTGGCACCCATCTGCCTAGCTGATATTCTAGCATTATTTGTGTAGTCCGAGGAAAGAAAGGGTCACCGTTAGAGTCAGCTGAAAAATGGATTCAAACAAAATTATGAGTGATAAGAAGACCTGAATTTCTACAATTTTAATATGATTTGTCTTGTCCTTTCAATATTTGTGGGTATCATCATGAATATTTAATAATCCATGGCATTTTTAATGCAAATATTGCTGAAATTTTAAAAACTTGTTGCACACCTCATAAGCTAAGTATACTAAATCCCCCACTATTACTCTAAATACATGATTATTGAAGCTTCTGTAGCAAATCACTCATTTTTGACTCTTCTTTTAAAAAAGTTATTTATTTATTTGAAAGGCAGTTACAAAGAGAGGGAAAATAGATCTTCCATCCACTGGTTCCCTTCCCAAATGGCTAAAACGCCAACATCGGGTCACCCCATGGGTGCAGTAGCCCAAACATATGGGCCATCTTCTGCTTTCCCATGTGTGTTAGCAGAGACCTCGCTCAGAGTTGGAGCAGTTGGGGCTCCACCAGCATTCATATGGGCTTTCTAGCATTGCAGGCAACAGTCTAATGTTTTATCATGGCACTGGCCCCTTGGTTCTTATCATTCATGTTTGAGAAGTGGAATATGCTAGAATTATGATCTCAAACGTTCTTAGTGAACTCTCACAAATTTCCCTCAGATTTCATTCTATGGTAATTGTGGGACACAGTGCCACAATAAGTCACATAAAATACAGTGGGGTGCCTCAGCAAGGCTGTGCAGTCTCCGTCTCTTACACTGTGATCATTTGGGTTGTGTCATCCTTCCTTCTTTTCTGATACTACACAAACTGTCAGCTAACTTCCAACTAGAGACTTTCATTGTAATAATTCCAATAAGGCTTTTGTTCACTTTAGTCAATAAATTTGCTTCTTTGCCTTGCTCCTGCATTAACCCTGTACAAGGCTTTTCCAATTGTCCCTCAGTGTAGTCCCCAAACCACTTCCAGTTTTGAGAGGCCCGAATTATGAATTGTTAACTGCTCAGATAAGCTCGTCACAATTTTTACTTGTAAAATTTGTATTTCAACATAGTTTTAACTGGACCATTTTAAATATATTGTTCTGTGCGATTTTAGACAGATGCCAATATCAGTAGACAGAGATCTTCATTCTTTCCCTCGGCTCTATGGTCCAAAACAGATGTTGAACATACACTCTGTATTGTGTTTGTTTAACAATTTTCTAATAATGGATATTTAGGACGTTTCTGACTATTCAATGAATTTGAGAAAGATGTAGAAGGACCATTTGCCTCACCAAATAACAAAATACCAAATTTAAAGCCCTTGCAATACACAGTGTGACAGTGACGTAAGAGATCAATGTAACAGAATAGAGTACAGGTAGTGACGGGATTAGTTTGTGATGCAGCTCACAGCTCAGATTTTATAGGGTAAGAGTGATATTTCAAACCAAAGGAAAAAGGAAAAGCTTGAATCATGTAAAAGACTACAAAATAACGGACTACATAACTAGCATGTATTAAGAAAGAAATATAGAGGCATGTCTTAAACCACTCTTGAATTTAATAATATAAAATTCATATTAATATTCAAAACTAAGTACTTAGAGAATATTTACATGATCATATGGATAGCATTGGGATAGGAAAGATGTTCATAATGTAAGATACAAAAATAAGGAACGCAAATGAAAACTGATAATCACATCAAAATAATCATTAACAAGGGAGACAACGTGAAGCAAGTTAAAGGATCATTGTGAGTGGGTAATTCATAACAAGGAGGAGTATAAGTGGACAATACTCCTAGGAAATAATGGTGAATTTCTCCAGCATTCATGGAAGTTCTAATTAAATGAATGGGGTATCACCTTCCAACAGATGGGCACAATTTTGAAAGGGCAACAGAAGAAAATACAAAAAATACTAGGGCAGAGGGGGAAAGCTTCCAACATTGCTACAAGCATTATATTCCACAATATCTGTGTTACATATATAAATATTCAACAGAAATACTTTAAGTATTTGAAAGCACAAATCGAACTGAATACACCTTCAAAATCAAGTGTCCACCAAGACAATTAAATACACATGTGTTGCAAATGAATGACTTTGCAAAGGTGACTTTATATAAGCGTATTCCATTTAAATAAGATGCATTTCCAATGCAGGATATCCATTTGTAAGGCATTAATCCATAAATACATGAAAAGAGGTAGTAATTTTAAAAAGATCCAGTGACTATTTTCAAAGTCAAGTCTTTCACAAAGCAATCGCTGTTTTCAGCCTCACTTCTTTTCTAATATGAATAAGGTTTACCTAAACCAGAAAAGTTTTGCAAAAAGGATTCCAGGAAAAGTAAGGACAACATTCACTCTCCCTATCCACTAAAATAATCATTTTCTTTCATTACTCAATCCTTTTTTTTTTTTTTTTTTAGTTCTCTTATCTTTTAATGCGCTCAAGCTCTCAGGATAGAGAGGAATAAAAATACAGGGTTGTGATCAAACCTGTTAGTAGCGCACACTGCCGAATGTCTTCTCTTACAAATTTCATGAAAGTATCTTCATCCTAAAACAAAAGAAGTTCAAAATACTTCTCTTCTAAACTCAATCTTCCAAATTCCTGCCACCCCCTAATTTTTATAGCTAGCATTCGACTTGGGATTGAGTATTTGACGCCTTAATAAACCAAAAAAGTAAAGTTATTCTATGGGATGCTGATCAAAGCACCTGGACATTTCAAAAATCCTGAAAGCAAAATTGTTATCTTTCTTAAATAAAACTAGGGCCCATCACAGTGGCCTAGCAGCTAAAGTCCTGGTCTTGAATGCTCCAGGATCCCATACGTGCACCAGTTCTAATCCCGATGGCCCCGCTTTCCATCCAGCTGCCTGCTTGTGGCCTGGGAAAGCAATCAAAGATGGTCTAAAGCCTTGGGACCTGCACCTGCATGGGAGATCCAGAAGAGGCTCTAGGCTCCTGGCTTAGGTTCGGCACAGCTCCTGCCATTGCAGTCACTTGAGGAATGAATCCTCAGATGGAAGATTTAAAAATAAATACATCTTTAAAAAATTAAATTAAAAACTGGGCCCAGTGCCATGGCTCAGTGGCTAAATTCCTGTCTTGTCAAGTACTGGGATCCCCTATGGCTGATGGTTCATGTCCCAGCTGATCCACTTCCCATCCAGCTCCCTGCTTGTAGCCTTGGGAAAGCAGTAGAGGATCCCAAAGTCTCAGGAGCCTGCACCTGCGTGGGAAATCCTGAAGAAGTTGCTGGCTCCTGGCTTTGGGTCAGCTCCCACCATCTTGGCCATTTGGGGAGTCAATTCTGGGATGAAAGATGTTTCTGTCTCTCTTTCTCTCCGTAAATTTGTCTTTCCAATAAAAACAAACAAATCTTTTTTTATAAAGATTTATTTTTATTATTTTTTTTATTGGAAAGGCGGATACACAGAGAGGAGAGACAGAGAGGAAGATCTTCCGTCCGATGATTCACTCCCCAAGTGAGCCGCAACGGCAGATGCTATGCCAGTCCGAAGCCAGGAGCCTCTTCCGGGTATCCCACGCGGGTGCAGGGTCCCAAAGCTTTGGGCCGTCCTCAACTGCTTTCCCGGGCCACAGGCAGGGAGCTGGAAGGGAAGCGGGGCTGCCGGGACTAGAACCGGCACGCATATGGGATCCCGGGTGGGCAAGGCGAGGACCTTAACCACTTGCGCCACCGCGCCGGGCCCTAAAAACAAACAAATCTTTAAAAAAAAAATAAAATTAACAGCAAAAAAAGAAACATAGGAAATCATGAGCTCAAATGGCTACGTCTCACACCAGGGGGCTTGTTTTAGAACCTTAATTTATATACACGATAACTTCGATTTTAACACAACTTGAAGGAAAACTCTCTGAAAGATGTACTAAACTCAAAGTACGTTGAACTAAAACACTTCTCTCCCTTTCCTTCCTTTCACCATCTCCTTTCCCTTTGTGACATCAAAGCTACCTTAGCAGTAGTTTTAAAATACTGAACTTCCTACAGGGATGCGCTCTGATACAACACAAACAGTGCATATAAGAATCCTTACGATAGTAAAGCTTAATGGTGACTTAACACACATCTTTTTAAAAACTACAGGAGAATCTTGACCAACACATTTTCTCTAGAAAGCAGTCATTTCGTTTTGCTTTCTAGACAGGGCAACCTGCACAGAGAAACAGCTTTTTGAATTGCTTCCCCAATACCAATGGTTCAATGATTCAAGCATCAGGCTGACATTGAGAACTTATATTTGATAATACAAGCTTTATTTTTAACTTAAGTAAAATAACATTAAAAAAATATGTAACATACTGATTCATCTTCGTCACTGTTTGTTCTGTCCGAGGAGTCTTTCTCTGAATCTTCTGACATCGCTTCCCGTGTTCGGCCTGAGGTTGCTTTTATTAGGTGGGTAGGCTGTAAAACAACGTCTAAGGAACTGATCTGATACCCTCTCCTTTTAAGCTGAAGGCGTTTATTACATTAAATGAGTACTCAAAATATACCCTATCTCAATGAACAGAGCCAACACGACTCTAAAAATGAAGTTACCGTACAGCTGAGCCAGTCTCCAGTGTCAAAGATTTGAAGGCATTTGCCATTACTACGTGAGAACGAGACAAACATCCCAATAGAAGACAAACCAAATAAGTCATTTAATTGAAAAAGAAGCTTCCAGAGTACACAACCAATGATTTCCATTCTGTATTTACAACTCAATAGCATGTAGCAGACAGGAAGCTGACAATGTCCCTTGAATATTAAAAGAAAAGGAAACCAAAGAAAAAATATTCAGGTAGCAAGATGGTGCAATCGAGTTAGAAAATTTTTCTTGAATTTTCAATTGCTCAAAAAGATTTAAATGACTGCTTTTCTCTTTATACAGTATTTTTAATATTATCCCGTAGATGCCTTGTCCTACTATTCAACTTACTGTTTATTATTCTTACTGAAATCAGAATCTACCAGAAGGATTGGGTTGGCGCTGAACATTACCCCTCCTAGGCAGGCGTCTTTCAGCACGGTTACCATGAAGACAGCAGAATAATCCACTTCCTTGTCAAGATTCTATCGTCTTGCGAAGATCAACACAACGTACCCATGTCAAACCCCTCTACAAACAAATAAACAGCTTCTGAGTGCAGTGTCCACTCAACAAATGGCAAGCCCCATAGCAACCAGAGAACGCTGCCTTCCGGGAGACACAAGTTTCGGCCTGGGGACCCCCATCCTAGGCAGTGCCCGCCTGGCACACCTCGTGGTTCCGTTCCGTCACGCCGCGGCGCTCCATGTGAGACACCCCAAGGTGCTGACACCCTCAACCCCTTGGACGCCCACCCGTCCCGTCCCTCGCGGAGCCGGCAAACGCCCACCCCGCGCGCCCCTCGCGCGCCCCAGCCACGGGCGCACCTGCTGCCTCCGAGCTCCCCTTCTCCAACACTTCACCTCCCGCCCTGAGGTGTCGCTGAGTGCCAGGAAGCCATCAGTGCAGGTTCTCCAGGAGATAGTCAGGGAAGGAATGCCACTGCGGCTGTTCTCCTTACCAGCCGTGCGTTTCCGGGGAAACGGACCCACTCGCGCGAGGCTTTGGGCTGCCCTCCCTGACCGACCGGCGCACAGGAGCCTGCGCGCAGGAAAGTCTGGGCAAACCGAGAACATTTGGAGTTTAGGACACTAAGGGAGGATGTAGGGGTGGGGCATGCAAAACAGCAGATTCTCCGTACTCTTCTGCATGTTTGTAAATTCCTTCTCAGAGGTGGCAGTGGCGCGCACAAACTTTAAAGGGAGATCGCTTGACTTTAACAAGGCGACCTTGCATGTCGTAATGGCAACTTTGAACTTGGACTTTGTAGTAGACTAGATTGAAAGGGTGTTGGTCTTCGTGACCAGAGCTCCGTTCTGCACGGTCATTTGTTAATAATCTTAAAATGTGGTATGTTAAAGAGTTGACGGAGGAAATAGATACCCGAGTGAATAACTTGGGAATTATCAGCTCGGAGACTCTTTAAATGTGAGAAGTTATTGATGGGTGTTTCGAACACTTATATTCAACATAGTTCACGTGTGTGCTTTGTCTCATCTAAGTAGATGTTATTTCTGTACAGCTCATTTTGAGTTCTCCTCCTCCCCGGGCCCCCAGCCAACTCGAGGTGTTGTGGATAATTTGAGACATTTGGAATAGATTTTCAAGTACAGTTGGGAAAAAAAAAATGTGTAACTATTGGATACCTACATACGGCATTAAATACGTGAGTTTTGTGATGTTCTAGAGACAGTATAGCAAATTTGAAAGTAGAATTCTGGGCAATGTTCTAGAACTTAAGCATGTAAATAGATTATTTAATTATTATTATTTAATTAATTATTATTTAATTATTAGACTTTCTAAGCTTTCCAAATAATTGATTTTGTTGAAATCATGAATTTAGAAACTGTATTTTCCTGATCTGATCTTGGCTTGACAAAATAGAACGTATATCAGACCGACCTCTCTTGAAAAAAGTTGCTTATAATTGATAGCTGTTGCTTGATATAACATACATTCATCTCTAAAAGTGACATGCACACGTAATCTTTATGTATGGGACATTTTTTCTGTTGCATTTTAAAAAAAGATTCATTTATTTTTTATTGGAAAGTAGGGTCAGATTAAGGAAGAGGAGAACCAGAGAGAAGTATCTTCTTGCATCTGCTGATGGCCAGAGCTGAACCGATCCAAAGCCAGGAGCCAGGAGCTTCTTCAGGTCTCCCACGTGGATGCAGGGTCCCAAGGCTTTGGGTCATCCTCTGCTGCTTTCACCAGCCACAATCAGGTAACTGGATGAGAAGTGCAACAGTTGGGACACCAATCGGTGCTCATATGGGATCCCAGCACCTGCAAGGTAAGGATTTAGTCATTGAGCCGACATGGTGGCCGTTTCTGTAACATTTTAATCGTGGTGGCAGGCCATTTGCTCCCAGTCGCTCAAAGTGAAACCTGAGAAATGAACTGACCAGGAATGAATGTCAGAATTGGGGTTTGAATCTTGTGATTTTTTTTTTAATCCAAATATTTATGGAATGATATGCCAAGTAACCCTTATACAGAAAATTTATCTTGGTATATCACAAAAACATTTCGAAATTTGACAAATTCTGAAAATCATGCTATTTCAGTACTTCAACAAATATTGAATGCATAGTATTTGTTAAAGTATCTTCCATATATATATATATATTTTTTTCTTTCCCCAGGGAACAAGACAGGTTATGTTCTAGTCAGAAAATAAACAAACAAAACAATAAGAATCATTTCCATGGTAACTGGTGTCAAGGGGAAAAAGGACCATTAATTGCTAGGGGTAGGTGAGCCTTGGGAGATTGCCCTTTCACAAGGAATGGCCAGGGAAGGCCTTTTGGACTAGGAGGCATTTGAGCTCAGGAGCGGAACCGTAGGACGTCCAAGGGAAGACCTTGGCAGGCAGTAGAAGCGCTGAATACGGAGACTGTGGGGGAATTTTTCTAATTGTCCAGGCAGTGCCATCTGGCCAAAATATAGCTGGGGATAGTACAGATTTATAAAAAAAGATTCCCTAAAGACCTGTTGTTTTCCAGGTACATTTTAAAATGATTTTCTTAAACACTTGCTCCTTTTTAGCTCTTCACTTTGATTTATTCTCCTATTTTGGACAGCCGTATGTCCTGGAAATGAAAGTCTGCCTTTAATTGTAAGTATGTCCTGGAGTAAACTTCTCCCAGTGGATTCTCTCAGTATGTGTCTTTGCTCATCGCTGTGATTTTTTTTTTAAGATTTTATTTTTATTTTTTTTTATTGGAAAGGCGGATATACAGAGAAGAAGATCTTCCGTAGGATGATTCACTCCCCAAGCGGCCCGGCCACAAGGACTGGAGCTATGCCGATCCGAAGCCAGGAGCCTCTTCCAGGTTTCCCACGCGGGTGCAGGGTCCCAAAGCTTTCGGCCTTCCTCGACTGCCTTCCCAGGCCACAGGCAGGGAGCAGGATGGGAAGCAGGGCTGCCAGGATTAGAACCGGCGCCCAAATGGGATCCTGGCACATGCAAAATGAGGACCTTAACCATCACTTAACCATCACTGTGATCTTACCAGAGAAGGGTCTGGAACAGACTCTGCTCTGGGTAGACTACAGCCATTTGGTTTTTTTCGCCCTTCAGGCACATGTACTCTAAAACTGCAGTGTAAAAGGCAAGCTAATGAAAATAGAGCAATCGGGCCCAGCATGATGGCCTAGTGGCTAAATCCTCACTCTTCATACATCACAATGCCACACGGACACAGGTTTGTATCCTGGTTGCTCCGCTTCCTATCCAACATCTTCTTCTCTCTCTCTTTCCTCTTTGAAAATCTGCCTTTCCAATAAAAACAAAAACTTAAAAAAAAAAAAAAAGAAAGCAGAGCAATAAAAGACATTCCAAACCACACCCCATTCAGTTACTTATAACATCATAGAAATTAGTAGCCAAGATAACTTTTTCACGTTTGGTCTGAGAAAGCCCTGACCGGAACCAAGGAGCCCCTGATGACCTGGCACCTTGATCTTCCTTGGACTAGATTAAGATGACCCATGGAGGACTAAACCTCTCAAACTGGTTCCAAATTCAGATCTCAAAGTCTGTTTCAGCCAGTTAGCCAAGATTCAGTTAATGGATAATGACCATAATGACAGGAAATTGATGTGTCAATCACATTAATTATATGTACCTGGAGACTACATGGAAGCAATGATTGCTGCTTCCTCCTTGTCAATGGCGAAGATGCCCTTACACGCTTAACAAATACCAGAATGAATCACCTCAATAAAAGAGAATGTGTTGGCTGGGAAGTGAGCTCCTGGCTCTTGCCTCAGCCAGCTCTGGCGTTGGAAAATCTCTGGCTCTCCCCTTTATAATTTTTCAATGGCAGAAATAGACAATGCATTCACATCAGGAGTTTGCTAGGTTATCTTCTATGGAAAAGCCACATTTAGCATTGTGAGATTATTTTTCTTGCTAATTCTTACACTTGGAGTACCTATTTGCAAAGAGGGTAGGAAAATCAAAAAGTTATACTAGACCTAACTCCACATCACACAGAAAACTATAGTACTGCTTCCATGTGTATTGTAAAAGTAGTTATCTTTTAACTGACAGGAACTTTACTCTGTTAGCTCTACCTTCAGACCAGAGAAGGTCTCCCCTAGAAACCGCTGAACTTACCTGGACAATAAGACGCTGAACTCTATGCTAGGTATATGCATGAATCCTAATTGAACTTCAACTGTGGTTATGCAGCAAGGTGGAGGAATCCACCATGGGGGGAGGGTTGTGGGAGGGGTAGGGAGAATCCCAGTGCCTACAAAACTGTATTACATAATACAATGTGATTAACAATAAAAAATTTTTTTTAAAAAAAGTAGTTGTCATACAACTAATCTTATTAGCTTGACTATTATTTTTATAAATTGATTTTGATGACAACTATCTTATTGTCTAGACATATTCCATTTATTATTAGAATATAGCAGTAAAAGTGCTTCTTTTTAGCAGCATTTTAGTAAATTCTGTCTTATTGGCAGGATTTGGGGAAATGTTCAAGAGCTCTGGACCTCCAAATTAAAACTTTTAGAAGAACCTCAGAATTCAGACGATTAAGTACTATATTATATGAATATGCCAAATTAGTACTAAAAAATCTGGATCGCAGCCTCTCAAGCAGTAACTGTCGTACAAACAAATGATCTGCATTAATGCAGGTTTCTGCTCCAGAAGACACTCTCCCGTGGGCAAACAGTACCATCCTTCTTAGGAGCAAGAGGGGCGGTGGTGTGCAACTGCACTTCCAATGCAGGAAGGAACATCCCATTGCTTTCAAGAAAAATTTTTCAAGATCCCTCTTTTCAACTTTATCCATACATATTTGGTCAGTAGTCCAGTTCAAATAATTTTTTATCTGTTTTGTCAGAAAATTGCCAATAATAAGAGCATTAAAACTTTTTTTTAAAAATTAAGGACTAGAATGGTGGTATATCGAGCTAATCTTCCACCGGTAGTACCAGTATCTCATACGGGCATCGTTCATGTCCTGGTGCCTCCATTTCTGATTCAGCCCCCTGCTTATGGCCTGGGAAAGCAATGAGGACAGCTCAAGTCCTTGGGCCCTTATATTCACGTGTGAGACCCAGTATCCTGGCTCCTGGATTCTGGCTTCAGATTAGATCAGCTATTTTGGGAGTCAACCAGCGGATATAAGACCTCTCTTTCTGTCATTCCTCTTTCTACAAAATCTACTTTTCAAATAAAAAAATTACATAAATATTTATTATTGTTATTTTTATTGCAAAGTCAGATATATATATATAGAGAGAGAGAGAAAGATTTTCCATCTGATGATTCACTCTCCAAGTGGCCACAAAGGCCGGTGCAGAGCTGATCCGAAGCCAAGAACAAGGAGTTCTTCCAGATCTCCCATGCAGGTGCGGGGTCCCCAGGCCTTGGGCCGTCCTCGACTGCTTTCTCAGGCCACAGGCAGGGAACTGGATGGGAAGCGGGGCTGCCAGGATTAGAACCGACGCCCATATGGGATTCTGGCACGTTCAAAGTGAGGACTTTAGCTGCTAAAGTGAGGACTGCACCACACCCCCGCCCCAAATAACATAAATCTTAAAAACAAACAGACAAAAAAAATGTTTCTTCTTTATTAAGAGTAAAACCAGAACTCAATGTGAACTGCAGGTTCTGTCATACTATCATCCTTATTGCAATACACACACATCTGGAAGTCAGTCTAGTACCCAGAAATAAGTGAGACAAAGATATCTGGAGGAATTCCATTTATTGTGGATGCTTTTCACAATATACTTTTATTGTAGCAATTATCAGTGAAAAATACCAAGTGTTGATAGGTTTTTATCAATGGCAGATTCACAGAACATGCTAGTCAGCTCGCAGTTTTACTTTCTTCACGATAACAGAGAATTGTAATAGAACAAACAAACAAGGAATTTGTTTTTCAAAAGATTCAATCCAAATGGAAGAACATTTTACCCCCAACTTTATTCCATCCAAACACCGGAAATAAAAGTTAGGCTTGACAATGTTCTTCTCAACTTTACACCTTCTGGAAAACTACATCCTGGCAATCAGGAGGAGCTATTGTTCAGAAGTTCAACATGGCAGTGTTACCTCACCATTGTCGTATTTCACACTTGGCTGTATTTCACTCCAGTGGCAGGAGTTCAGGCTAAATACGGCGCTTCATGTAAATTCTAGTCTATCTAAGACTAGACTAGACTAGACTGGTCATAGACTTCATGTCTACTCTGTCATGAGGGAATGATCTGTACAATCTTGGTGGCCCATGCTTGCCAAAAGCTAGAGAACTCATTTTTTTTTTTTTAAAAAAAAAACTGATATATGAAGAAAAGAGACTTTGAAAGGTGGAGATACCTCCTCGTGCCAGCCTACCTTGATGAGTTCTCCTGGGAGAATCCTGTTGATAAGAATATCAACAGTTTCCTTGGGAAACTCTTGGTGTGCTAGGAATTAGGGTAAAAACCATTCTGGTTAACTCAGCTGAGGTATGAATTTATATAACTATAACACAGAGATAGGTCCAGAGAGGATATTTTGCCAAAACATTGGTGCAATTTTTCAACATCTATATTGAAGAATAACAACTTCTAACCTAAAATAAGACCTAATATCTGAATTCTGTGTTTTGTAAAAGCAGTAAGTCAATAAAGACTCACTAGTAAACTAATATATAACTAGGAAAACTTAAATATATTTTATGGGATTGACAAATTATCAACCTATGACAAGTACCAATGACTAATAAAGGTTTAAAAAAAAAGATGAATTAAAAAATTTCAGAGTATATATATATAAATGGAAGCATTATTATGCTTCCAAATACTGGATTGTGCTCATTTTATCTCTTTTATTTCCAGACTTCAGCAAGCTGTGTAACACTGATACTCAAGTGCTTGCCCTCGACGTTGAGAAGGTAAGGACCTTAGATATCATTTCTGCCAACCTCTTACAAACTTTGCTATGAAAAAGCAGATTGTGAGTCTGGTCCAGATAGTAGATTTAATAAAATTTACACTGGACTTCAAGATTGCTTTTCATTATAAACTAAATACTATGTCTTATAGAAGATTTCCACTTGTTTTGACACTTCTACTCTCTCTCTTTTTTCAATATACAGGTCATTGGACATTGAAAACATACCCACCTGCCATGTTTTTATTGGCAAATATAAAACATTAATATAATATTGTGATTTAATTTTTGTTAAAGAGCTGTGATATTAACTAGTTACAAGGACATACTACTTAATACAGCCATCTACTACATTAAAAAAGCACTCTATCGTTAGCGTGTTTGTATATGTTTATGTACTTATGCACATCATTGAGTGAGACTGTGGTTCAGGCTACTAAAACTACCAAAGAAATCCACAAAGCAACCAATCTAAAAAAAATCAGTACCACTGTAAGCTACCATATTAATCCAATTTAGGTATGCATCCGCATGAAACAAAGTAAATACTTCAACAGTACATCTTTCTTTTCAAGACAATCATTATTGCCATATATAAAATCGGAAATGGGTTACTTTCAGAGAGAGTTACAATTGCCTACTAAGATAATTTCTTCCATGCTTTATTCTAAAGTGCAGAAACAACATGACTTCTGAATTTCAAAGAAACTATGGTTGGTTTTTCTAGGTGCTGCACACATTCGCCGGGCAATTTTAAACTTGAATCTCCTTGTATTGATGATCAATGTGGCTGGTGTCACTGTTCAGAGAGGATTCTGATGCTCAGTAGCAAAGTCTATTTCACAGCATGGGTTTCTTTGGAAACAGGCTCCTGTGCAAAGGCAGTACTTTACCATGAACATCTCTAGACTGTGATTATTAAATATAATGACAATATACATGGCTCTACTGGGATATTGTAACATAAAACAAAAGAAAAGGAACCCAATTTAGTAAATTAACATAAATAGAAAACAGAGCAAATTAGCCCTCTGCAATTGAGCTGGTCCAGGGTCTTGAGTGTGAGTTCTTTCTTGAGTTGTCTCAAACCTGTTAAGAGAAGAGAACTTTAAATCTGCTGTCTACAATTCTTTAGCCAGATGGCTTTTGTCAGCATAAAAAGGGGCAGATTGTACTTAGGGCACAAACATTGTTTGAAAAAGCAGGATATGATCTTTCATTCTAGCCTTTCTTCTGTTGATTTTTTTCACCTTCTTTGTTTCTCCTCTATGTTCCCTCCTCCTATCTGGACCATCAGATAGAATCTTATTTTTTTTTTAATGCATTAGCATGCAATGTAGTATGCATTACAAAAATAGGAACACGTGTACTAATTAACCCAGTGAAGGCCATGTTAGTATACCACAGTGAACAGAATGCTCACCCTTAGTCTTCTCTCATTCTCATCAAACACCCTTTGCTCAAACACCTGTTGCTCTCACACCCTTATTCATGGGCTAATCTGCTCTACACTCCTAGTCTTCCTCATCAAGCCAGTGGTTAACAATACTTGATGAGGTAATAACACCAACACCAACATTGGATGTATATCCATTTGCAAATGTGCTCTGTCATTTTCATTTCAATGGAACGATAGCCCTCTGCACCACAAAGTCAAATGCGCTTGCCATGCCATTGTTCCATGGCCTTAGATTTGGTCTCAACCCCGAATGCTCTTAAGAGGGGCTTCTGTCTCTAGAACTCTAAGTTGACTACAAAGAAGCCCGTACCATTTTTTTATTGCTGGCCTCTGATTTCTTTCTTTTTCGTTTTTCCTCTTTCAGAGGAAAGCACTGTGTCTTTTAGTTGAAATGGGAAAAGGATACAAGTGGGATAGGAATTAGCTCCTCAGAGGACAAGCTATCCTACTGATGATCTGAGCATTGTTTTAGATATTGTTCAATGTCCCATTTCTTAAGAAATGGCGTATCCCCAATGCTGAGACCGAAAAGTGAAGGACCCCATGCATGCTCATTCATTAAGGTGGTCAACAGCATTATATTTTCAGGTACTGTTTTGATTTTTGGTCATGGCAAGCCAGAGTCTGAGGGTGCTGAAAATGGCAATGTAATCTCCTAGAATGGGCTCAGAAAACAAACTGGAAATAAAGTCATTTTTCCTAAGTGATCATCAAATGACAATGGAGCCTGGCTGGGACTTCCTAATGAAAGACATACACTATGCCTTCCAGCCTTTTGTTGCCAACCTTCGAAACTCTGTGATGGATCTACAGCATCTTATTGGGCAACTTTCCAAGGGCTGTGCCTCCGCGACAAACCTGCAATGCCAAAGGTTCCATGAATGTTTCCTTTCACACATTCTACCAGTAGTTGATGCCCAAGCAAAGGTGTGTTGGCCAGAGGCAGGTCTCATTTGCCCCCAGGTAGGAGATGGCAGGTAGGAGATAGCAAAACATATCTCTGAAGTATCAGTCTTCCAAGCAGATTACCTTAGTAGGGGAAGTGACCTTGTCCACAGATTGCTTTTCCCAGAGGTTCCGCTTGCCAGATACATCGCCTGGCCTCAGGTCCTAATGAAGAGAAAACAGAAGCAGCATATAGGAAGGTGGCCTTTTATATTTTCTGGCAAGTTCTAAATGAATTGCCCCTACTATGTTCGTTTGAATAGATTGATCATTTAATACACCCCGGTGAACTGAGACAGATAGAAGTGAGCCATTATAAAGACCTTCGCCTTTTTCTGATGATACAAAAAGGAAGTGGAACTCCATAGAGCATTTGGGTCCCTGTCCTTCACCAACCACTTACGTGTTTCTTATTCGGTGAAAATGGAAAGCCCGCATATTGAAAATGGGTAGCCCATATTGGAAGTGAATAGAGCAGGCCTTATTTTCAAGCAATTCATTTGGCGTTTGATAAGCATTTCACACCTGTACAATAACGGCAGCTGCCCTGCTCTGTCCCTATTCACATCTCAGGGAGGGCACCTGCCATGTGTGTGTTCACTGGTGGCCTACTGTCCCCAATCCTCCCATGGAATGAAATTTTAATGTCCTGTATGGTAATAACCTAATTAGCACATTCTTCCCATCACATTACCTAGAGTTTTGTTTGCTTGTTTGTTTTGTTTTTTCCTCCAAATCAATTGTTTGCATTGGAATCACTGGACTAGGAGAAAGGGTTGACCAAATTTGACATTTTTTCTAAGTGCACTTCCCTCACACTAAAATTCTACAAATCATTTTGGGTTTCCTGAGGGTTAAGTAGGGGATTCTGAGTGGAATGCAGAAATACACATTAATCACAAATTGCACCCACAAGAGAAACAGACAGTTGATGGCATATGTAATACCATGTGGAAATCTTGAGAAGGAAACACGAATGTGATGGGTAACAATTATGCAATTTTAAAGTTTTATTTACTAACTCATAATTAATTTTATTTGGATGAGGGTTCTAGTTTCTCTTTCCATTTACTTTTCTTCCAGCATTTTCTTATATTAGCATTTGGCAAAAGGTGGTTTATGGAAAATAAATGTGTTTTGCTAACATAACATGCTTATTTTGGCAAACCATTTTTCGTTAGGAAGGCAAAACTAATAAGAGTTGTATTTATTCATGGATATCAATCTAAGTGAGCACAGTTCGAATACAGAGTGTTGAACTCTCTGTTAGATGGCCCCATGTCAATTTTGTATTTGCCTTTGTCTTAATGAGTTTCTGGATTGCTTCAGAAATCCTGATACAAATTCCTGATACAAAGCAGCAACATTGTTTTTGAAGAAGTCAGTTCCATTTGCCAATGTTGTAAAAAGCTGCCACATTGTCTAGGGGACCATCTTAAAGTTTTGGAAACTACAATTAGGAACTTGTTGATAGAAGTTTCTGGAAAGTGGCTATTGTCACTTTCTTTATTTCAATCATAGAGACAATATTTTTCTTTCACATGCATATTTTTCTGCCTAAGAAAACAGATTACATTTCCTTGAGATCCTGCCTATGAGTTATTAAGAGTTAAAGGAGTTGGCTCTAAGACAATACGAATATCCAAACTGCGAGTTGGCATTTTAATTCAAGCGGAAAATAGAAATAAATTACCTGCCCAGACAACATTTTAGATAAAGACCCACTTAGAAGAGGAAGGAGAAATCAAGGCAGGAGAAGCAGTTTTCCAGTCAACCAAAGATCAAAGAGTGAAGTGAAGAAGTCAGCTGAGAAAGACATGTTAAACAGGAAAGACAAATTAGCTTTTCAATACGTGTAACACATAGACACAGTGAAAAACAAGTAAGCCGCAGTAGTCGGAATTAAATTTCAGTTACAAAATGACTCCAAAATCCCCCTGGATTCTACCTACAAATAGCAATAGGTGTTCCAATAAAGGAGTCAGCACAAAGCAAGGTTTTATTTGAAATATGTTCATGTTAGGAGGGTCCTGAAATATTTATTTGAGTATTTATTTTGGCTGCTTTGAGCAGTATAACTATCAGTCTACATGAAAATAATTTCATAACGACTGATAGATGATTTTTCTCTTTAGGGAGGGTTTTTGTTTGTTTTGTTTTTAAATACTTGGACCCTCTTCCACTGCTTTCCTAGGTGCTTTTATCCAGGAGGTGGACTGGCAGTGGAGCAACCAGGATTAGAAAAAGCATTCCTGGAATTCTGGCATTGCAGGTGGCAATTTAAACTGCTATGCTCTAATACTGGCTCCTCTAGGGTCCAGTGATGTGGCCTCGCGGCTAAAGTCCTTGCCTTGGACGGTGCCGGTTCTAATCCCAGTAGCCCCATTTCCCATCCAGCTCCCTGCTTGTGGCCTGGGAAAGCAGTGGTTCCTGGCTTCGGATCAGCACAATACCAGCCGTTGCACGAGTGAATCACTGGATGGAAGATCTCTATCTCTCCTCCTCTCTGTATATCTGGCTTTGCAATAAAAATAAATCTTTGAAAAAGTAATAATAAATAAAAAATAAATACTGGCTCCTCCAGTGAGCTTCATTCCCGTGAATTACTCTCCTCCTTGGGATTTTACTGGCTGAGGACCATTTTGTTGAAATGAATTTGCTCTGAGCTTGTGTGAATGCCTTCAAGCTGCACATCTGCAAGCACACACTTCATTTTCCCCTCTACTCACTCATGCCGTGGAACACAAGCAATGGACCAACACCAAACCAGAGGCCACATTTAGAGGCATGTTATTTACTGTCACTTCTAGGTAATCTGACACTTTGAGATCAAGGTTAGGCTGGCCAAAATCCCAAGGGTGTTAAGCTCAGATGCCTGCCATAAAGGACCAAACTTGAAACACAAATGTCTGAAGAGCTGTGATGCAAGAAAATAGGAAAAGGAGGGCATCAACAATCTCAAGAGCATGTACGTAGCTCTAGAGCTTAAAATGTCTACATTATAATTTTTAAAAGGAAAATAAAACACAGCAAATGGGTCAAATTACACAGATCTTACATGCAAGCTCCTAATGCCAAACCCTGTAGACAAGACTGCTTTCATAAATTGCCATCCCTGGCTTTCTCTTCCTGCCAACCTTTATACACCTGCAGGGTCCTTCGAGCACATTTTTCCATTGCTGATACTAGCCTCCTTTTCTTCTTGGACCCATAGGATCCATGAATTACTCTCTTGTCTTGCTGAGTTCCAAGTCATATCTCTCAAGAAGACTATCACGTTGCTATGCATACTTTCGACATTGCTGTGGAGCCCTAAATATAGGTGATTACTATGACCGGAATGTGTACAAACTTGATGTTGCTTAATAAGTACACTCAAACTCATACTCCTAACATGAATAATACATCATTTTCTTCTCGTCTGATTCTTACTCAGGAAGGCACACTATTCCACAACATTAGGTGGAGAAAAAAAACGATCAAAATCAATATCAACTTCTACATTTTCTATCTTCCAGGCAATAATTTAGGAAATCACTTAATGGTAGGTGAAGCAGACGACGGTTCTGGAAGCTCCTTGCCATGACACTTTGGTCATGCCATTTTGGGGGGAGTTGTCTAAACCCAATGGCAAAAATGCTTTAGGAGGTGAAGAAATCTTGGCACAGAATTTAGGGTTTTTAATTCTTCTATTCAGATGACAATCAGATCACAGTAGGCTTATCAGTCAGAGTATTGATAAGAATATTGATCCTGTGCAAAATGCATGGGTGTGATCCAGGGCAGAAATGGGATGGGTCACAAACACTGTACAGATGACAAACTCGTTATGTTTTCCAGCCATGTGACATATTAACTTATCTCTCTCTCCTTATCCCCGCTATCTCGGGAGTTCTTCCGGGAATCCATGAACTTCATATGTATGTTTTGAAGGAAAGGTTGCTTATATTTCACGAGTTTTTAAAAAATGTCCAGTATTCGAAAAGGTTGATAATTGTTGATAATTGTTGAAAAGGTTGATGAGGTCTGGAATCGTAAAGTTTATATAAAATGCCACTTACGTCATTTATTTTTATTGTACTTTGACCCTTGGCTAAGGACAAGTATGAAAACTGGATTTTTTTAAAATAAGATTGATTTTATCTTTATTGGAAAGGCAGAGCTACAGAGAGAAGAAGAGACACGGAGAGAAAGATCCTCCATCAACTGGTTTGCTCCCCAAATGTCAGCGATGACTGGAGCTGAGCCAACCCAGAGCCAGGAGCCAGGAGCTTCTTCTTGGTCTCCCATGTGGGTGCAGGAGCCCAAGGACTCGAGCCATCCGCTGCTGCTTTGCAGGCCACAAGCAGAGAGCTGGATAACAAGTGCAGTTACCAGCCGCACCACAGGTGAACGCTTACTCTACTATGCCATGGCACAGACCCCAAACCTGTTTTTAAAAATAGTTTATTCTTTTATGCTATACTAAAATCAGAACTGTGAAACATGAGGCATTCAAGAATACATATCTTTTGGGTACAGTGTCTGCCCTTAACTGTCTCCTATAATAGGCCCCCTTATATGGGTTAATCAGATGGGGGAAAGTTTTTTTTTTTCTTTCAGTATATAAAGGTTTTTAAAACTGTAAATAGGGTTTTGCATTTTACATCTTGTGAGTTGTTATGCAAAGAATATAGGCTGAATAGATGGCACACAGAATGATAACTTAAGAAGGACATGTAAACATTTGCATTGTAAACACTTTTTTTTTCTTTTTGAAGAAGATGACACAACTGAATAACTTTGAAGATTACTTAGGTAGCCAACAAATACAAGTGCCACTGTTCAACGGCACAGGGACCAACAATTTGGAAAGTTTCCTTCTAGCAAGTGAGGTGAAGGAAGTTGCCTCTCAGAACCCTTGGACACCAATCAAGTAACAAAGGCCAACTTCACAAAGAAACTCAGCAATGCATAGCAGGGAGTTTAATCATGTGTTTTGCTCTAACAGTAAATGTAAGGCGATGATCACACTTCAAGGTATTTTGAAAAGTTCACGGAACATGAATATTATGCAAGAAAGAGACTACACGTGGATTTGTTTCGCAATGAATTAATGCTTTCATTTCACTTGCCATGAACTTTTTCAAGTACCCTGCAAAATGCAATGCAAAGACTGACAAGAGTATTTTGGGCCTGATGTAATGGATCAATTGGCTCATCCTCCCCCTTCAAGTGCCGGAATCCCTTATGTGCATCTGTTTGTGTCCTGGTTGCTCCACTTCCCATCCAGCTCCCTGCTAGTGGCCTGAAAAAGCAGCAGAGGATGGCCCAAAGCTTGGGACCCTGCACCCATGTGAGAGAACTAGAAGAAGCCCCTGGCTCCTGGCTCTGAATCAGTTCAGCTCCGGCCACTCCTGCCATGTGGAGGGGAACAAGTGGATAGAGAATCTTTATCTGTCTCTCCTCTCTGTCAACCTGCCTTTCCAATAAAAATAAATCTTTTTTTTTAAAGAAGTATTTTTATAGTAGAATACCTAGGCTTAGTAAACTTTAAAAAAAAGCTAATCCAAAATAGCATTCAGGTCAGTTTTTCCAGTTTCTAGCTTTGCTGTGTGTGTTTTTAACAGTTTTTCTTTGGAGATGTTGAAAACAAAATTGCAGTAGTTATTTAAACAACTGTTTAGTAACTGCATTTTTGTTCCAAGTTTTAAAAATTAGGTAAATAGGAAATATGGGTTTCAAAATAGCCAGCATACACATTCTTTGGGAGCAAGTGTTCTTGACAGAGATATACCCAAACTAACTTAACATTAAATGTTCAGATTTCTGTCTATAGTTTATCGAATAGAAGCTAAACAAAAAGGCCGGGAAAAATACATCAATCTGAACAGCCTCAACATCTGGCTAACTTCCCCCTCTCAGAGTGGACAGGTGAATAGCTGGCTCCATTTTACCCTCCCAGTGTGACTATCTAGGACCGTTCTGTGTCCCAGTATCTCCTTATCTGTGACATAGCAGGGCCTGTCAAGTTCAGAAATTCTGTTTTCCAGGTAAACAGACCAACTTCTTATTTACTTCGGCTGTTGAAAACTTTGAAATCAAGGACATTCAGAAAAACTTGCAGGTACTTACAGAAGGCTTGGGAGCAGGAGACTTGTTGCCGTCTGGGGTTTTGGTTAGCCATTCGTTGATGCGGCTGGAAACTCCCACCTTCAGGCCAGCGGTTTCCTACAAAGAATCAATCACCCATCATACTGAAGAGTAAACCTTAGCTGGGAAGAAATATGCACAGCAACCCCAAAATATTATAAAGCATTCTATCAGCTAGCCATAAGCTCTCCGTTGACATTTAAAGAATGTGACTTGATTTTTCTTCTCCCCTGGACTTCCTCCATCCCAAAGTCAAGGGTGGACGATCAATCATAGGCATTTTCTGAGGGCTCCCAGTCTGTGATTTAGCACAGAGTGTAAGCCTCATGAATACACTCTCTCTGGACTCACTTTTGTGGTTACTGCAATGCACAGTAGGGATTGCATCTTCCATATCACTTTTACTATTAATGAACGTGGTTCCTAAAACAGAATGGAAGACAGGTCCACCCCTCTAAACGTAAAATACAAAGATCTTTTGCTCACCTTATTGGGCGTGCCTGATGCGGCAGGGGCCGAGAACACATTGCCTTTCTCCCACATGCTCTTGATATTGCGTACACCTTCAGCAGGCACAGGGAGATCCGAGGCTGCTGGTTTTGTAGATTTTGCAGTTTTTGTTCCCTGAAATGATTATGTTTTAGGAATGACGCTGGGAAGTGTTTTGCTATAAAATTAGCTTAGCTCTTCCATCGCTGTCGTTTAAAAAGTTTATTGTGTACATACCTTTGCCAAAAATGAGCAATAATTTCTGTCCTGCATTCTGATCATGCGAATTATTCAACGTAAACCCTAAGAACTAGATCATGAAATCTTTGAAAAATGAATAGTGAAATACCACTGATTGTTAAGGCAACAATCTATTTTACTTCTGCAAATGCCTCTTAAATGCTTGCTGTGTGGGATACTCTGCTGGGCTCTGGATGTACAGTTTTGCTGTACACAAGACAATCTGCTCTGAAAGCTGCAGAGGGCTTACCTACTAATAGGACAGAAAGGTAGTCATAAGTTGCACAAATAGTAATTTAGCGCTATGGTGAAATAAACACAGTAAGACAACAGAATGACAAAAGGCATAGCAACAGGACAGTGCTATTTAGTTTTAGATGCAAAGAAGACTAATCTGAAGAAAGGAAAGTAAAACACAGGAGGACAGAAAATTCACGGTGGCAAAGTGATCAGGAGAAGCAAACTCCAATCCACGTAGAGGTTTACAGGATGTGTAGAAGTCCTGAGATAGAGGGAATGTTCCAGAAGTATGGTTTAGGAGAGAATGTTGTACATTTAAAATGCTTTCCTGGCAGTACCAAAGAATATACTTCAAATAGCCCGAGTTTCTCTCCTGGTCCTGCTTCGTGTCCTGTTGCCTTTGGTCAGATGATCAGCCAGGACGAGTGTCACCATCAGTGACCACGGCATAAAAATCCCACGGGACTATGTAAAGGACGAAGCCACAGTCTTAGCTTCAGCAGACTTATTGGCGCTATGAGGAACTCAACCGCAGCAAACCACTGCTGTGATGTGAACACAGGTTTGTTCCTACACCCACGATGGATTTCACATCCTAAAGTCACAGGGTAATGACACTAAGACGATGAAGATTCAACACAGGATGTTTGGAGGTGAGGCTTTCGGAAGAAGCCTGGATTGGACTGGGCTGTCGGGGGAAAGTTCCTGGGATTAAATGTTGATGGTCTTGTAAGTGATCACATACTTTCCCCATCTCCCTCCTTCATGGCTGCCCGTGAAATCCTTCCTGAGCCCCAGTTCCACATTTCACAACTGCTTACCAACATCAGAGACCAAATCTATAGGGGCACCCAATGACCCACCGCTCCAAAACTACAGGCTAAAATAAACCTTTTCATAAGGTTCATTTTTGGGGGGTAATTCATTCCGAAACATTTTAGTGAACCTTTACTCTTGTGAATAAAAACCATATCTTGAGTGTCAGAAATTGATTATTCACTTGATAAATCGTCAGACCTTTCTCTTTGATGTCTCCCTTATCAGCTTGGTGAACTACTGATCAACTATCTCTAGAGTGCAAAGGAGAAGGAAAAGGTAAATTTAATTCATTCAGGGCCCGGCGCGGTGGCGCAGTGGTTAGGGTCCTCGCCTTGCATGCCCGGGATCCCCTATGGGCGCCGGTTCTATCCCGGCAGCCCCGCTTCCCTTCCAGCTCCCTGCCTGTGGCCCGGGAGAGCAGTCGAGGACGGCCCAAAGCTTTGGCACCCTGCACCCGCGTGGGAGACCCGGAAGAGGCTCCTGGCTTCGGATTGGCATAGTATCAGCCGTTGCACTCACTTGGGGAGTGAATCATCGGACGGAAGATCTTCCTCTCTGTATATCCGCCTTTCCAATTAAAAAAAATAATAATAATAAAAATAAATCTTAAAAAAAAAATTAAATGCATCCAATGGTTTCACAGCAGGTGGTCTCCAGGAACACCTGGCTAAAACCATGGGCTGAGGTCTACACAGAGGACAAAAAAATGTCAGCTTATGCATGCTAAACACCAGCTTCCTCTTGATGCTCTGCTACTTGGAAGTACACATCCCTTCCAAATACAGCACAAGCCAAAGTCAACTGGGTTAAAAAAAAAATTGGAGTACATAGAAGGATAAAGCTGTCAAATATAAATGTTTATCTGAAATGGCTGACTAAATGAAGGTGGCTATTGTCTATATTATTTTTCACTAGTATTTTTATTCCATAATAAAAAATTTATACAAAAAAAGAGGACTGTGGAAGATTATATGGGGTCAATTTAAACCACGTTTGAGGACACAATTCGTAAGGAATTTTGGATATTGAAGATAAACTTGTGAAGATACATTTAACAACTAAATGCCAGGAAACCAATTCATTTAAAGAATAAAGACCTTCATTATAGAAAATGCAGGGTGAACTTATCTGAAACCGTTCCAGGAGCTGGCACTAGGGCTCAACCGGCTAATCCTCCCACTTCAAGCACCAACATCCTATATGGGTGCTGGTTTATGTCCCAGACGCTGCGTTTTTGATTCAGCTTTCTGTTTGTGACCTGGGAAAGCAGTGGAGGATGGCCCAAAACCTTGGGACCATGAAACTGTGTGGAAGCCCAGAAGAAACTCCTGGCTCCTGGCTTCAGATCGGCTCACCTCCAGTTGCTGTGGCCACTAGGGAAGTGAACCAATCGATGGAAGATTTCTCTCTCTGACTCTCCTTCGCTCTGTAAATCAGCTTTTCCAATAAAAAATAAACACATCTCTTAAAAAAAAACCCTATTACATAATTTATTCCTATATTTCCCAAAAACTAGGTCAAAGTGTAAAAACATTATTGGTATTTTTTTTCAAATGGTAATCATTTTTTTTTTTCTTTCAAAGGCAGAGCAATATCTCACACACAGACGCACACACATTTCTTCTGCCTCTAGTTGACTCCCCAATTGCTTCTAACACCTGGGACCAGGCTGGTAGCTGGGATCTCTGTCCAGGTTTCCCATATAGGTGGTGAGACTCCAGGACTTAACTCATCACCTGCTACCTCCCAGGCACACAGAAGGAAACTGGACCAGAAGTGGAGGCGGGATATCAGCCTAGGCACTCCAGTATGGCACGTGGGTGACTCAAGCAGCAAAATTACCTGGGGTGCTACAATACCCACCTGGGATCATTGATATTCAGATACTATGGTAGCTGTTGGAGTTGGTTATCATTCTGAGCTGTTCAACAGGGCCAACATTCTGAGGACAGTGCTTACCTCAATCGCACTGGTATACTGCTCCAATCTGCTGTCAATCTTGGACACTACTGCCGCTTGATGAGTTGACTTGACACCACTGCTAAAAACAAACGGCTAAAAATATGAGAACCATTCCCTACTTACAAGAGGTAATCATTCTTACATGAACACTCAGCCATAGTTACCTTTTCTGCACAGACTTATTCAAAAATTCTGCTCGCTCTTCAATCTAGGAATTGAAAAAGAAAATCAGAAGTTTTCACTTGGACATAATGTTTCTCAGTCCAGGCCAGTATCATTCCTAAACAAGGTGAGTAAAACCACCACAGTGTTAAAGGGTATTTGATACTACACATAGGCATGCTTCTACAGAAAAAATAATCTGGATATGATATTTGATAGTGAGATCTGGGGATGCAATTAGTATTGGCAGAGGATATAGAAACACACTGTTCTAGGGCCAAAATACACCCAGATTGAAATGAAGTGAAAACGCCTTTGAATTAATATGAATCAGTGGCACAATATTTAAAATACGAGAATATAATAGTTTTTTTTTTTCTCCTAAACCTTTCATGTTTATATGACTGCACGCAGACAATGCTCAAAACAACGAATGCCCCAGACTGATTTATCTCTGTTTTTCGTAAATAACAGGCTCAATTACGAAAGAGAACTAGGAGTTGTGAACTCTTCAGTTATGGTTTAGTGTGATTTTTTAAGTTAGTAAGGGCCAAGCTTGCAAAGCATGTGGTTGCTCTGGTTATACGAGAGATAAAGAAATCCAGAGCACCTGTGATGGATACATGCCAAACAGACAGTGAACAGTCCTCAATGAACTCCCCCACCCTTTTAACTGAAATTTCTTTGTGCTAGAGCAAGGCTGTTACATTAAATATTATCTTCTGAAACTGTGTAACTTAAATTCAACTGATCTCTGAAAGTTGGCCAACGTTAATTGACTTTTAGGATGCCCAATTTCAGGCCAGACACCCTCCGACCCCTACCAGCTGTCAATATCAACAACTATGAAACCTGTTCTCAGTGTGACACGCATGCTGGAAGCTTCTGTGTCCTGCCCTGACCAGGGCAGCCATGGAACTTACCACCCTGCAGTCACTTACCCTGAGTGCCTGTGGTTGACATTCATTCAACAAATTACCATAGGATGGGTAAACAACATGCATTTTGACACAATTTTAGAGACCGGGAGGTCCATGTCAGCATGGCTGGCATGAGACAAGCACCTACTCTTGTCTCGCTCTTAGAGCAACAACCCTTCTTAAGAGGGCTCCACTTTCATATCCTCATTCCCATCAAAGGCCTCATCTACCAAAAAAAAAAAAAAATCACACTGGGGGTTTAGATTTTGAAAGATGAATTATGGGGAAAGTTGGAAACTTATAGGTTATAACACTCCTAGTATCTTCTACAATGTTGGGATCAGATTGGGACTTACCAAAAAAATTCTTAAGTACCACAAATGTTTGCTTCAAAAGCAATGTTTTATTCCTAATATCAGCTGAATTGCACCTGTACAGATGCTAAGGGCACTTCATCTTTTATAAACATTTCTTACAAAAATAAATTCAAGTCTTTACCAAAATTAAATTTAAAATGCTACAGGGAGCCCAGAATTATTTACTAGAAAATACATTTTTGCATTTTAATCATAAACTACAGAATGCTTTTCTTTAAAAAAAAAAAAAGTTCCCGGATGAATAAAGTGAAACAGTTTAGAAGCATGCCAAACCCTGACACTTTTAATATTTCCCAACCATGCATCTGTTCATGTGCACATCCATTCATTCATCCAGCCAGCCAGCCTTTTAACAGCCTGCCAGCTAAACTATCAATTAATCAATTGGGTTTCTTCTATATAAAGTTATATTTCCAGTTGTCAATAAGACAGTGCTATGGATTGAGCTGTGTCTCTTGCAATATGCGGCTCATGTTTTAAAACCCTAACCCTCCCATATGTCTATCTTTAGGGTTGAACCTCTGAGTTAGTAACAGGGTAAATGGGATTGTCAGGGTGTGACCCTGATAGGATAAGATTAATACCTTTTTAAGAAAAAACAGCAGCTAGTGCGTGCTTACTCTCTTGCTACCCTGTGAGGCTGTAGTGAGGAAGTGACCATCTGTATGCCTCCATTAGAAATGAATTGGCCAGCACCTTGATCTTAAATATTTCAGACTGTGGAGTCTAGTCTAAGGAGCTTTGCTATGGAAACCTGAGCAGACTTCCATTCTTAAAGGCCTATTAATTTTTTGTTTTTTAATTGGAAAGCCAGATATACAGAGAGGAAGTAGAGACAGAGGGGAAGACCTTCCACCTGAGGATTCATTCCCCAAGTGACCACAATGGCCAGAGCTGAGCTGATCCAGAGCCAGGAGCCCTTCCGGGTCTCCTACACAGATTCAGGGGCCCAAGTTTTTGGGCCATCCTCAACTGCTTACCAAGGCCATAAGCAGGGAGCTGGAATGGAAGCAGGACTGCTGGGACTAGAACCAGTGCCTATATGGGATCCCTGCACGTGCAAGGTGAGGACTTCAGCAACTAGGCCCTAAAGACCCATTGTTAAAGAGCACATAACGTAGGGGCCCATGTAGTGACATCATGAGTAAAGCCATTTCCTGCAATGATGACGTCCCATGCGATGCTGATTTGTGTCCTGGCTGCTCCATGTCTGATCCAGCTCTCTGCTAATGATCTGGTACAAAACCAGAAGATGGTTTAAGTGCTGGGAGACCAAGATAAAGCTGCTGGCTTCAGGCTGGCCAAGGTCCAGCTATTGCAGCCATCTTGGGAGTGAAACAGCAGATGGAAGATCTCTGTCTATTTGTCTGTCTCCCTCTGTAACTGACTTTCAAATAAATACCTTTTTTTTTCAAGGAGCACAGAGTTTATAAGAGAATAGTAGGGCCCGGCGGCATAGCCTAGCGGCTAAAGTCCTCGCCTTGAATATGCCAGGATCCCATATGGGTGCCGGTTCTAATCCCAGCTGCTCCACTTCCCATCCAGCTCCCTGCTTGTGGCTTGGGAAAGCAGTCGAGGACGGCCCAAAGCCGTGGGACCCTGCACCCACATGAGAGACCTGGAGGAAGTTCCTGGGTTCAGATAGGTGCAGCACCAGCCATTGCACTTACTTGGGGGAGTGAATCATCGGACTGAAGATCTTCCTCTCTGTCTCTCCTCCTCTCTGTATATCTGGCTTTGTAATAAAAATAAACAAATCTTAAAAAAAAAAAAAGAGAGAGAGAATAGCAGCATACATCATTATTTAAGAGCTAATGCTGGTTACCTAGTACACAAAAGTAGAAAAGGCTGAGTATTCAAGAGAAGCAGCTATCTGGGGGAATTGACGAAGGTCTCTCTGGAGTTTTGCATCTGGCCAGAGATCTGCAGCTTATAGTCTACAGTTTCAAAAGTGAGTATATGAAAGAGAGAATGGGGGTACGGAGGTAGAAGGAAAAGGACATTTCTCAGAAAGCAAATATACGCATCCAAGATCAGGTGCAGGCACAGTGCGATGGAAGAACATAGAACAAGTCAGCACGACGCCAGAGCTGAGCCTTATCCTTTGTAGCACTGTCAGTGGCTTTCTGATGCAGAGACCATCTTTCTCACCTTGGCCATCACAGCTAGTCCAGTGACAGAGACTCGCAGGTTCCCAACTCCAATTCTGTCTAGAGTAGCTGATGTGGCTTGACTTCACAATCATGTATTAAGAAGCAGGACCTCTGGCAGGTGACTAAATCATGAGCATGGAGCCCTTGTGAATGGGATTAGCGGATGTAAAAAAAAAAGGCCCGATCGGGCTTGGGTGGCTCCTCTCAATCCCTTTCCACCACGTAAGGATATAAGGACACACAAGGTGCCAACGCGTGAGGAACAGGCCCTCGCCATTGTCAGATCTGCCGGGGCCTTGATCTTGGCCTTTGGAAGTGTCAGTAACAGATTGCAGTTGCTTTGAAATGACTCGGTCTCAGGTGTTTTGTTACAGGAACCCCGAGACTAACACCAGAGGAGAGCAGAAAGATCAGGGAAGCAAAGATTGTGAATAATCAGTCATTTCATAAGGGACTAAACCAAGTTTATGTGGGCCTTTTTTTTTGATGTGAGGCGTGTTACAAGAAGATTTTACCTTGAGAGATGACCCTTTCGGGGTGAAACACTTGAATGGCTTCTTATCATCGGCCAAGCCATCTTCCGGCATCTTCTGGCGTTTCTCAGCAGCTTCTGCCCTTCGCCTTTCTATCTCTTCCTTTAGCCTCCTTTTCTCTTCCTGAAAGAGAGCACAAACGCTCAACGTCCAGGCGAAAGGCAAGGGGAGCGGGGCACCGAGGGAGAAGCAGCAGACGCAGGCTCTGCTGCGGAAGCGCCCTTGCGCTCAAGGGTGCTTACAGATTGCGTCGATTCACCTTCTGAAGCAATGGCTTCCCAACTGCGTGACCTTGAGCGTGTTACGTGCCAGCTCTGCGCCCCAAGTCTTCAACTATAAATAGGATAACAGTACCCACTTTGCAGAGTTTTCATAAATTCTATCCCATAATAGTGATGAGTCCTGTCCCAGGTCTAAATATGTAAAATGAATACAAATATCCTGTCTACATACTTCCCAGGCGAGATGCTAAGACTAATAGGGTGGCTTACATGGAAATGCATGTAAGTCTATGGTAGCAATTCTGCCAAGCTGTACAAGAAACGATTTTGTGATTGTCACTCATCTCAACTATTAAATCATTTGACATCATTGTCACTGGACGTTCTCCAGTAGCAGCTGGGGGGGTCTGCTGGTCAGAGAGCATTGCGGAAGGATCCTGTACTCGGTAAGAGGTTAGACCAGATTAACTCCTAGGTTTGATCCAGTTCTAAGAGCTTATGACATCCCTTCTGCCTTCGCCAGTAATCGCCATCATCATCATCGCTAGCACTTATCAAGTACCTACTCGGTGCCAAGCATTGTGAATACAACAATTTGCCTCATCATCAAACAGTCCTGCCAAGTAGGCATCATCTCAGCAGAGTAGCCCAGCAACCCTCCAAGGTCCCAGCTCCTAACTGGCTGAGTTGGGATACAAACCTGGCATGTTGGATTCTAAAACTGTATTGCCCCAATTCCTTTTCATCCTAAGATCACTGGCTCATGGGAAAGCTGGAGTTGGAAGAAACCTTGGAATAATCTGTTCAACCTTCGCATGCAGTTCTGGGAAATTTTGTACAGGAACCATATCTGAAAGCTATGGAAAGTTTAAAAAAAAAATAGTTTGCCTGATATGAAATCAGTATCTTCAAAGCTCAAGGCCCAGAGTGGGAAAAGCTGGGTGGAGAGGCTGACTCCACCACTTGCAAGTCAAGCACTTCAAGTGACTCTCAGAAACTCTCCGACGCCTGGTTCGTCCGTAAAATGAGCATGCGCTTCAGGACGAAAGGAAAGAATGCACTTTATAAACCGCAGCGTGGAAGCTATAGCTGTTTAGCGTTTTTTCCAGTGTGCATGTAACTTTATCTGTTGTTTTGGTCCTGTCTTCAAGGAGGGGATAAATTCATCGGCTCCTAATGGTAGAGTGCCTGCTGTAAGGTGGGCACTGTATGGGTCTCGGGTAAGCAGCAGTGACCCCAGAACATTCTGCACTTTCTTACTTCACTTCACTGTCTCCTCCATGACAAAAAAATCCACAGACAAGATTTTGAAAAACTCTTTCAACATTCGGAAAAAACCCTACCACACAACTTAATTGCCGAACCTTCATCCTTCTTCAGTGTCCTTCTTTATTGAGCGGTGCTACTGATAAAGGGCTCAGACAACTGGGGCCTCAGTAAAATGACAAAAGATTCAACAACAATACTTGATGCCCAAGTTTGCCCACTAGTAAAACACGGATAAGTGCTCACATCAGAGTCGGGAGGGACACCGGATAAAGGAACAGGACTGTAGATTTCAGCACTGAATCTACTACCTAAGTACGCTTACGGCCCTTGAAATACATTGTAATAATTTGGGGATATAATCAACAGGGGATATAAGGAGGAACGGAAGAGAGGAAGGGGAGGGAGGACCCCCTATGCTCTAGACCTGTATCGAGAAAAAGAAGAAAGCCACTCATTTTCCATCAGACGAAGGAACAGGTTTATGTTCGAAGGAGCGGCTGCACTGCCCTTGCAGGGACAGAAAGACTTCCTCCTGGGCTAGGCGCATCCACAAACAGGTGCACTCAGCTGTGCCACAGGGGGAGGGCGCCCTTCTTACCTCTTCCCTGACTTTTCGCTCCGCCTCTTCCTGCTTCTTTCGCTGCTCTTCCTCCTCCAGGACTTTCCTTCGCTCCTCTCTCTTCTTCTTCAGCTCCTCCAGTTCCTGGGCTGCCTCCTGCTGCTTCTGTTTGAGCTTCTCGAACTCCTCGCTCTCGGTCTCCCCGCGTCGACGGCGCAGCTCCTCTAGGCGCTTGCCGGCTTCCGCCTCCTGGGCGTCCCCACTGGCCTTGCCTCCCGAGCGGCCCGGGCTGCGCGGGGCGGGGGGGGGGAAAGAAATGGGACTCAGTTTACACGCCTTGCCTGAAAAACTTCCCCCTTAGAGAAGGGGGGTGTCCAGGGTGGGGCTTTGCACGCGCAGGGCTGGAGACCTCACTGCTGCCTGTCACTTGCCACCGGCACTCCCCATCAGGCCGAGGACAGGGTGGCGAATGCCAAGATCTCCTTGGGAATCCTTCATCTGCCCGAGTTTCTCAGTTGTAAACCGAAGCGAATTGGGCACTGTCGGTGGGGATGCAAAAACGGTGCGGCCGTATGGAACTCAGTGAGGAGCTTGCACTTTTCGTGTTCCATGCTGTTACTATTTTTACCCACAGTTAAATATAAACACATAAGGAAAAAAAATAAAACAGGGCAAGAACTATTCAGTTGTGTTTACCTCTGTATTTTCTGGGACTCAAGGGACTAAATATCTAATTATCTTACTTGTCATTCCTAAGCGAATGTTATTATTAGAAACCCTACTATTCATATGCACTCCATAATTCATCAGCGGCCACCTTCGATTGGTACCCCGTTACAATCCTGTATCAAGGGCCCGGCGCGGTGGCGCAAGTGGTTAAAGGTCCTCGCCTTGCACGCCCGGGATCCCATATGGGCACCGGTTCTAATCCCGGCAGCCCCGCTTCCCTTCCAGCTCCCTGCCTGTGGCCTGGGAAAGCAGCAGAGGACGGCCCAAAGCTTGGCTCCTGGCTTCGGATAGGCATAGTATCGGCCCGTTGCGCTCACTTGGGGAGTGAATCATCGGACGGAAGATCTTCCTCTCTGTGTCTCCTCTCTGTATATCTGCCTTTCCAATAAAAAATAATAAAAATAAATCTTTTAAAAAAAAAATCCTGTCTCAAGAGGAACGCAGAGCGGTTCAGCCCTGGAGACAGACACTGTAAGGAATGCAGGGCTCCGCAGCTTGGCCTTGACCTTAACTCTTGCAACACATCTCTGGCAGATGCGATCACCTGTTAAGTGCATCCCTCCCCCTAAACCCCGCCCCCCCCAGCCGCCCCAGGGAAGTTCCTGATGACGGCGCGAGGCCCCATGGTTTCCCTTCGTCTATTTGGCATGCTCTTACATCTCAACCCAACCCAACTGAAATGCTCCTCTACCTATGGCTTTCAATGACTTACTGAGCTCTGGCGGGATCAGAATCGTGGCTTTACATCTTTATACCTTTTCCGTATTCATTACCTTTGTTGAGAGAACATAATTTACCCAAATTTTTGATAGCTAGAAAGTGATTCAGTCACGGTCAGACCTGGCTGTTTACCGTTTATAGTCTTCCTTGTAGTGGAATTATATCTGAAGTTAAAAATGATTTGTCATCAAATCATCAACGAAATAGGACGCGTCAGCCCCCCCTCCCAACCTCTTCTCTCACATCCTGAGGATGGAGAGTTTACCAGAGATGTGTCCTACCTGATTTTCTGGGATTACTTTACCCACCATGCCTGAAAGGAAGCATTACGTCATCAAGCAGGACAGCTTGAGAACCGGAAAGAACATGTGTAAACTTTTTTTTGTAAGTCAGAACTGAAGTTAAATTTGATGGTGAATTTTCTTTTGTGATTGAAGGGGGACTCGCACTGCAGTATGGGGAACCTGTTGACACTAAGGACAGACTGCCACCCCAAGTCCTTGTGTTAACATTTGAATTCAGAGCTGGTAGTCTTCATGTTTTACGGACATCACGTGATAAGATGGGGAGGCATCCTCAGCACCTCCTGAGCCCAGATTCCTCTAGAACATTGATGATTTTGATCTGTTAGGGGCAGGACTAACACTTTAAACAGAACAGTCTGTCTCCACTTAGGCAACATTCATAGTAGTTAGATCCTCCTGAAATTTTGCTTGCCGGCTGCCTTGTTATAATTAGTGTTACACCAAGGGACGGACATATAGTTTGTTGCCATTTAAATGCTTAGTAACATGTAGTTAGGTCATGGTTAACTAGATCTGAATCAAGGTAGCCAATTTACAACACCATTGTCTTAGGACAGGTGAAGGGCCACTGTATCTTCTACTTTAAGTAGAGAATGGCTCTGTGTTTCTGTGCGTGGAGAAAGAGAATGAACAAAACAATGAAAAAATTCAAGATATATGCTCAAAATATTGATCTTCTAGTTCACCTCTCATAATAGTTCAACACTGGGGTTGTCTGGACATAACGTGTTCTTTCGGACTATTTTTCAAGCTGCGTAGTTGAGACCCAATTCAGTGGATTATAAGGATTACCAAAACCATAATTAGGATATAATGAGAATACGTTGCATGTAGCAATGGAAAATACCATTTCTTGAATGCTTGTTTCATTAAAAATACTTACTTTCATATAGACTTATACTGCGTTATCATGCAAAACTCTTACTAGCAGTTGAAATTTAAAAAGCTAAAATTTACTTGCTTAGGTTCCTTGGCAACGATTATTTTACTCTGAACTCAAGAAAGTGTCTTAAAAATTTATGTTGTGTATTCCAGGATTTTAAATTTACATCCTACGGCTCCCGGTTCGGCCCGGTTCAGATCTGTCTGAACTCAGAAACAATTCTGAAACTTCTCTGCTGTCCACTAGGTGTCGCTCTCTCCTCATGTTGGACAACTAAGATGCCCATCATTAAGTACTAGCCATTTTACCCATTCAGGAATACCTTAACATCATCATTTATAGGCTTGCATTTATTGGTATAGAAAGCTGGTTATGATGCCTTGCTGTGTATATAAGATGTTCAGAAAAATGTTACTGTTGATTTTCTTTGGGTGGTAGGAACTTATTTTTGTCCTTCTATTTTCTGAATGTTTTACCTTGAGCACTTTTCTTCTTCAAAGTCTGAAAAAAAAAAAAAAGCATTTACTTCCCACCATTAACACATAACGAGAAATCCTCATTTTGTACTTTCTTCTAAATCCTTGGTCTAATCTTTTATCTCCATCGCTTGTTGATTCAAACTGCGAGTTTGTGTCATAGTGCAGCGAAAGCAACTGAGTTACGTGAAGACACGATCAAAGGAGACAGTGATGAAATCACTCAGAAGATGCTATGTTCAAACTGGAAGAGGGCGTTTTGTCTAGATCACCCAGGCCTCTATCTGTGACTGGCTCTCAGAGTTCTTCCCGCTAGCTTCTGCTTCGTAGGTTTTAGGTGAACATCAAACCTTCAACCATTAAAAACCAGAGCTAGCAACATCAAGTTTATGGAAATACAGGCTCCCTTTCCCCTGCTTACTTCTCATTTTGCAGGTAGAAACCCATGCTTCTCATTTCTGTTCACATCAGCAAAGCTGAAGCTAAAACTCACAGATGCTGGCAGTTCAACAAAAATGAATGCTATGGTGGCAATTTGTTCTTCTACTTGTTATCTGCCCAAAGATGGAAAAATTAAGAGTCTCATTGAGGCATTGTTATTGCTCAACCTATTTCTAATATTTTGCTATTTTTCTCTTTGAATTTCCTAGCTCTTTTGGTGTCTACACACAGGCATGCTAATCATTAATTTGAACTTTGACTGAAGCACCTTGGCAAGTTCCCTAGTTGTTAAAACCAAGCTTCTTTATAATGAGAGTATTAAAACATTGTTTCTCTTCGTAGAATTAGAAACTGAGTATTTTTTAAAAAGCCTTATGCCTCAACTATATTTTAAACTATCAAGCAATGAAATAGCACTCATCTTAGGTAACAGTCATTGAGCATTTTTCAGGAACCTGACACATGAGCACTGGACTTTAAACATTCCATTAATGACACTCCAGCAAGCTTTGGATTCTGCATCGGTTTGCTTTGCGGATTTTCTCTGGCTAGACAAGAAATTCTCAATTTGACCATCTACTCTCTTGCCAATCACAGCTAATACCCATGGATCCTACTTTCCTTTCTCTTTCACCGTTGTAGCTCGGCCTTTCATGCACGCCTTCTGTGTGCTGTAGGTTATCTGCTGCATCGTACGCCCAGGAGGATTAAGCTTCTGCTCAAATTTTTTTGTAGGGCGACATTGTTTCAGGATAACCGCTTGATATTTAGATAAACCGGAAACACTTGCTTCTGAATGTTACAATTCTGCTGGTGTAAGGAGCATGTCAAACTGCACCACAGCTGTTGGGCGGCTTTGCCACAGCACGTGTCAATAACACGGGGTCAGCAAGCAATGGAGGTGCCAAGCTTTATGGCCAAGCAAATCCTCAGCAGGGGCCCCGGGACCTTTCCTCACCACCTGCTGCCGAGGAAGCAGTCATACAACCAAGCTTGAGAAAGTGAGGGTTTACTTACCTAGACTGGCCTAGTTTTTCTAAAATTAGTTGCCTATCTTTAACGTGTGGGTGGCAAATTTTTTAATATGATGATTAGCAGGAGGTTGAGATGCTGCAAGATAATTTCCCAAGATGTATTAAAAGATCCTCAAAGCTCTGTGGTTGAGAGATCTGAATAACTTAGTTTATGCTAATGTTTCCAAAGTGCCTGGCTGTGGAATAGTTCTGCCTTTCTACGCTATCATGAACAAACTTTCAAAAATGCAGTCTTCAAAAACAGCACCGAAGGATGTTTCCTATGAAGTTGGCTGGATCACATACAAAATAAACCGATGGCATTAACCTGTCATGATGTTTTCTAATGCACTGATGTCACGTGTGTGTATTAGGTCAGCGAATGAAACCACCACGGGTGCCGAGCAAGCAAAATCTGCCTTGCAAACTAGTGGGAACTGGAGATGGAGCCCTGGCTGAGTGAGGACTGCAGCTCTCTTGTTAGCGTCAAGCGAGCTAGATCTGCTGACTCTTGAGTCTCTATGACGATGGCCAATAACCTCACAACATAAGAATGTTGCCTGTTTAGCACGTTTGTGTCTGGAGGCACAGGATGGGAAGCCGTCTCTGTGTCCCTCTGTGGGAACACAAGTATCTGTTCACTGGTCGCTCCTTACCTAAATGTGTTCTCAGCATGTTTAAGTTTGTGAGTCCCGAATTCTCCATTCTGCGATTTCACCTCTGCAAAGCCCTTCTTTTTATCCACGAGGCTCTTGGCTTCTTCTTTAGGCTCTTTGTCCTTCTTCGTCTTTTCATCTTTGACCTAACCAACAGCACACATCGGGACAAGAACAAAGACCTTATTAGATGTTGGTCGGTACTGTCAGATAAGAACTCAAATCGTTATGAAGTCAGAAAACTTGTAAGTGAAACCTCTCCCCCCAGAGAACAACGTGGTGGAGCTGGGATCGGAGGGAAATCCTCAGACTGAACAATGGTCCCTCAGCCTGCGAGTAAAGACCTTGACTGCAATTTTAGGAAAATGACATCACTGCCAGTCTCACTGGGGCTTCTGTTTTCAAGATCAGAGAGGGTGTTAATGCTTATAAATGTTTAAGGTCAGGGCATTTCACGCGAAAGTCACTGCTTGCAGTTCCCAGTGGAAAGATGCGTTCTTAAAGCAGCTCTCATCAAAGCATGGCCAGGTTGTTAGCACAGCTTCTTTTTGACTGTAAATTTTGGGGAAGGACACGAGAAAAGAAAGAAAGGAAAACCTACCAAGTAAGGCAGATGTATCAAAGCAATTTTAGAGAAGCCAAGTGAAGGAAGGTGTGAATTTTAACAAAATGAGTATGTCCCAGGAGTGGAATGCGTCATGACCCTATGTTTACGGAGAGTTCAGACGTCATGGATATAGCCTCCTAAATCATTAGAGTAGAACAGAAAAAAACTCCAGAGTTGAAGCCTTAACGGGTGCAGGTCTTTCAATGGCCATAATAAGAAAGGGGTTAAAAAGTCCAGCGTTGTTGACCTTGACTCCCACTGCCGGGAATACAGTGGTCTGGTTTTGTGATTGTGTTGGCAAACAAAGGTAAAGTTAACTTTCAACATGTTGTACGTTTTGTGTTGCAAGTTCCCTATAACTGAGGCGGATTGTGTTACGTTAAGTGAGTTTACATAACTCTTTGGGAGGCAAAAGGGTTCACATGGCTCAACCTAGAGCATCTCATTCATTCTTAAAAGATGCGCAGGAAAGTAGGTGAGGTTCATTATCATCCCTTCCAAGGCAAACATCTCGGAAACAAGGGCAGGCTGGCAGAACTTGGGGCTTCAGGTTCTCCTCCTAGGGATACCTATCTAGCAAGTGTCTTGGAAACGCTCAAGATAGGACTTCTGTTTTTCCATTCTCTCTGTGAGCTTTGTCTGCAAGTCAGGAAACCTACGTTTGAGTTACAGGCTGGCTGTGCGAGCTGAACAGGTCCCATCACTTCTCTGGAATGCTAGTCCATTGTGTCTACAGAGCAAGCCCAGGCCTTGGAGAACTCCTCTCCTGTCACTTCCCTCTTGGCTGCTGCTACGTCGGGAGGGGACCCAGGAAAGTGAAGTATTGAAACACAAGTTTGGAAGTGAAGGGGTGCCCTTTCGGGAAACGAATTCGCAGTCAAATCCTGTGGTTTGTGGAGCAGCGGGCTAGAGAAGTCCCTTTAACTCATTTTTTCTGTTTGCAGTCAGAAATATCTAAAAGCTTCCAAAATGACTTACTGGGCAAAAAAAGGTTTGAAAATAGATACGTAAAACAATACATGTCTAACAGAAGAAAATTCCTCCCCCTCCTTTTTTCTGTCAGCTCTGTCTTTGTTGGCAAAGCGCACGGCCGATGGTATGTTTACATATTCTTTGGAAAACTTTCTTCGAAACATTCTCAGTGTAGTAACACTAATTTGAATCTGCTTGAAAATGATTTTTCTTTCTGGGAAATGAATAAATAATGCAATTCCATGCAATGTTTAGATTTTTATTTTAAGGAACATAATTGGATTGGAATCTGTAGCGGATTCAACAGAACCCATGGGACGCTAGGTCCTTGGGAAAAAGGCATTCTGTCATGGAGGTCAGAATGTTACCACAATGAAAATCTGTGTTGGAGGATGGGGCAGGCGGCCAAGGGTATTAAAAGCGTTAACATGCCTCCTACACAGACAGTATCAGTCCACTTGTAAGGAAGGTTCTAGTCAAATGTGATCATTTGACTAAAACTATGGCTAATTGTGATATCCAGTGGGATAATATGTGGGCATTGCTGTGAGCATGTGTGTGTGTGTGTGTGTGTCCATGTGTGTGAATTCAAGGGACATGCTCTTGTATCAGAGAGACATTCAAACGGTCAAGTGCAACAGGAGTCGTTTTGCAGTGTGTGCCTTTGGACCATTTAGTTCCAGAAGAGCCACTAGAGCCTGGGACAAGTTACAGTTTCTCAGATTAGGTCTAATGCATTTTTGTTACTTTTAGAAGTTTAGTCTGGATCCATCTTCTGTTATACCTGTATCCTCTAAAACTCATTGCTACTAAAAGTTTGAGCCTTGTATTACATAGGCTTAAGCAGAGAATTCGGACTCCCCAGAGCTACGGAGCCAGAGTCTTCATTTACCAAGATGCCCTGGTGATTTGTCTACATACATAAAGGTTTGGAAAGCATGGGCCTGGATAACATGAACAGCGGATTTGATATCACACAGGCAGTTCTGTTGCAAATCTTATTTTTCTGTTAGAGGCCAGCCTGAGTGAAGAACCAAAAAGAGGCATTCTATAATTGGAGGGAAAGAGAGCATGCTAAATTAAGTTTCAAGATTGCTGATCAGGCCGGCGGCGTGGCCTAGCGGCTAAAGTCCTCGCCTTGAATGCCCAGGATCCCATATGGGTGCTGGTTCTAATCCTGGTGGCCCCACTTCCCATCCAGCTTCCTGCTTGTGTCCTGGGAAAGCAGTCGAGGATGGCCAAAAGCTCTGGGACCCTGCACCTGTGTGGGAGACCCAGAAGAGCTCCTGGCTCCCAGCTTCAGATAGGCGCAGTACCGGCCGTTGTGGTCACTTGGGGAGTGAATCATGGGACGGAAGATCTTCCCCTCTCTCTCTCCTCCTCTCTGTATATCTGACTTTGCAATAAAAATAAATAAATCTTAAAAAAAAAAAAAGACTGGTCATCATCTGAAGCCATCATCAGATTAAGCTGTAGTGCAGAAAGTCTGGAGGTTTGTTTGTCTTTCTGGGAGGGGAGTGATGGGTGGATGTGTTTCTCTAGAAGGGTGTACATGAGTTTGTATTTCCTTATGGTTGACCTAGTCTGCTTATGCTGTACAGATCCTCGAAAGAAAAGGTTTTCGTTCCATTTTGTGCATGTTTGTCAGCCACGTGTGTTTGACAAAAAAAGGAGACAGACAGGAAGGGGTTGTTCCAAATGGCAGAATCATGCAATGTGATTCTATAGCTGACTACACAGAGCAACCGCACAACTAGTTAGAGACCGCTTTTCTCTCAATCCATAATGTATGTGTGCAATATCAAAACAAGAATATAGATTTTTCTGAGAAGCATGGGTTGAGAAAGTTATCTGGCCTTAGAGAAGAGAACCAAAGTTTGGGGACACTGGATTGTGCTACAAGGCAATATCGGCAAGGGGCTGACCTGAAAGCAGTCCCCCCAGGGGCACTGCTGAGCCCAGGTCTTATCAGTGCATTTGGGCCTGATGCGTTCTTTCTGGCTCAGAGACACCATCCACAGGCATAGGAAGCTCTGGTCACAAGAAATGAATCACAGCTGGAATTCAATCTTAAGGCTAGACTCAAATAGCATTTTCCATAGCCTCTCTTCTCCCACAGGTCTAACTATTGAGGCATGGTTTATGTAATTCCCCTCTTCCTCTTTAGTTAAAGACATTCACCATGAAACACTTAGCTTTATGGGAGAACTCGCATGCAGCGTTTCTGAGTATAGTTCCATGGTAAGTGTCATTCTTTTTGCAAATACATTCATAGGCAGTGTTCCTTTGTCACCAAAGGAGAGGCATTTCCCAGCTTGTTCAACTATTCCTGCAACTGCCTCAAGAGAGTTAAATTCAGCTTTCCAATGATTATATTTCCCCTTGCTCTTACCAGGCAGTGCTCACAGTCTATATTCTCATTTTTAAAAGATTTCTTTCTTTCTATTGGAAAGGCACATAGACAGAGAGAAGGAGATACAGAGAGGAAGATCTTCTGTCCGATGATTCACTCCCCACGTGGCAACAATGGAGCAGATTCAAAGCCAGGAGCCAGAGCCTCCTCCAGGTCTCCCACGTGGGTGAAGGGTCCCAAAGTTTTGGGCCGTCCTCAACTGCTTTCCTAGGCCACAAGCAAGGAGCTGGTTGGGGAAGGGGGGGCCACCAGGGTTAGAACCGGTACCCATATGGGATCCTGGCATGTGCAAGGCGAGGACTTTAGCCACTAGGCTACCTTGCTGGGTGCAACCTACATTCTATATTCTCAAAGCACCCCAAGATCTATTAGAGCCAGAGGGGAATATAAAATCTAACATCTTCAAAATCAGTAACATAAACTAAATGTTCCTGTTTGCATGTGAATCTTATGAAAAAAATGAAGAAAATAACCCACTCATTAATTAATCTGGTCATCTACTGCCTGAAAATTTTCTATTTAAAAATGTTACTTTTCTTAGCAGAGGCCTAAAGACGTGCAGATATGTAGCAAGGGTCCATTTCAATCGCTGCTGAACAACTGGGAACTAATTCACCAGTTGCAAAGTAACGCAGTTCTCTCTACTTCTTAGAAGTCATGTTCAGTTTGTTTGAAAACTTTAAACTCGTTAGAGGTTGTCAAGATTTTTAGGAATATTTGGGAGTAACACCAGCATGACAGCACAAAGCAGATCAGACTTACTGATGCCACATTGCGATTCTGTCTGTCACAATACTGTCACTTACCTCTAGTCAAACACCCTGACACCCCATGTGTGCCTCAGAAATGCAATGCAGAATATTTTTGCCAACCTTTTTTTTTGTGGTTGTTGTTGTAGAAAAACAAATACCGTCTTCATCAAACTTTACACTGGGGTGGGGGGTGGTTTTCCTTGGAAAATGTAAAGCGTTCATCAAAGCCAGTTGGATACGATTGAAATAAAAGTAGGATGGCTCCAAGACAACAGCATTTGCTCTCAGAAGAGGAAGCTAGCAGAAAGACTGGTTTATGCAGTGTTTTTCAAGCCTCTGTGACTGTGACCCCTTTAAAGAAAGATGATGGGTATGACAATACGAGATGGATAGTCACAAATTTCTCTTTGATACTTTCTATTCTATTTCTGTCTTTACAGCACTGGTCACACAGTTAAATCATTTTGAGTCATTGTAAGTCAATTCGGCTATGCAATGGATCACAGTTCCTGGCTTGAAAAACAGCAGGTTAGTGGTTATCGTCCTGTGATGGTCTGACCTGGGGTGTCCCGGAACACTGCTCTGTGTGGCTATTATGTCAGGTTACGTCTCAGTGATATTTACCTCGTCCTTCTTGAAGGTAGGCTGGCCATCTTGGGACTTTTCTTTTTGAGCTTGTACTTTTTCTTTCTTTTCTTCTTCCTTTTTTTTTTTCATTTTTAAGAAGGGTAAGTTCACTCAAATAAAGAGCCCTTTCTAGCTAACAGGAGTGGGAGGGTGCTCGAATCACAAAGCGTGTGCCGTGGGATGGCTTCTTGCTTGTGATCCTAGCGCAGTACTTCCAGCCTTTGTGCCAGTGAGTCTGCGTAGCAGGGTGAGGTATTCTCTTCCCATCCCCGGTTTTCTCTGTGTGCCTGCCATTGCACTCACTAAACTCTAGCGTGACTGGATGCTCCTTGGGCGTGTTTACAAACCTTGTGTGTGTTGTGGCACTTGGTTCACAACCTCCCCAGTTATAGCCGTGTGCTTGAGGTCCTTGTATCGAAGCAAGACTGAGATGCAGGTGCGCACTCCTAACTCAGCATAGCACGCCTATATTTCTCACTGGGGTTTTGCTTTTTTTAAAATTCGTAACAATGAAGCACAGAGCAATTCATTTACTCATTTCTCTCTGCATTTCACTTCAGTGCAAATGCAGGACAGGTGAATATGCAAATATCTATTTTTCCTGTTTTTTTGGTGGGGAGGAGTAGGGGCTCTTATCGGTGGAGGTTAGCTTTAGCACTTTCAATGCTGCTTGTGCAGACAGAACAAACCAATCTTTTGTAGCTTACAAACACTCGCTCCCCTTTCCATGTTATTTCCTCAAGTCAGATGGAACAAGAAGCAAAATACATGGCTCTTGAGCAAAATACGGGTACTACCCCAGACGAACGGCTTTCTGCAAGGTTGCTTTCAACTCAAGCCTACATGACGGCAAATCGGGGCCCTGACATTGTGATTCTGAGAAGGCTCCAACTGGCTCCTTTCCTTCCTTTATTTCCAGTTGGTTTCAAGATGTATATTTTTTTCCTTCTGAGGATGAAATGTATGACTATCATCCTTTATGTCAATTCGCGCTCCTCCCCCTCCCCCAGATTTTATCATCTCTCTCTCTTTTTTTTTTTTTCCATGCCAAACACATGGGAGAGGTGAGGAGATACGGGCCTTTTGCCTCATGTAGACCTATGGATAGCGGATAGATGTTAAAAGGAACAAGCAAGTGGAGACGCAGGTGCAGAATCACAAGTCAACACAGCACCCTCACATTTATCACCAGTATTGTTTCATTTTTTTTTTTTTGGGAGGAGCTCATAACAACCAAGCACAGAGCAATTCATTTCTCTCGCAAGAAAGAGTTGGCTGAATAGTTAGCCATCCATTGATTGCTTCATGCTTGCATATTGCTATGGCCTGAAAAAAAAAAATGAACAGTTCGCTAATGCTCAAGCACGTGGGGCTGTAGGCATGTGGCTTTCGTCCAAAATGGGATGTGCATGACATGCCTCCAAAATCACAGGCAGAACACAACGGGTGCAAAATGTGTACTGTACCTGCTTCCTGAGGGCAGCTGTCTGAGGTTTGTCTTCTCGCACCTTTCCATTCACCAATTTCCCTTCTGCTTTCTCTTCTACTGCCCCCCTCTTTAACTTTTTCTCTTGCGCTTCATCTTTTTTCTCTTCCAGCTGCTGTTTAAGTTTTGGCTCTTCTAGCTTAGCTTTCTCCTGCTCTGCCAAGGCTCTTTGCTGTTCCTCTGCTGCTCTCTTCTCTTCCGCCTCCCTCCTCTCCCTCTCCTCCGCCTCCTTCCTCTCCCTCTCCCTCTCCTCCGCCTCCTTCCTCTCCCTCTCCTCCGCCTCCCTCCTCTCCCTCTCTTCCGCCTCCTTCCTCTCCCTCTCCTCCGCCTCCTTCCTCTCCCTCTCTTCCGCCTCCCTCCTTTCCTTTTCTTGTGCAGCTGCTTCTTCCTCTGCTTCAATTCTCGCTTGCTCTTCTGCTTTCTTCCTTTCCTGCTCAGCTTTAAGTCTTTCCTCTTCCTCCAACCTTACCCTCTCTGCCTCAGCTCTTTCTCTCTCCTCCCGTTCCACCTTCTCATCAGGAGCAATTGCATCTGGACCCCGGCCCCTCTCCTCCTCTGCTTTAGCCTCTTCTGCACCAACTTCCCCATTTCTCCCTGGTGTTACGACCATTTCCTCGTGGGTTTCTGATGTTTTGTCTCCTGCCACCGGCTCTACCTGATTTTCTCCAGTGCTTCCTTGCTTGGACTTCTCCTCGTCTTCCCTTTCTTTCTCTTCTTTCTTTCTGTCTTCGGCATCCCTCCAATCATTCTTCTGATAGGATTTGGTGACCATCTCTGTTTCCTCTGTCTCGTGTCTTTCTTGGCTTTTTTCTTCCTTCCCGGCAGCTTCATCTTCTGCTGTATCATTTTGCATCCTTCTGCTTGAGAGGGAAGAACTGGCATCTCTTACTGTTGAGTCAGTATCTTTCTGTTTCTCCAGGGCTTCCTGAAGTCGCTTCTGGCGTCTTTCCTCTCGCCGAGCCAGGCGCTCTAGTAAAGCAGCCTCCTCATCACCTTCCACCTGAGTGTTTGTGGTGATCGACTTGCCCTCCTCGTTGGACACGCTGCAAAACAAAAGGAGCTTGCCCATTAGTCAGCTGCATTCACACAGCCCGCACCACTGAGAGCCAGAGCAGACGTCACTGCTCTCATTGCCACATCCCCTGAGATGCTATCACTCAGGCACACATTTGATTGGCTTTCAGCTGACAGTGCATACAAATCTCTAACCTTGTTCTTTCTCTGATTATGGGAATTTACTCAACAGACTAGTACAGTTTTGGGAGCTCCCCAAGCAAGCCAACTTCAGACAAAAAAAATTGATGAACATTAGTGTGTAAATTTTAGTACCACTTACCTTAGGGTCACTGGATCTTAGAGTCCCCCCAGTGGAGTTAAGCTCCTCACACTCACAGTCGTGACCAACTTGGCAAATGCAACCCTGGGTGGCGGCTTTGCCTTTCCTGTCTCACTTCCTTACACACCTACCAGTGCTTTGTGGTGTCACCTTGTGAATAAATGACTTCAGCATAACTCTTTGTTTCAGAATCTGCTTCTTAAGGAACTCAAACTAATACAAAGCCCAAATGGAAATGACAAGTGAGTTCATCCAGTGTCAGATAGCTTTCTCACGTGCCACCACGTCATTTAGAATTGCTAATCTGAATGGGGAAGGTGCGAAGTACTTCGAGAGGAAGCCACGGGTGTTACGAAGTAGAGGTCTACAGGCATGCCAGTGGCTCCTATGGTAGAGACATCTGGAATGTTCTCTATAATTCACACTCCCCTTGCCATAGTTGTGTGAGTACTGATGAGAAAGGCAATATAAGAAGTAGGGGTGCATTCCGTAGCCCTTCTCTCAGTGCTGGATAACTCAAAGTCCTAGTGTGGGCAGAGTCCTAGGAGGAAAGAAAACATGACTGGCTTCACCTACGAGAAATAACCACACTGCTCTGATATGTGTTAAACTAAACTAAAATTGGGGAACTCACTGTTGTAGCAGGCAGCATTATACTAGCCAAGACATATAATATCTCCCTTCTTTGTCAAAATTGTCATGAATAAGAGATTCCTTATCCTTTTCTAGAGTGGAAGATGACAATTAAGTTTGATATTTATGTTTAAAAATGAAAGGAAAACCCCCAAAATCACGCTGTACCATAGCTGTCATTTCCTTCATTACTGCAGGTGTTGGACACGGCCCCCCGCCAGGGGTGCAGGTCTCCACTGGCAGGAAATGGCTGTTCGTGTGATAGTAAAACTGTGACCAGAATTGGAAGTCTGTGTCTTGCAGTATTTAGAAACTGCATCAAATTTCCTGATTCATACCACACTTGGCCCTTTTCAAGTTCACTTAATTTAGAAAAAAATAATTTCATATTTAACAACAACAATTGTAAAGAATAGATTTTAAGCTTTCCTGGCCTTCACTGCTGCTGTAGGATGCTATCTCCATGAGTGAGACATAAAAGGACTAAATGTCCCTGAGAACACACACACAAAAAATCCAGTTTTTAAAGAGCAAAACTTCAGGTTTAAGGCTTTTGGATCAGCTGAATTCTAGTAACTCCTAAAAGGTACCCCAAATGCAAAAATGTTAGCCAGTTCAAAACACATTTAAGTTAAAAGAGCCACAGAATTTGGAGTCTGCGGGGCTGGTATAGTAGCAGAACAGGCTAAGCCTTTGCCTGTGGCACCAGCATCCTGGCTGCTCCACTCCCAATCCAACTCCTTGCTCGTGGCCTGGGAAAGCAGTGATGGCTGGCCCAAGTCCTTGGGCTCCTGCACCCATGTGGAAGACCCAGAAGCTCCCGGTGCCTATCCTCACACTAGCCCAACTCTGACAGTTGTGGCCATTTGGAGAGTGAACCAGTGATTAAATCTCTCTCTTTGTCTCTCCTCCCTGTACAATTCTGCCTTTCCAATAAAATAATCCAATCTTCCAAAACAATCAACAGATTCCATTGATCATTTTCATAACAGCCATCATCAGTAGATGTTAAGTGCCATTTAAGAGTTGTGCAGCTCCAACCAAAATTATTCTCTTTGTGGCTAACTGAGCTTTCAGAGATGCATCACGCATTCTCAGACTTGAATATAATTTTCTAAGCAAAAAGGAAGAAGAAGGAATTTCAAATGCATCAATACCATGAAATAACTGATAATAACATATGAAAACGGAAGAGAAACACACGTAGAAGCAACATCTTAGAAGCAGAAAGTTGCAGGACTCTAGTAACTTTCTAAGCCAGCGTAGACTGCTCACTAGAAAGTCTTCAAAACACCGTTCTTTAAAAACACAGTCTTTCTGTCCTTCCTCCCTCAGCCTGAAACCAGACATGCTGATGAATGGCTATGCTACTCTCCTGAAAGATTGTGGCAGCCGCGATAATTAGGTTGAGTGATTACGGGGTGCTCCATACTGCGCATTCTTACACGCATTATTGTATCATTTGAGTTGAACAACACTCTTGGGAGAAAGGTCAAATTTTTATTTCCATTTAAATGGAAAAACACAGGGGAAAGGCCAATTAGAGAGTTATCACGGTTTCATGTCCCTTTGCTCTAGGCTGGTTAAGATTGAAGGGCTCGCTCTCTCCAGCTGACAAATCATCTTCTAAGACCAAATCTTACTACCAAATACGCAGTAAGATCTGGCAAAGATGGTTCATTACGTTTCATCATTTCATAATTTTAAATTAAAACCGTTATTTCCTCCACTGCCCCAGCTGGAATGTCATCCTTTCTCTGGCCTTTGGTGGCATACCCATGACATAAAGTGCCCACTAACCAAGTGAGCCATGCAACTCTATTTTGTTATAAAAGACTTTCTGAAGGATGTTGAACATATTCGGTATGCTTGACTTCCTTGATTTCCACCAGGGTTTGAATAGGGAAAAAAAAAAGTAGTGAATATAAGGGTATTTGAGTAAATTAGAAAGGATTCTGATTTTTTGCTGAATATTGCAGAGATTGGAGAACACTGATTCAGCCTGCATATTAGAAAAAAAGACATTTTCAATTCATAAGCACTTCGAAATACAAGTGTTATCTGTTACCACTGGGCCTGGAAGACTCTACAAACTAATAAATCTTCAATTGAGTGCCACAGCAGTATAAAGGCATGATTTCCCCTATTTAAATTGTAACCCACCACATTTAGTAAATTACAAATTACTAGGCTTTAAAATAAAAACTTCCAACTGGGAAATGTACTAGCGATGGGATTGGGGTGGGGAAGAAACGAGAACAGTGATGTCCTAATGTCTAAATCAGATTAGCTGTTCGGTATAATGAGTTGCCTAAAATGATCAAAAGATTACTCAGCAAGTAGAGTAACTGGAAAAGAGCTGAGCTGGATTGTAAGGGGAATGCTGGACTTGACAAATTCCATTCCAAAGGACAGAACCTACCTGTTCTGGGCGTTCACTTCCACCTGTCCCAAAGACTCTTCCTCTTGCTTCTGCCGCAGCCTTTCCTGGCGGGCTCTGCGGCGCCGTTCGCGGGCTGCCTCCTCTTCGTCATCATCATTCCTCTGGTAGGCAATCCTACAGATTACAAAGACAATCTCTTGAGCACGTCTGCTGCCAACTCCCTTCACCGACTTCTTATTTATTTATTTTTATTGGAGAGTCAGATATACATTCAGGAAGATCTTCCATCTGTAGATGCATTTCCCCAAGTGACCTCAGTGGATGGTGCTGCGCCGATCCGAAGTCAGGAGCCAGGAGCCTCCTCTGGGTCTCCCACACATGTACAGGGTCCCACAGCTTTGGGCCATCCCCAACTGCTTTCCCAGGCCACAAGCAGGGAGCTGGATGGGAAGCAGGCCTGCAGGGATTAGAACCAGTGCCCATATATGATTTTGGCTCATGCAAGGTGAGGACTTTAGCTACTCGAGTACTGCACCAGGGTCCAACCTATTTTCTTCTTTAAGAAGTGTTTTAAAATATTTTTTATTTGGAGGACGAGAGAGAGAGAGCAGGTAGGGGACTGCACACCCACTGGTAGCTCTTTCCCTGGAGCCAGGATTCAGGAATGCAACCAGCTTTCCCACCTGGGTAGCAGGAACCCAATTCCTCTAAGGGCTGCATTGGCAGGAGCTGACATCAAGGGCCAACCCCAGGTTACCATGAAGAGGGAAGCCTTTGCTTTGATTGCTATGCTAAATGCCCTTGCTTCCACATTTTTCAATACTTGAAGAGCATTAGTACAACAGACAGGATAATTTATAATGAGTAAATAACACTTCAAAACTAAAACATCGACACACAAACAGGCCACCTTCAGAGATGGTGAGCTAGCAGATCAGAATTTCCTTATAAACTGATTTTCAGCATATAAGAATGAGAAGGAAATAACCCAGCATATTGAACCAAAAACAATCAAAATACCTTTAAAAAGAATTTGGCATATTGTCTGAACTATTTGTACAGAACTGCCACAGAATCAGAAGAGAATCCAGCTGCCCAACATAACAGGGACTTGCAGTTGATCAGCCAAGATGGCTAGCTAAAATCAGGAGCGGGACATCTTCTTTGCTTGATGCACCATTATTTCCGGCTGGCAGGAGGTGTCCAAACCAGCACGGCCTGCAGGAATCACAGCTCTCGCCAAGGTCCCCTCTCGTGCTCCAGCACACGTTTTGAGGTCCTCTAACCTACATGCTGGGCACATTGCCACTGGTCTACATCCGGGTAACCTAAGGGTTGAGGCAAGCGGAAGAGACAGGCTTCACAGGTTTCCATGGGATTTGGGATTTATAGTTTCACCTGCAGCCTATTTGAGAAAATGACATAGAGAGTGATACTATTTTGCATTTGTTCCCTTAATACTTAATCCCAAATAAATAAGTTGGGACTGGGGAGCTACAGAAGCCCAAGTTCAATATGAAATAACCTGCTTAACCTGGCGACCATTGCGAGGCTCTCTTATGGAGATACGGAATACCAAGAAAGCATTTAGTACTAGCTGACCTGGGAGAAGGATGACTTGGTGGCTGTCTAGACAGGGAATGGCATAGGGTTGTTACCTGCGATGGGTTGCTTTTTACAATAGAAGCTTCACAATGTTGCTGACACATCCACAAATAGAAAGGCTGATATGTAAACATTTCATACGATTAATTCTTTGTGCATTGTGGTGAGAACATCTGACGTAAGATCTACCCTCTTCATGTATTTTTAAAGTGCACAATATGGTATTGTCAACTGTAGACATAACCCAAGAGAATAGCTCTTGGTGAAACGTGCTCATAATTCTTATATAACCACCATGACAAAATATTTCACAAACTAAATCAACAGCAAAAATATACAATTTACAGCAATAATGTGAATCTTACTCAAAGTATGATTTTCTCATGTTAAATTGGCCAACTAGGTATTGGTAGATTTAGGACTTTATTCATCTGTGTTTTCTTTTGTCTTCAATAATAATGGTATGAAAGTTTTCTCTCCTAGGCATCCATAAAAACTAAGATTAAGAGTTTTGAAGGTTTATTCTCTACCAATTCAGAAAATCTGATCCCATACATTCTAAATAGAATATGATCATGTGTTAATATTGGAACACTATTATATATCCCATGTCACTTTGTGGGTCTGAAAAATGGAATGCTTTATTTCCATAAACATGGCGAGAAGAGCACTGTGACGCAGTTAATGGATGACTAGATTAGGGCTCGTAAACCGATGTCTTACTCTTTTGGAGCTCCTTGCTTAAGCTAGTTCAATCACTTTGTCTGAAGCTGTGTGACAATGGAACAAAACGATGGCAAAACAGTCCACAGAGTCATATTTCGTTTTACCAGGAGAGCTCAGTTAGGGAGCTGCTTAGTGAGGAAAGATGAATTCAGTTTCAGACTCACTGAATTTGAGGCGACACGTGACAGGATGTGAACGTTCCTTTCTAACTCAATCACATCGTAGTTTGCATCTGAAAGCTCTGCCCTGCCAGTGGCCAGTGGTTTGGCCTCCACCTTCAGATTCTTGGATTAATATGCCCTGGGCTTATTTCTTAGCAGACAGCTTTAGCCACAGTCAGGAGAATGAATCCTTCGTGACTGCTTCCCAAAGCAAACAGAAAGTCTTCATTACTCTTGCACATCCCTGTTCCTCCAGAGGAAGCAAGAGGCGCATACATTCCTCAGGGAGGCAACCATATGTTAAGAGCAAACTCCTCTGCACCATCTTAGTTTTAAATCCCTAAGAAGCCATTATACTTGGAAAAATCTGACATGTTACTGTCGCTCTGATTCCAGCTATCCAGTGCGCTTCTGCCCGAATGCTGCTGGCTTTCGGGTTTGACACCTATTGGATTAACACCCTTACCAGCTGCTCAAATTTAACCTTTCTTCTTCTTAGACTTCTCACTGGAGGAGAGACCCAAACAACTGGGTTGTTCCAGGTGTCTCTTCTAACTCTTCTTGCTTGGAGCAGCTTAAAGTTTACAAGCACTGTCCACTCAGTCCCTTTCCTAGAATACACAGTTATCAGGACTGGATTTTTAAAGGTCTTTTTTACTAATACTAGTGAAGAAGCATATTAAAATTGTTCATAACACATAAGAAAAGAGAGGCAAAATGGTTTCAAGGCATTTTCAATCACAAACACATCCCCAGTTGCTGGCTATGAACTTCACACTTTATAAGTGAAACTGTGTCGGACAAGTGCCTGGGTAACTGTAGGACTCAGTTGTGACACTCCCTGCAGATACTTCTGCTGTTATCACAGCTTATTGTTTTTCCTCTCAAAGTTGAAAAATATTCATTCTTAAAAATTCCAAAACTGGCATAACTGGCACACACACAATTTAAAAAAAAAAAACACATGAAACAAAATGTGTGAAGAAGAAAGTAAAATTGAGCCTGCTGGGTTTATACTACTCAAATGTGAGTAGGATGATTTTTTTGATAGATCCTCAATAGGCATTTCCTATTCATTCATGGAGTGTCGTTTCAATAGGAAGGAAGGTGTTCTGTGTTGGACATATTATTTTGCGAACACTTTGCTTAACTTAATTGTAATTTTTGTCAGATTTATTTATTTATTTATTTAGTTAGTTAGTTAGTTATTAGAAATAGAACAATAGAAAGACAGCGGAGAGCTCTCCCATCCACTGCTTCACTCCCAAATGCTGCAATGCCAGGCCTGGACCCAACTGAAGCTGAGAGAAAGTACCTCAATCTATGTCTCTCAAGTGGTGACAGGTCCCTGCTTATCTGAGCCATCATCCTTGCTATCCTGGGTCTGTGTTAGCAGGAGGATAGACTCAAGAATCCTATCCAGAGATCCTTGCAGTTGGATGCAGGATAATGTATCGTGAACACTGGGACAAATGCCCCACTACTCCAATTTAAATAAGACAATTTAAATGGCAACACAATAGTCTACCTGTTGAGCAGAGCAGAAGTGACTCCACCACTCTGCCAAAGCCAAGTGGACACTCCCATCCAGGAATGTTCGGAATGCCGAATCACCTTGAACTTGTTTCTGTGCAGAAGGTCAGCACACTCATGCCAGGATGAGTGTTCTGTTTGAACAAACTGATAGGCTGCTTCCTTCTCCCATCCCCCATGCCTAAAAGTCCAGTGCCGTATGCACTGGGCAGCCATCTCCCTCATGCGGCCACCCGACCACGTGGAAGTGGTCCCAGGCCACCTCCTGCCAGGCAGCAGTCCATCAGACTGTCTCTCCTGACTAATAAAACTCGACCTGGACTAAAATCTTCTCTCTCACTCATCTCTTCACCTACGTATATTTACCTAGTACTTTTAAAGATAGCCTATGGACTGTGCAGGCAATTTTCAGAGACATTTGCAAAGTTTTTTCAACTTTATCTTCATCAACGATGGCTAAAAGACATCTGTATAGAGACATTTTACCAGTTGGTAAATTATTCATTTTAGAAAACCGTGAAGCTAGAGCTCCTGGGTTTAAGATCATACTCATTTCAGAGGCTTTTGAGATGCCCTGAGTGCCTTCCGGAAATGTATACACCACCCCAGCAGTGTATTCCAGCAGCAACTCCGCCCTAAAGTCGAATTTATCCGAATAGTCAAGCACACAGGATTCTTAATTCACTCAGAGGATAGCACTAGATCTGCCTTAACCTTCAGTTAAAGACAGAATGCTATTTTTAACATATTGGTTACTCAATACTATGTCGATTAATCCCATCATGCTATAAATTGTTGCTGATGTCATGTTGGAGCTTTTAATTGATCGGGGATGATATTCTGCTGGCTCCACCATCAGACCAGAGAAGGTCTCCCTAAGAAGCCGTTGAACTTATCTGGACAATAAGATGCTGGACTCTATATTTGGCATATGCTTGCAATGAAGGAATCTCAACTGAACTTGCACTGTGGTTATGCAACAAGGTGGAAGAATCCACCATGGGGGGAGGGCTAGGGAGAGGAGTGGAAGGAATCCCGGTGCCTATAAAACTGTGTCACATAATGCAATGTGTAATTAATTTTTTTTTAAAAAAAAGACAGAATGTTAACATGTCTAATTTTCCACATACTAGATTTAACCATTTGAAA